GAGGGTTCCGCTTTCTCCACATCCTTGCCAATGTCTGTTGTTAACTGAGTTGTTAATTTTATCCATCTGACCAGTGTGAGGTGGTATAAATTTTTTTTTTTTACAAAACTGTATTAAAACTGACTTCCAGAGATGCCCAATTTATTTTATAAACGATTTAATTTTTTTCACATTTCTTTAAATATCAAGTTTTTTGACAAATTTATCCAAAATATTAAATTTTCACTTTAGAACTTAGTTTATATTTATATAACAGAGTGCCCTAAACTGATGTTCATTAAGATACCGTTCTGCAAGTCCTAATGGTTTCTATTTTCCTTTTAAAATGTATTAAGTATCTTTTAAGTTGTCATTCTCAAAAATATTCTGGAGAAAAAATTATGAATTAAGCACCCATAAATTATTCTTCATTTCTATTACAGGGTAGCAATTTATCTTCTAACCCACAGTGGTCTATCAACTAAGTCAGGCTGAGTTTCTTGTTCTCCTTAGACATAGCTGGTTGCAACTCATAATGCAACAGTTGGCTACAGATTCTCCATTTCTTTATTAACAACTGTAATTGAGACAGGTCATTCTCTGACCTGTATATTTTGACCAGTTTTCACCTCTGAAGGTCTTCTTTCTTCTGAATCCGCTTCACCAATTTTGCTTTTTCTTCATTTAATCCTTGTTTGGGAAGATCTTCATTCTCAAAGTCACTTTGGAGATCACTGCATGACCCAGTATCAAGTGATTTAGGGTCACACATACTGATATTATTGAAAGTATTTTCCAAATATGTATTTTCTTCAAATTGGCTGTCAATGGGTTTAAAATTTTCTTGAAATTCCAGTTTTCTTCTGTTGAAGGTGCTGGTTTCTCTGAAAAAGTCTGATCATCTTCATTCTCTACCTTAAGATGTTTTACTACACTGTAACAGGAATTTAATGAAGATCTAGTTTTTCTTAATCATCCTTTAAGTGTTGCACTCATAGGCTAGAAATATAGAATAGCTCCACTGGAAGAACTGAGATATTCATCCTTGTTTTCTTGAACTAATTGTATGGGGAGATGGTTTGGCACAGGCCTGTGGCACATTAGGTAAAATCACAGCTGAATCAGATCGACTTTCTACCTTGAAAATGAAATCTTGGGTTCTTCCTAAATAAAACTGTGTTGGTCCAAAGGTAACTACTAGTAATTTCTGGACAAATTAATTAGTTAGCATCTTATATAAACAAGACTCTCCATTTGTTTTTATCTATCAAAATAGCCTCAGATCTGCCATAAGGGGGGCAGGAGAATAACAGTTGTGGAATTCTTTAATTCCTTAACAAATAATTAATTCTTTAATTTCACTACTCCAGCTTTATAATGAAAAGAAATATAACTGAAATCTTGACTCAAAAAACATAATTAGATCTGTCACAGTTCCCTAAACCCTAAAAACTGTGTAACTAGAATCAATGACCATATTAATGGGATCACACAGTACACAACCTTCTGAGTTTGCTTTTCACTCACCGAACTTCCCTGGAGGTCCATCCAAGTTCTTGCATCTAGTTAGCTGACTTTTGATGGTGTGTCTTGCCTATTCCTAAAAAGGATTTGCCAGCAGTTACAATTAGTATCACATTGGTGGTGATGGCTTTTTTAGTCTTCATCTGCTCAAAAAACATTGAGCTCCTACTATATGTGAAGAATGAACCAAGAATAAAGAGATGAATCAAATATATTTCTGACTTACAACTTGAGTCTGGTGGAGGAATCTTATGGCCCGTTAAGTTCAGACTGGTTTAAAGGAAAAATGGAAACCAGTGATACTTTGAGATTTTCTGTAGAAAGGCCAGAATAGTGTGAGCAGCTCAGGGCCCCAATCTGGGTGAGAGCTGGGGAAAGGAACCAGTGGACTATCTTGGAGTATTGTTTATACAGCTCTTGAGGAAACCATAATGCCCATATTAAAGTTGGGTGCGGGGGAGAGAACCAAACCAACACTCAGTAGAACTGCACTGGAAATAAATCACAGGCCCCACTTTTCCAGAGCATGATGACTCAGAATATCCTTCTTCCTCTGTTGGTGTGAAGAGAACTGGCAACCCCTCATTCTGTTCTGTGGGGATTTAAGAATGCCTGATCAGAGAGAGCTAAGAGTCCTTTCTGTTTGTGATGATATAAGTGAATATTCTAGTTGTCCTGACTGACCCAGAATATCCTGAGCTTTGGATCAAGAAACCGGGTGAAAAGACAAGTAGCCAGGAGGAAAAAGTAAAGTCCTGAGTGCACACTTACCACTACCCTCAGTTACAAGTAACAGAGAGAAATCTGAGTCCTCCTGGAGCAGAAGGGAAGAGCTTTTGGGGTCCTGCTAGTGGTGTGGGATTTTGCTCCATTCTAAGCAATGAAAGAACGTTCTGTCTATCCTCGCTCATTTTTTCCCTTCTCAGGCAGTCCTTGCCACAGGCCACCAAGCAGGAGACTGGATTTTAGTTGGAAAACCTTGTCCATTGGGCTCCCACTTAACTCTGGCTTCTTCGGATCCTCCTCTCTTCCTTCCCATGGGAATCACTAATTGGGAATTGTTGGAGTGGGGACACAGGGACCCACACTGTTCCAGTGTTTGTCATGACACTGTGGCAGGCACTCCTCACCTGCCCACGCTTAAAAGGAGAGCATTCATATGGTGTTTGGCTGATCATAACTCCCAGGCATAACAGCCTGAGTGCTGAATGGGAAACAAATTTTGGGTAGAAGAATATATAGGGAGATGTTCAGATAAAGCAGAGAGGACAGACAATATGAAATTTACTGTGAAACTAAGGAAGCTTAAGCTCTGGGTCCCTTCTAAGATCCTGGGAGAAACCTTAGAAATCTGTTTATGTACATATACATTTCTGTAAAGTTGGCAAAGGGAAAATGCAATCCTGCCACTTACCTGGAAGAGAGGTAGACCAGAAATATTTGGTATTCAGCACTAAATGACTACTAGTCATGATTCTAACTTTTTAAAGGTTCTTGGCAGAGATGTGTCTTAACACTTCATTGTGCCACCTGTGTAAGTTTGAGCAAGTCACTTAATCTCTTTACAGTTCACTATGCTCACCTATAAAATGAGATTGATAATACTAACTAATATTTGAGAGTGCTTAATGTACTCTGTCCAAAGCCCTTTATATGGATTCTTTCACTTGATTCACCAATTATCCTATGAGGCAGGGATCCTTATTATCTCCAATTTACACTTTACACACACACAATTTACAATTTAAGGAAACAGGCACAGAGAATTTAAGTGTTTTTTTCCTAAAGTCACATGGTTAGTGAATAAAGCTAGCAATCAAATCCAGATATGGGAGCCTGAATCCATAGTCCAGTCTCTTAACAGAACCATTGGTAGTTGCTGTTTTCATCAGGGTTGTTACTCAATTCAATTCAGATCAATTTAACATAACAAGTATCTCAAGTACCTATTCATGCAAGGAGCTCCTTGTGAAAATCATGAGATATAGGAGATAATCTGCAGGAAAGTACTTTGGAGAAGTCCTAGTGTTTTAAAAATAAAAGTGTAACCAGATAAGCACTAAAGCAAATAAGTAAATAAGATATTTCTAATTTACTGAATCTTCAAAGGATGAAAATTTTAATGGGTGACCTAAACATTCCTCTGTTTAAATGGACATATAATCAGAACAATTAGATTTCCCCCTCAACGGTAACAGTATTTTAAGGGGAGATAGTTTAAAGAGATTATGAAGACAACTTAGAAATCCAATTTTCACTGAGGCCATCATGTTAGAATCACAAGACTACTTGTGCTCCAGCGCACTTTGTAAGTGTGTTCTTGCTACCACTTACTGAAATTATTTCCTAGTTACTAGCCTTCCAGGCCTATAAGTCCATCTAAGTTAAGTTGTGTTTGCTTATCTGTGTAGATCCTACACCTAATATAGTACTTGGCATAGAGGTTTTCCCTAAGACATTATTTGTTCTGCTCCTTTCGGCTTCATTTATGGAATGGCCAAATAAACAGTGATAGAGATTAGCCTGAACGTCCCTACGTTCTTGCCACAGGGGTCAAATCCCTTGCTAGGCTGCTGGGGAACTGAACTCTGAAGAGTAATGGAGGGTGACAGAGTGAATTGCATTTGTAGTAACTAGCATTTCACTCGTCTCTTATGAGGGACACAAATAGTAAGACATTAATATAACACCTATTTTTGCTTCAAATCTGAACAGAAGCCTCAGAAGTGAATGCCAGAAAGCAGCCCAATTACTAGGGAGACCTTCATGTTCCATGTTCCACAGCAAACATTCTAAGCATGGGTCTGTGTCTGCTTACATCTCCTCTTTCCTTTACCTTCAAAGTTCAGGCTCGAATTGCCTCAGACCTTAATTACTTCCAGAACCTACAGACTGGACATGCCTTATCTTTGTCTTTCCCCACTCATATTCATCCTGCATATGCCTTCCAGAATGTTCTTATCAACAAATTATCTTATCATAGCTTCATTAAAAATCTTCTCATCTTCTCCACTACTTATGAAATAAAACCCACACTTTGGCTTTCATAACTCTCCATCCAGATTCAACTTACATTTTCTTTCCATCCCATGCCAAGCCCAAAGCACAACAAAACAAAGCTGCAAACAGCTCCCACACAAATTCTCCACTTTTCCTGCTCCCGGTTCCCCCCTGTCTGAAACTGACTTTCTTGGTTCTCTTTACATATTACACATTTTCATAAAAGTTCAATTTTAATTTCTACCTTCTTTATGAAGCCCTTCCTACTTTATCACTTTTGCCAGATAACTCTCTCTCTTCTATATGCCTATCATTTCCTTGCACTCAGATAGAAAGAAAATATGCTCAAAGTACTTATCAGGGAGGGTTATAGAAGCGTGAATACCATTCTTAAACCACATGCTTCTAAAAAAGAAAACAACAAACATTCAGAGCTCCAAATAACTTCAGCCCTAGATATTCAGAAAGTGTACAAGTGCAGATCACACCTAGGAGTAAGGTTTCCCAGATACTCATTTTATCATGATTTACATTCATAGGAGTACTACAAAGGAAATGCAACCCACAGAAACCTTCTGCATCTTCAGCAGAGCACAGGAAAAGATAGGAGAGCATTTTTTCCTCCATTTCTCCTTTCCCACACCTTTGCTTTATCATCAGGAAAAACCCTCAGTGGAAGGGTTCAGATCTCGGAAGAGAGATTCAGTGAACCACCAAAATGCAGACAAATCAAGATAACATGTAACCAAGAAAGGACTCTGACTTGGTGGTGAGTCTTCACTGGTCACCTTTTTGCATTAGGAAAACAAGGTAGTGTGTCTTCTTGTGACATTCTCAATCAGGGCAGCTCCTCTAGTTCTGCTGAGGACTCTGACCCAGTCCTATAGCTGATGCTGCTCCCAACACTCTGGGTCCACCTGGAAGAGCTCAGCCCTTCAATCTAATCCAGGACTCATCTGCCACATAACAGTCCATATGAAACCTCTGATTTGAGTTGTACATCAACCATCACGCCCGAACATCCAAGTCTGGGTGCTACTCCTGAAACAGGCTTCGAGAGATCAGCATCCTCATCACTTCATTGCTACCTGCAAGGGGGAGGAAGAATGAAGGATTTAGTTGCAGCGAAGTCTGAGAGCTTGGTAAAGCTTTAACCAAGGTGCTCCAAGCCTCATTCAGGGTAGTAGTGGATATAAACCACAACTGTTGCTTTAACCCTGAGTGGGATGGGATTATTACAGACTTCTCTCCAAAGTACAGAAAAATGTCAGGAAGTAAGGAATAAATTTACTCTTTAAAAACACCTCGCCTGGGAGAGGGGAAGTTGGCTGAGTAGGAAGATGCCGAGCTTTCCTTCTCCTGTGGACACACTAAGGCTGCAACTATGTACAGCACAACTCACTCTGAGAACCTAAACTCTAGCAGAACAGCTATTCCATAGCTAAAGATATAAAGAAAAAGTCACACTGAGAAGGGTAGGAGGGGTAGAGAGTCTACGGAACCAAACCCACGCACAGTGACCCACAAGCAGGAGGATATCACAGGTGTGGAGGTCCTTCCTGAGGAGCGAGAGGTTCAAGTCCCACAGCAGACAGCCCCTGCCCTGGAGATCTTCACTGGGAAGATAAGGCCACATGTTGTCTGGCTTTGAAAATCAGTGGAGCTTAACTCTAGGAGAGCCAGGGAGCTACAGGAAACTGAGACACTACTCTCAAAGGGCCCACACACAGTATCAGTCACTTGGAGCCCAGCATGGAGGCAGCAGTTGGAAAAGCTCCTGGGTCATACATGGGGGAGATTTAATGACTAATTTTTGGGTGTGTGCCAGAGGGGCAGGGATCTGTGGGAACTTTCTCGGGGAATGGAAGTGTTAGCAAGCACCATTTTTCTTGTACTTCTACAGCTTAGTTAGCCAGATGTTTTGGGAACAAGATCTGACACCCTCCTTGCTACCCAGATGCCTCGGGAGCAAGATCTGACACCCACCCTACCTTGCTAGCACTGCTTGCCCGACCCTGGCATTCGCCTGCAGACCTGCCCGGCTCAACACACTCAACCCAGCAGATGTCCCTCCAAGCAGGTACTAACCATCACACCTGGCAGGCAACCTCAGTGGGGACTGGTGCACGCCCCCACCCAAAGTCACTGCTGCCCACTAACACACCCACAAGACTCACAGGTGGGCGTAGCAGCCAGTCACCAACACACCCACAGTAGTCACAGCCCAGACACAACAGCACGACACATGCAGACCACATAGGGGACACCCTGGGAGTGCCTGGTTCTAGTGACCAGAGGGATTGCACTAGGGATTGCCCCCAGGATGCCTTCCATACAGGACATTACTTTCAGGACCAGGAGAGTCTGGCTTACTTGATACACAAAAACAAAAATGAGGAGACAAGAATATGCTCCAAATCAAAGAACAAGACAACATCTCAGAAAAAGAACTGAACAAAACAGAGATAAAGAATCTACTTGATAAAGTTTCAAAATAATGGTCATAAAGATATTCAGGGGCCTTGAGAGAAGAGTGGATGAACTTAGTGAAAATTTCAGCAGAGACAGAAAACATAAAATAAAAAACGAAGAGTACAGTGACTAAAATGAAAAAAATACACTAAAGGGAATCAACAGCAGATTACAGGATGCAGAATGGATCAGCAATCTGGAAGATAGGGTAGTACCAAGCATTTGAGCTGAGCAGCAAAAAGAAAAAAGAATTTTAAAAAAGGACAGGTTAAGGGACCTCTGGGACAACATCAAGCACACTAATATTTGTACTATTGGGGTCCCAGAAGGAGAAAAGAGAAAAAGGCAGAAAACTTATTTAAAGAAATAATGGCTGAAAACTTCCCTACTTTGGGGAAGAAAACAGACATCTAGTTTCTAGAAGCACAGAGAGCCCCAGACAAGATAAATCAAGGAGAACCATACCAAAACATGTAATGTATATATATATAATATATACATATATAAAAAGACATGTAATATATATATATGGTAAAAAATATGTATTTTATATAGATATAGATATAATGTATATTATATATAATATACATTTTATATATAAACATATATATGTGTATATATATATATATACACATATATATACGGTAAAAATTACACATAAAGAGCAATCTTAAAAGCAGCCAGAGAAAAGCAAATAGCTATGTACAAGGGAAAACACCCATAAGGCTATGAGCTGATTTTTTCAGCAGAAACTTCATGGCCAGAAGAAAGTGGTATGATATATTCAAAGTGCTAAAAGGAAAAAAACCTGTAACCAAGAATAGTCTACCTGGCAAGGAGAGATAAAGAGTTTTCCAGGGTGCCTAGGTGGCTCAGTTGGTTAACCGTCTGCCTTCGGCTCAGCTCATGATCCCGGGGTCCTGGGATCAAGCCCCGCATTGGGCCCCCTGCTCCGTGGGAAGCCTGCTTCTCCCTCTCCCACTCCCCCTGCTTGTGTTCCCTCTCTCGCTGTGTCTCTCTCTGTCAAATAAATAAATAAATAAATCTTAAAAAAAAAAAAAAGTTTTCCAGACAGGGGCGCCTGGGTGGCTTAGTTGGTTAAGTGTCCAACTCTTGATTTCCACTCAGGTCATGATCTCAGGGTCATGGGATCGAGCCCCGTGTTGGGCTCTGTGCTCAGCACAGAGTCTGCTTGTTCCTCTCCTTCTGCTCCTTCCCCCTGCTTGCATGCTCTCTCTCTCTCAACTAACTAAATAAATAAAATCTTAAAAAGGTTTCCCAAACAAAAGTTAATGGAGCTCATCATTACTACACCAACCTTACAAGAAGTGTTAAAGGACTTCTTTAAGTTGAAAAGAAAAGGCAACAACTAGAAGTAAGCAAATTATGAAAAAAAAAATTTCACTGGTAAAAGCAACATGTAATATAGGTAGTAGATCAATCACTTATAAAACTAGTATGAAGATTAAAAGAAAAGAAAAAGTAGTAAAATCACTTATATCTAGAAAATTATACAATGGTATAAAACTGGAAATCAATTACAAGAAAAAAATGGTAAAAATCACATGGAGGCTAAACAACGTGCTATTAAACAACAAATGGGTCAACAAAGAAATCAAACAGGAAATAAAAAAATACCGTTAGACAAATGAAAATGGAAAGACAAGTTCCAAAATCTTTGGGACACAGCAAAAACAGTCTAATAGGCAAGTTTATAGTGATACAGGCCTTCTTCAAGAAACAAGAAAAATTGGGGCACCTGAGTGGCACAGTTGGTAGAGTTAGGGTCATGAGTTCAAGCCCCATATTGGGGGTGGAGCCTACTTAAAAAAGAAAAAAACAAGAAAAATCTCAAATGTACAATCTAACTATACATCTAAAGGAATTAGAAAAAAAGAACGAACAAACCCAAAGTTAGTAGAAAAAAGGAAATAACAAAGTTCAGGGTGAAATAAATGAAACAGAGACTAAAAAAACAATAGGGAAAAGATCAGTGAAACTGAGAGCTGGTTCTTTGGAAAGATACACAAAATTGATAAATCTTTAGCCAGATAAATCTTTTCTTTTATTAAGAAAAAAAAAAGAGAGAAGTCAAATGAATAAAATCAGAAATGAAAGAGAAGTTACAGCCAACACCACAGAAACATAAAGATTTTAAGAGGCCACCATGAAAAATGATATGCCAACAAACTGGATAACCTAGAAGAAAGAAACAGATAAATCCCTAGAAACATACAATTTGCCAAAACTGAATCAGAAATAGAAAATCTGAACAGACTGATTATGAGTAACAAAATTGAATTGGCAATCAAAAAACTCCCAACCATGAAAAGTCCAGGACTGGACAGCTACAGAGGGGGATTCTATCACACATTTAAAGAAGAATTACTATCTTTCCTTCTCAAACTATTTCAACTGTTGAATTACTGTGTTGCCCACCTGAAACTAATATAATAGTGTATGGCAACTATACTTCACATAAAAAAAAATGTACCTACAAAGTACAGAAAAAGCCCCAAAGGAGATTTTTTGGACTTACATATAAAAGGAATCCAAAATATTAATTCTGAATGTGGAAACATGAATGATTTTTTTTTTTTTACTTTCCCTATACTTTATAAGCTTTCAACAATAAACATACCAATTTCCTTGGTAATCAGAAAAGTGAATTTTAAAAGAACAGACAAAAATATTTTCCCTGAAAGGATGGGTCAACTTCTTGCTCCATTTTTACAGTGGCTTTTAATGCAAAGAGAAATATGAACCCCCATGAGGAATGAGTAATCACATACCTCAAATAAAATCAAATCTAAATTTGCAGATTTATCCTATAACAAAGTTCACAATGAAACAAAGTGATACCAAAGTGAGCAGTGCCCCAAATTTTCTCTAAGTGGATGATGGCATGGCCTCAAATAAATGTACCTGGCTTTTCCCATTCCTTCTTACAAGGTTAAAAGGCAGAGTCAGAATAAAAGTGAAGTCTCATGTTGTTAGACAACAAAGTTTACCTACTAAACTTGTCATTCATAAATGCTGGGTAAGGAAGTAACTGCAGGAATAATCAGAGGACAAAGCCTATGGGGAACTTGAGCACCAGTGACTGAGCTCATTGACATATATCAGGGATGAGGTCTGCAGAAGAAAGCAGACTCTTAACTTTTAGAAGCCTGTGATTTGGACATAACACCGGAGCGGTGGGTCTCAGAGTGTGCTTCCCAGATGTGCAGCTGCAGCCTCACTTGAAAACTTGTTGGAGATGCAAAATTCTCAGGCCTACCTAAGACCCACCGAGTCAGAACCTCTGGGTGTGGAGCCTAGCAATCTGTTTTCACAAGCCCTCTGGGTGATTCTAATACCTCTTCAGGTTCAAGAATGCTTTGAAAATGACAGAGAGAACAACGCCCACAGCTCTCTCCTGTACCTCCGTGGAAGCAGCCCAACATTGCATCACTGAAAGTCACTTAGATAAACTTTTGCCCCATCTGGCTCTTCTACAGTATAACCACTCTGTCTGCCTACACCAACTGAGACAAGAGTCATGTAATTTCAAGACTTTTGCACTGGTGTGGAGCGTGGAAAAGGCCATGCTCTGAGCCAGCCTCTGGCAGCTTACACATTTTCCAGCCTAATCCAGTCTGTGATTGCCAAGAAAAATACCCATATGATTTAGTTTACTGAAAAATCCATTAGCAATATTGATAGAGATATCTTCAATTTATAGAGGTTGCTTGTGATCAAATTAGCTCACATTTGCCCTGTACAGAAGTTTTGGGATCCCTGAGGACCAAGTACTTCATAAAAGTAAAGAGTTACTGTTGAAGTTTTCAAAATGCTTTCCCATATATTATCTGAGTTTGAGTGTTCTCTAAAATTTGCAAAGAAAAAGAGCAGAAATGGAGTGATCTGATAGCTTACCCATGGTGACAAAGCAGAGCCTCCCGACTCCCAAGCTAGTACTCTCTATGACACCCATAAACACTTCCAGAAGCAGGGTCAGGAGAATGAGGAAAAAGGAAGGCAAAAGACAGACAGGGCCTGATGGAACCCTCAGAATCAGTCAGCATGGGGAAAGACAGGCTGAGGAAAGTGGTGATCCTATAAGCTTTCTGGAGAACAGCTCTGGCAATTTTTACCTTCTAGGATTTGATGGACCCTGGAGTCCCGCACATACTGCTGAACAGCATAGTCCTTCAGGTAGCCATAGCCTCCATGCATCTGTAAAGCCTGGTTGCAGATCTTCAGGGAGACAGGGATTAGACATCTTTGACTGGGGGGAAGACTGTGGAACACATGGCTTCTCTTTCTACCCCAGCCCCAAATCTGGCAGCCTGTTGTAAACTAATACGAGGAAGAACAACCTACAGATAATCAGCCCCCAGCCCAAACAGGGGCTCTGTATTCTGTGTGGTTAGACAACAAAGGAGGTTTACCTACTAAACTTGTCAGTTACCACTAGGCAGGCAACTCAGAGAGCTCTGCCTTTATTGCTTTATTATCTGCAGGGGCCAAGCTGCCCACAAGCACTTTGGCTGGGATTATGTGAAGCTACATACAATGCCATCTAGTGGCAATGTAGCCTCATGTGGAAATAGTTCTGCTCTTGACATTTTAAACATAGCACAGTGCTAAATTTGAGCAAGCGGCATTGGGCTGCTCTGAACCTTCCACCAACGGCAGTGTCTCATCTAGAACACAATCAAATGACAGTGACAGAATGGAGTATGTAATGGCACGGAGCAGGTAAAAAGTCAGCTGAGAGCTCCCAAGCAGGCCTCTCATGAGTTCATTTATATGCTTAAGCCCCAAGGTGATCTCTGCAGCATCCCAGGGGTAGACTAATGGCTCTCAACATCCCTGGACCTAGCAGCTGCTCATTGTCCACCCAAGACAGCCAGAGGACATCATAACGCACAGCAAAGCATTCATCTGTAGCGAAGAGCTTGGCCATGGAGCAGAGGGCCACTGCATCTTCCCGCTCCTCCTGCAGAGCCACTGCTGCATTGCGGATTATCAGCCGTGAGGCCACCAGCCTTGTTGCCATATCAGCCAGTTTGAATTGCAGGTACTGCAGCAACAGGGGATAAGAGAACCAGACAAGATAGACAGGCTTAGACCAGCACCTGATCTGGGGCCCTCTATAAGACATCTCTCATGAGGTACCTTTTCTAACTGACCCCAAGCTTCAAAGTCCCTGCCTCTTCTACAGAGCAAATGTCCTGCCTTGTGAGTTCTAAGCCTACTTTGTCTGTCCTGCGCTTCAGTGAAAAAGATTACTGATAAAATTAGAACACAAGTTCTAAGATGGGGGCAGAACTCCAGTGAGGACTCATAGCCTCACCCTCCGAGAGAATGTGGGCCACAGAGCAGGTTGCGGGCGGAGTGGAAAGCAAATGCAGGGGCCTCTGGGAAATTACCTGGTTACTGGCCAGAGGCTCTCCAAACTGCTTCCGAACATTGAGGTGGTCTCGGGTGAGGATGACTGAAGCATGAGCAGCTCCTAGGGAGCAGGAAGCTGGAAAGGAAAAGTGCCAACATTTCAACTGAGCCAGGACAGTGCTGCTTGCCCCAGCCCGGCTACCTTCCTGCCCCATCCTGTTGTGTTCTCACCAACATTGATCCTCCCTCCATTCAGTCCTTTCATGGCAATGACGAAGCCCTGTCCCTCGTTTCCAATTCTGTTGGCCATGGGCACTGCACAATCTTCAAAGATCACGGCGCGCGTTGGCTGTGAGTTCCACCCCATCTGGCAAAAATCAGGGACTGTATGGCTGCCCAACAGAGTGGCATTCAGGGCAGTGACTCTTCTCTTCTACGAGCCCCTGCCTGCCTGTCCAATTTCATCCCATGCTGTTCTCTTCTTTGCTCACTGCCTTAGGGACATACTGAACTTTTTTTTTGTTCCCCCAATAGGCCATCTACTGTTGTCTCTGCCCAGAATTCTTCTTATGTTGCTTCTTCTATACTCTGGATCTCATCTCAAAAGTCATGACCTCTGGGAGTTCAGCCCTATTACAGAAGCTTTCAAGCTCTCCTCAGTGTCTTATCCAACTGTTTTATCTCTTTTTGTAACACACAGCACTACCAGAAGGTACCTTGCTTATTTACATGTCTGTTGCCCATCCCTGCTTGCTGACAGGTAAACTCTATGAGGGCAGAGCTTTGTCTTTGTTCACTGCTCTACCCCTACTGTTTACAAATGCTTGGCATATAGTGGGCACTCACCAGCTGTCGAATGAATACAGAGGTGTCCTTCCAAATTTCCCTTATATTAAAAAATATATAAAGCAAAACTAATAATTAAAAAAGAAAATAAATTAAAAAAGAAAGATAAATGTATACACTTAAAAGGGAGAGAAAACAGAAAACGAAAGGAAGAAAAGATACACTTTTTGTTTCTGGAATTTATTTGTGATTTTTCTCTAGGCACGAAATTTGACAGCTTTGGTAATTCTGTCAACAGACATCACAAATACTGAGATGGATACTACCTGTGTGTGTTGAAACAATCATCACTGCCTTTATAAGCACAAACAACCTAAATCGGTATAACTTGATCCTGTAAAATTATGTGTCAGACTATGTAAGTCAGTCCATGTTGTATGACCCAAAGGAGACATTCCTAGAATTAAGATATTCTACAGCTGTATATCTTACATGTCACATATACAAGTTATATGCCACAATTACAGTTTATATACCTTATACAGATAAGACAACGTAATATGTCTTATAATTTCAAATAAGGCTAGGAGTAACTTCTGTATCCTCCTTCACCCCAGGAGCCAGCATCATGCTTTGCACATAGTAGGAATCTAGTAAAAACCTACTATACTAATAAATGAAAAGGGGCCCTAAAACCTCTAACTCTTTGCAATTTATAAAATATCAGGAAAGCTCATGAGGGGAAATATGGAAACCCTAGGAGCTATGAAAGGAGAGTATAGTTAGGGGTCATTTCATTACCTGACTTCTACCCCCAAATCCCAACTATAACAGTATATATTGGAGGGATATGATTATTCTGGTCCCCCGGCCTAACAAATCTGAATGGGTCTCATCTTATTACCACCGGCTACAGCTATGGAATCACACTTCTACTCTTCATGGTCTGGCTATGGGATTGCTATATCCTAGGACCGTCTTTTCAAAGCACCTATGGAAACACTCTCCTTCTTACATGACTGAAACACTCACGATCATCTCCAATGAGTTTTATTTTATTTTTATTTAAAGAAAAGTGGCCCATATGCTTTTCATCCCAGACTTGTAGTCACCACCAGATCTGTAAGTATTTCTTCCTGGGATAAAAGAATGTGCCAAAATAAGAAGCTGAATAAGAAACACAGGCCAAAAGTGGAGGCGGTACAGATGCCAGAGAAATCCCTCACCCTAAAAAGATAGGCAGCTCATGAAACTTACTGGCACACTCTGCCATTGAGCCAGTGGTGTGGTATTCCTTCAGCCATGCCCCATTCTATTCCATACACTTCTGTTGAAATCCTAATAGAAGCAACCATGTCCAAGTCAAGTTAGCAAGAATGTAAACTATTCCTTGAAATAGAACAGAGGTTGGTCTGGCAGGTGGCAGACTCTTGGATTGTTTGAACTTCAATTGTTTCCTGTCCAATAGCCACTCACCTTTTTTTCCTTCTTGCCAAAGCTAAGGCCAGGGGTCCCCTTCTCCACAACTATACAAGAGATGCCTTTGGGGCCTGGCCCTCCTGTTCGGCACATGACCACGTAGATGTCTGATTCACCTCCACCACTGATGAAGGCCTGAGGGTTGGAGAGGGGGTGTATAGGGATCAGGAAACACACCTGTCCCTGGAGCCTAACACCTGGGAAAGCAATCAGAATCCTTCCGACAGTAGGACATTAAGAGGCATGATGGCACAGAGAAATGAAGGAGAGGTAAAAAGAACCTGTGCTGACTGGGGAATCAGGGATCTAGCTGATGAGACTATACAAAGGATAGACAGAAAGGAGTGAGATCATCTGCACTCAGATCAGAAGAGCGAGAAAGTGAAGGTAAATAAAGGGAAATAGGTCAGAGGTTCTCTATTCAATGTGTAAAACTCCTAGGAAACATTAACTCGCAGATAGCAAGGATCCAGGCAATGTCAGCACGAAGATGGGCACAATCTCTAAGGTGTTCTGTAAGGTGGGCATGCTGGTACCTTGGAACCATTGAGGATGTAATGATCTCCTTGTCGTTTTGCTGAGGTCAAAAGGGAGGCAGCATCACTACCACTTCCTAAGGTGAGGATCAAAAGGAAGCAGAGAGGGTGGGAGAGAAAGTCAGTGAAAGTAAGGGGGCCCCAGCACGGTTCCACTTCCAAGGAAATCTTCCCTGATAACCAACAGCTTAGCATTTCACACTTTAAAATGCAGACAGCTGGAGGAACTCTGTATTTGGTGAAAACTGTGGACAGCAATGAGACCATTTTCCATCTCCCATCACACTGAGTATAAGGAGGCTCCAATCAGCAGCCTGGAGAGACTCTGCCCTACAGCGTTCTTAGGCTTGTGACATCAGGCCATGGGAATGTGTTCCTCCACAACCCAACTTCATGGTAAACAAGGGTTATACGTATCGAGGGGACGAAAGAGTGCTCAGTGATTTCGCCTGGGCAGCATCCCCTGCTACGTTTTGCTGGCGGTATGGCAAACCCACCTGGCTCAGTGAGGCAGTAGGAAGCAAACTTCTCCATGGTACAGAGCGGTGGGCAAAATCTGTGCCTCTGTTCCTCACTTCCAAAGGTATCAATCATCCAGACACACATGCTGACAGGTACCCCAAGGAGAAAAGATAATGATAGAGTTAATACGGAGAAGAGGAAATCTGAGGGGGGAGGGATGGGGAAGGAAAGCACAAGCCGCAAAGCAGAGTGAAGAGGAAGAGAGTGGGAAGGGAAAAGTCGCCACTGAGAAGATTAGACTTTAAAGGAAAGGCCTGGGTTAAAACATATTCGTGGAACAGGTACTACCCAGAGATAACCAGGGCCAAAGTGTTTCTCACTTGGATGTTCATGCTACTTCTAGGTTAAGTGACTTCCCTAAAAATCAAACAATTATATGTATTTTGACAAATTCCTGGGGGCTTCATCCTAGGGGCTGAGGAAGACAGGAACAGCGCCCTGACCACCCTCCTGGAGAAGTCTGTTTGCTTCCAGTTCAATCTAGGATTTGGGAGAAGGTGGAGAGACATTCTCTAAGCAACACACAAGATGGCAGATTCAAGTCCAAGAGGCAGCAGCAGACCTAGAGTGAACTTTTTTTCTTTTTTTGAGGGAGTGCATGTGCTCGTAAGGAATTGGGGGAGCAGAGAGAGAGAGAGAGAATCCCAAACAGGCTCTATGCCCAGTGTGGAGTGTGACACGGGGCTCAATCCCATGACCCTGAGATCACGGCCTGAGCTCAAATCAAGAGTCGGACACTTAACTGACTGAGCCAAGCAACCCAGGTGCCCCGTCTGGTTCCTCAATGACAATCAACTTGAAAAGATGAACTTTTCCAAAATTTCCTAAAATTTCCCAGTCAACCTGATGAGAACTTCACTGTGCTCACCAAACTTTGACACTCACTTGTGGATGCTTATATAGGCTGTGGTGCTGGTGCAGCCTGTAGCCAAGGCCTCAAAGATGACAGATGTATCGAGCCGTGACAGTCCAGACCCACCTACATCTGTTCGTACGTAGACTCCCCCGAAGCCGAGCTGAGCAGCTTTACGCATTGCGTCCACTGGGAACAACTCCTACGTACAAAAGAGAACAGGGTCATCAGTAAGGGAATCACAGATGGACTTTTCATTAAAGGGCACAATGAGGGATTAAGATGTTTGCATTTGGGAGAGTGTATATATTAACTTAATAGGCTATTTGTTATCTATAGTAGCAGTTAAAATGCATTCTATAAGCACTGGTTTTCTAGCATTAAAGTTCCTTTTAATTATCCATAGAATTGCCTTGGTTTTAAGAGTGTCTAAATCTTTGTACAATTAGAAAAACAAAAACAAAAACAAAACTAGTCTCTACAAGATGAGGATAGGAATCACAACATTACCAGTACTTTCATTTGCAGTAAGAGCTGTGCGAGGAGAATAAACATGGAACAGTTAGGTCTAAAAGGGGATGAAGACAGGGTCACCACAGGAGGCATTTGTTGGAACGTCTAGCCACAAGGAAAACTCCCACCTTCTGGTCCCACTCTGCCATATTTGGAGCCATCTCCCGGGTAGCAAAGTCAAAGGCCACTTTCTGAAATTCTTTCTGCTCTTCATTCAGTCCCATGGAAGCTGTGGGTAAGATTGCATATATTTGGTTCCAGGACAGGGGTCAGGGAAGAGTAGTGCCAAGATCAAGAAACATGAAGTTGAGACAGGGACGCACTGTAGCATTTCTCTTATACAGTATAACCTTTAACATCCATAGAATGGCCTTGCCTACCATTAATGAGTTCTCTGATATATCATCTCCTTTTCCCTTCTTCTTTCCTCCCCAGTGGATCGGCTGGCTTCATTTACCTCCTAACTGCTTATTCTTTCAGTACCCTTACTTATCTCTTCCTCCTCATAAATCCACATTAAAAAATAGTAAACACACACTGACCCTCAAATTAATGGTAAACATTTTTTTTTCCTTTAGGATGCCCTACCTTTTCTGTATTGGTGTCCTGGGAAAATCTGTCCTATGTATGAATCTCTATAGCTGTCTGTTTCAACATATCCATTTTAAAAGATCAATTGGAAAAGGAAGATATATATACGTTGGTTTACCTTTCAAATTAAGGAAAAGATCCTCTAATAAGGCTGTGCATTTGGCAAATCTCAGACATTCACTGATAAACATTGATGATGACAAAAAAGTCTTCCAGTGTTGAAAACATGGTTAAGGCCTTACTATATCGGTTTTTACCCAATGGACTCAGAATTCTCAGAACGTTTTCTATCATAAACCATCAGTGATGTGACTTTGGGTAATTTCTTCACTTTTGGGTTTAAGATACTTAAAAGCTAAGGACAATGAATTGACTGACATCAAAAGGTAGGCAGTATGGCCTCATTAGGAGAAGTTTCTCTCGAACCTTAAACATCTAATAAAAGACTATACCGTAGTAGTACTTAATCAGGGGTGACACTCTTCAGGAGAAAGAGAACTATATCTACCAACATAAACAGAATTACTATCAATTCACAATATCATTACTTCATACATTTTCTTTAAGTAGCCAGTTGCCCAAATGACATGAACACTTTTTACAGATTTTTAAAAAAACTGCATAGAGTAAGATCAGACTGAATTAGAAAGCAGACATCCAAGTCAACTAGCTAGTTAAGTAAGGTGTAAAATATTTTGCCTATTTTGCAAAGTGATGCAGACTTCCAGGTAGCAGCAGGCAAAGCTGAAAGTAAACAGCCTAGGCAAAGCTCCCATGAAAACAACCATCTTTTTGGGATAGTATAGCAAATTTAGAAAAGATGGGACCACAAATCCTGGGAGCCTACATCAGGATCAGCAACCTATACAGGGTGAATCAGACTTACATTGTTCATATTTATGTCTCTTTTGTTGTCTCTTACTACTGTCATTTTGAAAAGACCACCTGCCGAAGGTGTGTCAGAAAAAATAGAGTGTATGCCTATACTTTTCCAAGTGAAGTCCTGAGGTACAGCGGTGGCTGTAAAAGGTAAGGCAGAAAGAAGGGCAGGGGTCTGTATTACCTTCTCAGGTTTCATCCTTTAGTGCTAAAGATGTGGTCATTATGGAGTGATGCTAAAGAGCATTAAAGTAAGACTATGGAGCCACACTCGAAAATAATTTATTTCAGCGCCTAATAGTGATGCACAATACTTCCAATAGAGAAGAAGAGCAGATGGCAGAGTCTGTTTCTCTAGGGCAGGCAGCATGGGGAGCAGTAATGGCTGGCTATTACTTCTAGGAGAAAGCAGTCTGTCTGTATTAGGGAGAAAGCAGTCTGTCTGTATTAAGGAAACTCAGAAAGGAATACTTGTGAGGATTAGACATTAGGCTACTTTGAGAAGCCGAGAGCAGAAACTTATGTTGGTTGTTACTCACAGGAATACAGTTAGGGATGAACACTTCACAGTTCCTGACTGAGAGTCAGGTTATTTGTTTGCAGAAGTCTTGCAAAAATGCTCTTGCAGATCATAGCTCAAAGACCATTCACAAAAGAATACTTATTGAATGTCTACTATGGAACAGTGCTGGGGTTACAAAGATGAATACAGTCCATTCACACAAAGGCTATCATAAATGGTAATAATGTAAATCCTACAGCATAAAGAGAGGTGCTACAGAATTTCAGTCCCAGCAAGAGCTCAACAAACGTTTACTATTATTATTATTAGAGTAAAACAAGTAGTTCAAGAAACAAAATGTTTAAGAAATAGGTTTGAATTGCATTCTAAGTAAACAACAGGGAATAGATGTATGCAAATCTTATGTGCAAGTATATACAACATAATTACACATTTTGAAATATAATATCCAACCCAATTTTTGATAAGGGAATGCTAATAAAATGAGAGCGCTGCTTGGTGGAAAAAAAGTAGAAAAGGCAAGTTAAAAAGCAAATTATACACAAGAAAGCATGGTAACTAAGTAAAAATACCCGCGTTCCCAGAATACATTAAAAACAAACAAAACAAAAACCAGACTTCACGAAGTTGGCCGGAGTTACTAGCAAGAGTTCAAGAAGCCAACACACACAGTAAAATGTAAAATGGCAAAGCTAAATAGAAAAAGGGCCTGGGGCTCCTGAGTGGCTCTGTCCATTAAGCATCTGACTCTTGATTTCGGCTCAGGTCACGATCTCAGGGTCATGAGATCCAGCCCGGGTTGGGTTCTGTCCTGGGCGTGGAGCTTGCTTAAGATTCTCTCTTTCCCAGATGCAGAGAAAGAGGAACCCTCCTACACTGTTGGTGGGAATGCAAGCTGGTGCAGCCACTCTGGAAAACAGTATGGAGGTTCCTCAAAAAGTTGAAAATAGAGCTACCCTACGACCCAGCAATTGCACTACTGAGTATTTACCCCAAAGATACAAATGGAGGGATCCGAAGGGGCACCTGCACCCCAATGTTTATAGCAGCAATGTCCACAATAGCTAAACTATGGAAAGAGCCCAGATGTCCATCGACAGATGAATGGATAAAGAAGATGTGGTGTATATATAAACAATGGAATACTACTCAGCCACACACACACACACACACACAAAAGAAATCTTGCCATTTGCAACAATGTGGTTGGAACTAGAGGGTATTATGCAAAGTGAATTAAGTCAATCAGAGAAAGACAATTATCATATGATCTCACTGATATGTGGATTTTAAGAAACAAAACAAAGGATCATAGGGGAAGACAGGAAAAAATAAACCAGATGAAATCAAAGAGGGAGACAAACCATAAGAGACTCTTAATCATAGGAAACAAACTGAGGGTTGCTGAAGGGGAGGGAGATGGGGGAATGGGGTACCTGGGTGATGGACATTAAGAAGGGCATATGATGTAATGAGCACTGAGTGTTATATAAGACTGATGTATCACTGACCTCTACCTATGAAAATAATAATAACTTCTTTGTTAATTGAATTTAAATAAAAAAAGCTTCCCTCTCTCCCTCTCCCTCTGCCCCCCCCGCCACATGCCTATACATGCACACACTCTGTCTCAGAAGAAAAGAAAAGAAAAGAAAAGAAAAGAAAAGAAAAGAAAAAAGGGCCCAAAGGAGATGAGGAAACCCTTCACTGTATAGCAACCTAAGTGTAAGCAATGGGAAAAAAAACAAAAAACAAAACAAAAACTCTAAATAATATAAGAATTTTTAAATGCATCCAAAGTAGAAACCTAACTAGAGAATCAACAGTTTTATTTGAGACTCTTCATGTTTCAAAGAATGCTTGGGATGTTGCAGCAAAATGTAGTGGAAGAGCACTAGACAAGGATGTTATTAAATGTACAACTTTTAGTAAGTCAGGTACCTCAATCAACTTCAGTTATCCCATTGTCAAATGAGGGGGCTGCACTAGACACTGAGTAAATTTCCTCATCTGTAGAATGAGGGAAGTATACATAATGAATATATACAACATATAAAATACAAATCATAATTATCTTAAAAATCATTTTTCACTTATTAAAATATGCAATGAAACAAATGTTAATCACTCCCATTAATTTGATATTCTAATATGGAGAATGATACATTGAAAAGGCAGTTTCCTTTTTTACTAATTAAGAGGTACTTTCTTTTAAAAAGATGTAAAAGTACCTCATTGGCCGAAGCTACACAACCAGCTGCTGGAAATACTCCAGCATATGTAACCTATCTGTTGTTATTTAATATTAGCCTATTAAATATTTAATCTATTTGTTGCCAGGCAACTCCTTATTTGCCTTGGTATCAGCAAGGGTGACCTTGTTTACCTAATTCTAATTGCTAGAACGAGCAGCACTTTGTGAAGGAGTTTTAGGACACGGAGAAGAAAACGGTATTCTATACTAGTGTATGTCATAGATCTGGGTGTCAATCTAAGGGATTCATATCAAATCTGTTATAAAGAAGAGCGACATTTATTAAAAAGAATTTTTTTTTCAGAAGAAAAAAAATGATTAGGCACTGGACAGAGTCACAAAGTGGCTGGGTATCCCCAGTGGGCCTAAGCCCCCATCATTCCCCGTTACTCGCATCCAAATTATTTGCCTGGTGCCTGAAGACATTCAGGTCTGTCAACTGTGGGTAGTTTCCCACTTTCAATAATAATTATTTTTCAACGGGAATTTCAACAGTAAAAGTGTTTTATAACTACAGGTGGTAAATCGCAAAATTTATCTGATCAAATCCTGTATCACTTAAAGAAGGAACAGTGCTTCATCTACCACAACTAGCCCCAATCTATTTACATCTTTACTACTCGACTGTAAATGATCTAGGATTAAGACAAGACAAAACAAAACAAAGCCAGGAGTTTCTATGCACCCACTACTTATTTGAAAGTAGGGATAATAAGAGTATCTGCCTCAGAGTTGTGAGGATCATTACAAAACCCTTGGTTAGTGTATTCATAAGTAAATGAATTTACTTATTAAACCTCATATCAAGAGGCTGATAGTACGTTTTTGGAAGACCTGAACAATTAACAAATATCATCAGCAACAAAGGTTAAGTTGCATTTTCCTATCTTCATCTTCAGAGAGGCCCCTGTGACGTGGGCAGGAGGGAAGACAGCTAAAAAGGCGGAGGACCGCCTGGAGCACGTGTTTGGGCCGCCAGGCTTCCCGCCCAGAAGTTTGGGGGCGGGTGGAGTACCAGAGAGGCCCAGGGGCTCAACAGATGGAGACCGCAGGGAGTGAGGGCGGCCAGAGAAGCCAGCCAGGTGGACAGAACGGGGAGACCAGCCAGCAGGGGAAGCCCACTCGGGAGGGGGCAGGTAGGGCTGGGGGGGGGTGGCCCAGGTGACCGCTCAGGGCAAGCCGGGGGTGACCAGCGTTCTGTGGGCGCTCAGCCCTCCCCGCCCGGGGACCGGACACCTGCACCGGCGGGGTGAGTCTTACGATCTATGCAGGACACCAAGCCCCGGCGGCCGCTCTTGGCGGGAACCCGCAGAGCGCCGCGCGGGCAGTAGAGCCACCCTCTCAGCCGCCAGCAGCCGCTCCGCAACATGTTAGCAGCCCCTCCTCCAGCCAGAACCAGCCGGCAGTGACCCGCGCCAGTGCATCAACCAGGCCCCGTGCACCGTCCAGGTCCCGCAGTGCACCCTGGGAGCTGTAGTGCATCCAGCGGCCCTCGCCGCCCGGACTCAGGCGGGCCTGCCCGAGGAGCAGGACTACCACTCCCAGATATCCCAAGGCCGTGGCGAAAAAGGGCCGTGTGTTACTTAGGCTGGGGGACTCAGTGCAGGCCTTTCGGCGCCTGGGTGGGGTTCTGTCTGCGGAGTTGGGGAATCGATGGCTCGGGAGAATGGTGACTGAATGAGAGAAGGATCAGGGAGAGAACCGAGGAGACTTTAGCGCAGGTTATGCAAGATGGAAATGGGGGCGTAGATAACTGGGAAGGATTTGAGGGGCCCAAGTCCAGTTGCATCTGTTTTCCGCAAAAGTCCCTCGGGGCTGAGACTCCGATTTCTCTCATTGTCTCCATCTTGCTCTGCGCAGGTGTCTGGGGGCAGGCAACAGAACTGCGTCTTGTTTCTCTCGGTTGATTTGGAATCTTCTGCTCTTCAGTCCCCGCAGGGAAACCATGCCGAAACCCCGGAAGAGGCTCGCCGGGGCTGCTGGGCCTGCTGGGCCAGGTGAGCTGCACCCAGGCTGCAAAAAGGCAGCCCTGTAAAGAAAGCTTCTCTAGGATCTGTTTAATACTGTTCACTTTCAGGGCACCTGGGTGGCTCAGTCGGTTGAGCGTGGGACTCCGGTTTTCCGCTCAGGTTATGATCTTCGGGTGGGATCGAGCCCCACTTGCGCCCCATGCTCAGCGGGGAGTCTGCTTCTCGTCCCTCTGCCTCTGCTCATACCCAGGCTCTCACGCACTCTTTCTCTCTCAAATTAATAAATAAATCTTAAAAAAGAAATACTGTTCACTTCCAACTCCCTGCCTGTGGGGGGAATCCTTTGTGGATTGTTTTTGTTAATGTTAACCCTAATTGCCCTCCATCTTCTCCTTTCCTCTTCCCACCGAGCTTATACCCAGAGCCTCTTCTGTTTATTGAAGCAGTAGCTGTTTGGTGTAGATACATGGTGGCTTGTACAAAGGTAAGGAATGTACAGTTGTGTTCTCATGGAAAATGCAGACATACGTGAAAGGGTCTTAGGAAACCATGGCTAAGTGTATGAGAGCAGGGAGGAACACCTTGAGAAGGAAGTGGAACTTGAGTCCATCCTTAAAGAATGGGAAAGCTTTCCACAGGCAAAGAAAATGCAATGCTGTTTTTATATTCATCTTATATGGAAGATGAAGAACAGGAACAAAGCAATTGAAGGTAGAGAAAGTGCTTTTGGATTGACTACAACACATTGTGTTACTTAACACATAATGGTGTTTGCAGTGTGCTTAACTCCAAAGGGGCCACCTAAAAACTAGGCTAGGGAGAATCTAACTACTAGACATCTATAAACGATAATGAGAGCTGATGTAGGAGCTGGGACTTAATTCAGAGGTGGTGTGGTATAGTCATTAAGTGTGGATTCAGATAGACCAGGGTACAGTTCCTGATTATACCGTTTACTGAAATGTGTAACCTGGGACACATTTAGCAGATGAACAGACATCTCATACATTATGTAGATTAACTGAGTTACTGTTAGGGTAACAAATAGAGCTTATATAGTAAGAATTGAACAACTGTTAGCTATTGAGTGCCTACTACGTTCCAGGCACATTTTCTCTAATTCTCTTTGGAAAAAATCATCTTTGCCATGTCTACAAAGTCCAATGTGAGCTGTCTTATCCAGCATTTCTTGGCATCTTCAAGGAGCAGGCCACAAAGCACAGTGAGCAAGCAAAAAAGAACCATGAGATGGTGATGATAGTATTTACTGAGCATTTATTATAATGTCAGCCATTATTTAAGTCCATTGTTTGCAGTACCTTATTTAATCTTCAAAATAAGTCTGGGGAGTAGGTGCTCGGTTTCCTTATTGTAGAGAGAGCCTCAGCAAAGGCCCAGAAGTGTGGGAAAGAAAAGAATTTACTTAATAGAAACCAACCCCCAACCACATACACTATTCTTATCTCACTGAATGTATAATCCAGGAGATACCCTGTAAGGTGGGCATTCCTGTCCCATTTTTATAGATAAACTAAAGTTCAGCAATTCAGCTGCTACTGCCACTTATCGACAGATCCACGATTTGGATCCAGGTCTGACTCCAAAGCATGTGCTTTCCCCACAACGGAGCATTACTTCTCAGCAGGCATGACCAGTTTCTTCTTTTTGCTTCTATTGCAGACAATAAGGGGCCAGCAGGAAAACGGACCAAGACTAAGAACCCGGTAGGGGCATCAGCTACATTGGGTAACTCCAGCCCTGAGAAGACTTCAGCCTCTAAAAACTGTGGGAAGAATCTAAGCAGTTACTGGCTGATGAAGTCCGAGCCAGAAAGCCGACTAGAGAAAGGCGTAGATGTGAAGGTGAGACCAGGTACCTCTCTAATCCCTTCAGGCTGTTTTTTCAGATAAGAAGTGAATATGGGACACCACAGGGTTCCATCACCAGCTTCTCTGAAGGCTAGGGTTAGGGAAAAGATTATAAGGAATAAAATCAGCAGGACTTATTACCAGCAACTATCTGTTTTGTGAATCCTCTATGTAGGGCAGGGCGTGACAAACTTTTTCCATAAAAGGCCAGATAATATTTTAGGTTTTCCGGTCCTACAGTTGCTGTTTCAGCTCTGTTGCTGCAAGAAAGTGGCTCTGGGCAACATGTAATCAGATGGTGTGGTTGTGCTCCAATAAAACTATTTACAAGATCAGGCATGGGCACAAAGCTGTAGTTTGCCAACCCCCAACCTGGGCAACATTTCAATCTTGTTGCCTTGTTCTTGCCACCTACACCTACCATAATCCTATGTATCTCTCTGCCAACTGTATATTCAGTGAATATAAATCAATTTTAATAACAGCCTAGAGAAAACAGAAATATATAATACTTTAATGAGTGAAATACAAATAACCAACAGATCATTTTATCATCTAGATTATCTATTCATCTAGTCCTTTTAATTAGCCAAGGATAACAAGGAAACGCAAAGCTTACTCTACATTTGCCCAATAGAAGTGGCTCTGTGGAACCACTTCCCAGTAAACTACAGACTTCCACTTACAGCAAGTAGTACCCTCAACACAGGGGAAGAAACTGTCTACTTCCATATATTACCAGCTGGCCCCAAGACTGTTTAATGGATGAATTCATTTCCTGTTGCCTAGTTCAGCATTGAGGATCTTAAAGCACAGCCCAAGCAGACAGCATGCTGGGATGGTGTTCGCAACTATCAGGTAAGAGGGTAAGAGCAGGGCCCGAGACCCGGGGTCGGAGAGATGCCTGCCTCCTTCCTGGGACTTATTCAGTAGCAAAATCTCTTGGCCAGCATTGTTTTTTCCCCAGATCCCAACCCTAAACATGTATTCAAAACCACCTTAATTCCTCTGTATGCAGTTTACGAATGGCCTGTGTTCTGGCCAGTGTCTGCATACAAGTCTGGGTGTCTTGGCAAAGGCAAGTATTGAATTGGGGAGAAGCTGCAAAAAAGAAAAATTCATTTAATAGAAGCAGACTTGATTTCTACTAACTAGTGTTTTCCAGCGGGTGAAGAGGATAGTTGTTTATTTTCCCCTGGGGTAGGCCCGGAACTTCCTGCGAGCCATGCAGCTGGGGCAAGAAGCGTTCTTCTACCATAGCAACTGCAAAGAGCCAGGCATCGCAGGACTTGTGAAGGTTAGTTGTACAAGTGTTGGTCTTAATCCCTCTCCCTTCAGGGAGACTTACTCATACAGATATAAAGAAACACAGCTTAGATCAGTAACGAAAAGGAAGTACTCTCCTCCCCATCCCTGATGTCACAAGAATATGGAAAAACCACCCTGGCCCCTTCCAATCCAGCAAGGACTATAACAAGGCAGGCCTCATTTCAGGTCCCACTGGTACAGACGTCTCTTCATTTCTGTGCCTTGGTCTTTCACTCAAAAGCAGACCTGATGATAGCTCTTTCGAACCAGAAGTTATTAGGAAAAGGTTATTAACTGCAGGTGGGAAAACAGTGGTACCAATAATAACCTTTAATACTTGGTTTTAAAACCTACTTTTAAGATTCCTGTCAAAACAGCTTTGATTTCCTATGTTTGCTCTAGACTGTGTATTATTTCCAGATATAGTGGCTCTATAGCAAAACAAAAAAGCTGAGTATGTGCAGGGTCAGAAGTGAAAGTTGGACTTGAATTAAAAATTGGCCATGGAGCTGACTGTACAGGCATATCATTAGAGACTTGGTTTTGGTTTCAGATTGTGAAGGAGGCTTACCCAGACCACACACAGTTTGAGAAAAACAATCCCCATTATGACCCATCCAGCAAAGAAGACAACCCCAAATGGTCCATGGTAAAGACAACTATTTTTCCTATTTCATGAGAGGAAAAGGATGGACAAAGAGAGGGAGGAAGAAGGTGTGCGGTGTCTTTAGGTCAAGGTACAGAGTCCGGCTCTTACACTTAGATGAGGTTACCCTGGCTTTGGGGATGAGAACAGAACACTGGCAGCCCTGCCCATAAGAACCTCCCACAAGAAGCTAAGACACACAGTGGACAGAATCTACCTGAACATGTCTTTCTGCCATATAGGTGGATGTACAGTTTGTTCGGATGATGAAGCGTTACATTACCCTGGCTGAGCTCAAAATCCATTACCAAGCTCACAAAACCACTGGAGGCCCCTTAAAAAATATGGCTCTCTTCACTCGCCAGAGACTCTCAATTCAGCCCCTGACTCGAGGTAAGAGCAGGCCCTTTGCTTTATATTATCCACATACCAGGAGGACTCCATGAACTCACATTTACTAGTGATTAAACTTGGGCACAGTATTTAACTTTTCTGAGCCTGTCTCCTCACCTGTAACATCCATGAGGGAGGAAACATGTCTGGAGTTACCCATTACTATGTACCCACCACCCAGCAGTGCTTGGCACATAGTAAAACACTCCATAAATAGTTTTTGGATGAATGACTACCTGCCTCAGTAACAGGGTGAAATGCCCGGCACAACTTCCCTATTCAAGAGGAGACACACACCTAATACTTTGCTTTCTTCTCCCCTTCTTTGGTAGAGGAGTTTGATTTTATTTTGAGCCTGGAAGAAAAGGAGCCAAGTTAACTGGGACACTGTTGCTGGAATGGGCAAGCCATTACTCCAAAAAAGCCAAGCTTTTATAAGACAAAAGGTGTGTGGCAGCTTGCGTGTTATGTTCACCTGGGGTTGTGTACATTGGTGGTTTTCATGTACCTTTTCCAATAAAACATTAATATCAAATTTGGGAAGTTTTTCTTTTAAAATGGCATTGGAATAGAATACTCCACTGGAGATCTTCTGCCACTCGGTAAGATGCAAGCTTACCTCTACCATCTTCCTTTACTGTAGCAAATACCAGGGTGCAGGGTTCAGTCTATTACCACCTACTGAAACGAACTTTTTGTCTTTCCACACCGGCCATCCACACCTGCCCCTGAAGTCGTCTGGGCCCCATAGGGGTGTAAACCATCAGCAGTTTCAGCACAGGTTGCCAGATGAGGGTACAACTGGAATTCCTTTCTCAGCATGTGCTTGTCTAAAACGGGTGTTAATAAAACATCACTGTTCACCAGGGACCACAGCCATGGTGAAGGCAGGTGTTGTGCTGGATCAGGGTGGGAGTCTATCGCCCCTTGGGTGTGAGTGGGACAGTGTAAGACAAGAAACCACAGACCCTGGTGGACCATGGACACAATGCCTCCAAGCCACAGGGGCTTCCTTTAATCAGAGACAACTGAAACAAGTGTTTTTTTGTTTTTTTTTTTTTTTAAAATACAGCCATTGAAAAGACGACACATTAAGAAACATGTAAACGCTGCAGCTGCTTAATTACAAGTTGCACTGCTTGGTTTAGTACCTATGCACTCCCAGGTACGGGGACCTGTAAAGGTGGGGGCGGGGCCTCACCTCACCACAGTTGCACAGACAAGGAGTGAATGGGGGCAGAGTGAGGGAAAACAGAAGACCTGGCTTATGCACAGCTCCTGAGAGAATAAAATCAAATTCTACCTTCTAGTTCTCCCAGAAGAAAGGTTTAAGATGTTAGGAAAGTTGGAAAATGAATTTGGGTTGTCAGTTGGGAGGCAGAGGAATTAACAGGTCCTTTCTAGTTAGAGTACCAGCTATTCTGGGAGGCCCACCAGAGCTTAATCTCATGTGGAAAAGGCAAGGAACACAGAACCTGCCTCCCCCATACACTTATGGCCCAACCTTGATAAATAATCTAGGGGCAGCTGGATGGGCAATCCTGATCCCATGGGACTGTCCGTCGCACCTGCACTCGGGGTCCGGCATGGGGGGAACCACCTTACTTTCCTTGGTTCTGCTGTCCCCAGTCAACCTCAAGTGCCATCCCAGTATCTTTTCCACCAGGCTCAGTCCTGACCCAGGAGCCCTGCCCAGTCAGAGGCCCATGACTGCACTGATTTCTGAGGAAAAGAGGAGTGCGAATTTTCCACACTAAAGGAGGACAACAGGAACCAACCCCTTGGCTTTCCCAATTACGGACAACTTGGACCACCAAATATTGTACTTATTGGCCAGTGGGGTCTGCTTGAAGGGAAGGGAGGCCCACGGGTCATTTCCAGATAAGGCAGAAAGGGATGTCAACACCTTTACTCCAATAGGCCCACACAGTGCAACAGAGGGATGTCCCCTTCTCCTTTAGCATAACAAGAATACCCACAAGAGTTTTTATATACGTTTTTAAACAAAACCATCAATGGTCCTAAACTCTGGTCAGTCAACTGGTGAAGATGAAGACATAATTTGGCAAGCAGAATTATTCTGAAGTTGTGTAGCAGAGTCTTCTGCTGAGGCTCTCATCTCCCTCCTGAAACTCAGAGAGTGAGAGGACATGGGCAACAGTAAGAAATTTCCAAGCCCCAATTCCCAGAAACTAAATGGAGGGAGAACAAGGAGTGATGAGGATCCATTCTTAGGGAAGCAAAGAGATCAAGGCCCCTTCCCGGGATCTCTTAAGGGAAACAGACGCCCTTGTTTAGGCTTGCTATAGCACACAGCAATACCCTAGAACCATCCAGCCCCAGGGGCTGGGGAGCAGTCACCATACTGCTTCCTCAGTGGGCTCGGCTCGGCCTCCTGTGTTCGACACTGCTGCCATTCATGCATGACACTGACCCCAGGCTGTCTCTGTGCCCAGAATTTCTCACAGGAGAGGGGACCAGAGCCAAAGGCCCTTCCACAGGCTTCTGTTCCAGGACGTTACTGGTAAGAGTCTGTAGAAGATGGAGAAGGGAGGTGCCTGGGTCCCAGCAGTGAGAGGCCAGAAAGGAGGTGGCTTGTGGAAACATCAAAGCACCACATCCAAGACTCCCAAAGAGGTAGCTTCCTGATCTTGAGTCTCCCCCCGCCCCTGCCATTTAGGATAGGGTAGGGATAGTGGAGGAGAGAATAAGATGTGACTACCCCGGGCCCTGCTGGCAGCTCAGAATCCCAGGGACATGTTCAGATCCTGTATCAGGAAGCTCAGAGACCCAGGAGCCAAGGATGCCCGCTCTCTGCTCTCCTGTAAAATGCAAGGCAGCCGCACACGGAAGGCCTCAACAGAAGGCTCTTTTCCCCAGACAGACCAGCTACCAGGATGCTACCTCTCCCTATTCCCACATCGGCCGCAGAATCTCAAGGAGACTGCCTCCCAACCCAAGCCCCTTAGGTTCTTCAGAAAAAAGAATTTAAGTCAAAACACGATTTGTTTTCAGGTTGCAAGTAACAGGTCAGTTGAGCATCACACTGTCCTCCCCCTCCCCCAGCCGCTGGTGTTTGGTAGACGGGGGTGCTGGGGTGGAAGCCCAGCAGCTTCTTGGCTCTGGGGGCCTACTGCCTGCTGTTGTTGTCAGACAGCTGGCTGGGGGTCCGCACCTCACCCAGGGAGGCTGTACCCTCGAAGCGTTGTGAGGCGATGGCTGCCTGGTGGGACATGCTCTTCCGTACGATGTCACCTTTCCGCCACAACACCACTTCCTGCAGGATGGGGGGGGCAACATGCTACCTTGAGAGGGAGGCATGGGGGTGGGGGTTCCCAGAGGCTCCAACTTTCTCCTCTGCTTCTCTCTCCCTGATGACAGTTGTCCATACCACCCCAGGGCTCCGTCTGATGGTGTGGGCAGGGAGGGGAGAGTGGTCGCAGGGCCTGGGCCTGAGGAAGCAGACTCAATGTGTCAAGTGGGAACCCCCATTCTTGCTGTGGGACTCCCTCTCGGTGAACGAACAAGTGGCATAGAGACTAGTAAACTCTCTCCCCTGTACCGTTCTGCTGAATCTGTCTGAAATGGAACCTGATCTTCGCAGGAATGAAGCCCTTCCTGTTCTGGCTCTAGAGCCACCAGGGGTCTTGGGGAGGTGCCCGGGACTCACCTGCTGTTTGAAGTAGCGCCGTTCCTCCTCATCTATCAGCACCAGATTGAGGTAATAGCGCACAGAGAACTTCTTGTTGATGTCCCTCATGGTGGGGGTGAGCTCGTAGCCCGCCAGGAAGAGCCGGATCGGAATGGACTCTCCTGTAAGGGCCAGGCAGGTATCAGAGCGAAGGGGAAAGTGGCCTACCCAACATGACACCAAGTCACTCTCTGCCCACAGCAGGGGAGATGCCACCTGAGCGTGTCATGGCACACTCAAGGGAATGCTTCTGCCTGGTGGGAATATTGCATTCTGTGGCTCAGTGATCTGCTGAAGCAAAAACGTGACTCTGCAGTGCCACTCCAGGTCCCGTTGTGTCTTCTCTCACTGCCCCGATGCAGAAACCCGTGAGTATGAACAGCACAGGATACTACTACTAAGCATCTTTTGATGATATGTAATGTGTCTAGTTGTTGGGTTTTCACAAGCCAACTGTCAAACCCCAGCTAACTCATCATGTCACCCAGCAATTTCGATGCCACCTTCCTCCATCCTAAATAGTGTATGCCCCCCAAAATGCATCTCCACTCTGAGGCGGATTGGCACGGTGGTATAGTGGTCTGGAAAAGAGAAAATCCTCATTATGGCCTTAGTTCTCCATTAACCAGTTGTATGACTTCTGAGTTAGTCTATTGCTTTCTCTGGACCTTAATTTTCTCTTGTGGAAAACTGTGGGATCAGACTACATGGTATTTTTGATTTCTTTCAGCTCTAACACCCTGCCTTTCCTAATTTAAGTGAAATGAAATTAGGGCAGTAATTCTACCGAGAAGGGCCAAACCTATAATGTAGTCTAAAGCTAAATATAAAATGTGCCATTAATTATCTGCTGTTTTGTCTTATTTCTCAGAGAAAATGACAAGTGGCTCTACTTGCACAACTGGTGAAAAAATGGCACATACAGAGAGTCAGGAGAGCTCAGTCCTGTCTCCAAGGACCTGCATGGTGACACTCAAGAATCTGCTGTCATTGTCCTCTCCTTCCACATGGAACACACACGTGGGGATAAGCTGAATAAAACCTTGGCGTAACCAAGCACTTCTAAATGAAAAAATACATTCTTCATGATCAGTGGCTGCAGAGCCAAAAGAACATAAAGATTGCTACTCCCAAATAATCAGATTCCCCAAATAACAAAGCTTTCCACTCCATTCATTTCAGATGTAATGTCAGCTCTGGGGGTGGACAGGGTGGTGCTGTCTTCTGTCCCATTCCCAGTGCTGTCTGTGGCACCTAGTAGTGCTGCCCAGAGTATCTACACTTGGTGAATGAATTCAGAGAATGAATCATTTTGCCAGAGCTAGAACTGAGGGACACAAATGATTATTCTGCATTCACCTCTTGCTCCCTAGCAGCAGAGAATGCCGATAGGAAAAAGTAGTAAAATGTTCAAACTGTATCTGCTAAGCCAGTACTCTTCAAGCTTTTGTTGTTGTTGTTACTTAAGGGGCCTAACTCTTGAGATGAAATCTCCAATACAAGCCCAGTATGTAGGCGAGGCCAAAGTGAAGCTTTTCTGGGTGAAGATGGGGAAGGAACTTAGAGTTCCACATACCCAGCCTTCCTTTTCCTGTTTATTGGGGTCCCCAGTGAACAATTGGAGATGAGAAAGTGAGAAGGTGAACAGGAAGTCTTACTTTAGCAGTAGAGCCCCTCGAGCCCCTCCGAAACTCTGCGCGGGGCCTTGGGGGATGGGGGAGGCAGCCGCGGCTGCGTGCTAGCGTGCCCACCTCTCACGGGTGCCCCGTCCATGATCTCGTACTTGGCTATCGTGTCATTCTCGTGGTACACGTTGGGGCCTGTGCCCGTCGTTTCCCGCTTGATGATATCTATCTCCATGTGCTTGATTTTGATTCTCACCAAGAGGAAGTAGATCTTTCCTACAATGACATCTTTCAAGTGGTATCTGGGGAAGAGAAAATAAGATGTGAATACGGCAGCCAAACTTTGCTCATTTCCAGGTCTCCTGGGCTTTGGGGGAGGGGACACCGCCAAGCAGGTTGGCTGCAGACGGAGTCACAGTGCACACTCACCCATGTTTTTACAACTGCCCTTGCAGAATGATTTCCCAGTATGTTCTCTATCGGAGTCACAGTAACTTCTGTCCCGTTTTTCCATATGCGACTCACAGGATGTTACATCACCCGTTCCATCCTAGCTTGCCCATCTGATCTATCTCCTCAGCACGTTTATTTCTTTTATACCTTTTGTGTTTATATTGCTTTAGATGTCCTGATGTATGGGAGGCCAGCCCCACAAATGCAGGAACCAGGTCTTGCTCTTTCTCTCTGAGCTCACAAAATGTCTTTTGGGAACTAGGCCTCAGCTGCCTGCAGCAACCAGTTTTGTCTGCTGGATGTGACAGCCCAGGCAGGAGCGGCTGAGCAAGATGCATGCGTTATGCTCCATCAGCACCTTCTCCCCGGGCCCTGCTCACACGGTTTGTGCTCTGTGAGCTGTTATGAATTTGGCCATGCTGCATAACACTTTCTGACTTTTCCAGCATTTCTCTTTGAGTTAGTCTGGAGTACCAGTGGTCTGCATGTGCACAGCCCTGTATCAGGCATATAGGAAGAGAGAAAAATCTTCAAACCTGAAGCTCAGAATCATGGGACAAGAGTGTTGGCAGGGGCTTTAGAATTTAACCTTCTTAAATTACAGGTGAAGAAAAGGAAGTTCAAAGAAGATAGACACTTGAACAGGATTTGAGTAGGGGACAGACACAGGATATGAACCCAGGTGCCTAATTCCTAGGCTTGTGTTCTCGCCACTATTTCATGCTGCCTTTCTGCTCACAGTCTAACTGGGAGGACCGCAGACACTCTCAGTAGATAATCTAAGAACACTTACAAAATCAAAATGGAGGCTGCTCGCAGCATTTTAGAAGGAATGCTAAGAGATCATAGATTCTAGGGATTTTCAAACTTTGATAAATGGAACATTCCTTTATTCTAAATGAAATCCTATGCGGAAGCATTAATACATGAGAAACTCCTGTGGAGGGCCTAGAACCCTGGGCCCCGCTCTTCTTTCACTTCGTCCTTTCTGTATGTGTTTGAAACCCACTAGCCTGTCTCCACAAACATGATAGTACCTGCTAATCTTACCCCTAGGGCAATCCCCAATGGCAGAATGGGACTGTATGATATAGACAGTGTACTCTTACACGGCAGCCTGCTCTGAGAAGGCAGGACAGGTCTGAACATCCAGTTTCTGCGGTCAGGGGATGGACTCTCCAGAGCGCCCTTCACATACCACACTTGGTCTTGAACATCGTGCTGACAGCTATTTTGTGCTCCTCCTACAAGGTGGCGCTGCCTGCCAGCCACCCCTTTTACTAGGTAGCTGGAGCGGGGGTGGGCACACACTTTTGGTGGCTCCTTTCCAGAAGGCCCACAGAGCCCTGAGGCTGTGAGGAGAAAGGGGCAGAGGGCTGCTTCCTTACGTGTCCCTGCCTGGCCCAGATCAACCTCCCTTCCAGCTCGCCCTAGCCCATTCCATAGGTGGGGCCTCACCAAGCAGGGCCCATTCTGGGTCACGAGTGGTTCCAGGCCAGGAGCAGGGGAAAAAACAGGCCTTTCCCCTCACCCCTGTTCTAGGAAGCACGTATATTGCTAGTTTTTAAAAAAGCCCTGTTCCTAACCTCTACTACCTGACCCCCTGGATAATAGTGGGTCTGATATGAGCATCTCCCTGGTAAGAACCCTAGAGACTCTAATTTCTTTTTTTTAGCTCTCTGTGAATAGAATACACTTTTACTTTTGCATATCTGATTTTCAAACATTTTTAGGAATGTATTATATACTGAAAAGAAAGATGCTTGTGGTACATTTTTGAAGTGTCAGTAAGTTTCATGATTTGTAAGCACTTAAATATTTTCTTTTTTTTAAGATTTTTAAAATTCATTTATTTGAGAGAGAGAGCGAGCACAAGCAGGGAGAGTGGCAGAGAGAGAGGGACAAGCAGACTCCCTCCAGAGCAAGAAGCCCAACGCGGGGCTCGATCCCAGGACCCCAGGATCATGACCTGAGCTGAAGGCAGATGCTTAACCAACTGAGCCACCCAGGTGCCCCGCACTTAAATATTTTCCTGTTCGGACAACAAACAGTTTAAAAAGTACATGGCTTCCCAACTTGCCAGTTAGAATAATTTAAAGACCTTTACAAAAAGGCATCAGATGTTCTTTGCTATAATTCATTTAAGTTCAGGAGGAAGCAGCAAACTATGGCCGTTGCATGGTTTCTTCATGTTCATTTCTAGAGACATACTGTATATAGGATACAAATGCTAACAGGAATGGTATTCTGAGATTATTTTCATCAGCAGAAGGAAAGAGCTGTATCTACATCCAAAACAAATAACCTCAGTTTGGCTTGACCTTGAAAGACAATGTAGGATATTTAACTTAAATGTAGTACCTTCTTAATTTCAGTTTAGTTTAAGTAAAATGAAGTTTAATTTCCTGGTCTACCTTTCAGCAGATATATTCACAGTACCAGGTCAGTGGCCTCCCCTATAGCCTGGCACTATGAGCCAGCCAAGGCTCCACCTGCTTGTATTCTCATCAGGTCCTATCTTAACCTCCCTCAATAGTTCTCCATGACCGTGGGGCCCCAGATACTTACTTGGACTTATTATACTCAAACTCAATGTGCAGGCAGTCCTCGATCCCAACCTCCATCTTGATGGAGGAGTTCAACTCTGGGTACGTGCTGAGTGTGTGGACTACAATGTCCATCTCTTTGACGACATCATTGAGGCGGCGGCTGATGGTGGCTCGAAGGAAATACCTGTAGGAGATGGATGTGTCGTGAAGGAACACTCCCAGTCTCCACATGTTGCCTCAATCCATACACCAAATAGACCCAGTGGAGAGAAGCCCTTACGGTGGTTAACCTTTGGGGCTTTGTATTCCTTTGAAAACTTACCCCTGTGGACCCTCCTCCCAGAAGAAAATGAACATATGCACTACGCATAAAATTTCGCAATTACAGTTCCAGGGAGTTCAAAGACCTTCCCCCCAAATACCTTTTCGAGTCCATCCTCTCGGCTCAGAGCACTGCCCCAAATAAAAGTGATTTCTCTGCTCTATCCTCCCACAGCAATTTATCCTAATGCCTTTCATGCCCCTCACCACTGCCTACCATGTATTTTTGTAGGGGTTTTTCTTCAACTAACTCCTGGGTCTTCAGGCACAGGGATCTGTCTTACATTCTTATATTTGCATGCCTGTTTATTTAACAATATTCAATCCATTACACATTTTCCAAGTCCCTCAAAATAAACGGGAGGGATAAGGAATGGAGAAAGTAAGTCAGCTCTTCATTCAGCAAATGTTTATTGCTAGGCATAGGATGAATAAGATACAGTCTTATGGGAAGCTCACAGTCCGCTGGGGAAGGTGGGCCAAGAAACAGAAATAATAGAACACAGAGCAAGTGCTAATTCAGGTAGAGCAATCAAGTGCTATGGGCAGAGAAAAAAGGACACTCAGGCAGAACAGACCTTATAAGTAAAGCAGCAGAGGTGGGAGAGGTCCTGGTTTGAACAAAGAAAGTCTCTGGCTGAACCCTGGATCCCTGGGGAGGTGTTGATGTGGTAGAGGACAAGTGGGGAAGAAGACAGAGACACAGCCCCTGAAGGGCTTAGCGTGCCAAGCCTGACCCTCCGGTCAGCTACTCAAGTACAGCCAAATCCCAGCATCCTTGTCCGCTTGACTTACTCTATGCTAATACCCAGTGACTGGAGGAACACCCTCTTGATGATATTTTCTTCTAAACAAAACGTAGATAATCTGCACTGTTCCCGGAGAAAGTTGCCAACCAGATCAATGATACATTTAGGCTCCTCTCCGCTGTGTGGTCCTGACTGATGCTCAGCAATCCTTTTATTCATCTCAGTAACTTCTGCCACATTCTCCAAGACACTTATTTGTTCCTAACCCTTTTCTAATTGCTCAGGCTCTCAAGCCTCCTCTCTCCCCTCTCTGTAGAAGACATAGCTTTTACTCTACTGAGAAGAGGAAGGCCTTCCAAGTCAAGATTTTTAATTCTCTCTCTTCTCTGCTTGGTGCTGTTTCTTACTTTGGTCCTAAATGTGGGTCTGTATCTTTGCCCAACCTTTCCTCCTTCCAACAGCACCTCTGTCTCTCAAGACCCTTCTCCTCCTCCATCTGGCAGAATGACTTTCAATCTGGGTGCATATTACGACCAACCTGGGGCGAGGTGCTTCCAAAATCCAGATGCCCAAGCAGAGCTGACATTTAACCGCTCTGCAGAGGTACACAGGCATCAGCATCATCCGAAGCCTCCCAAGTGATTCTAGCACAGGAGCTTTGGCAGAGAACTACTGCCTGGCATCTCGATCCTTCAAGTTTTCCAATTTCCTTAATATATAGAATCCCTCTCCAGTAAAGGCTTCCTCCTTTGAGTTTATACCAAGGCCCAAACTCCTCAATCCCCAAAACACTCTCCAGGCCTTGCATCCCTGACTGTTCTTGAGGGACAGTGGTCGCTGAGGGGTCCTGTTCTAACCACTACAGCTTCTTCCCTGCTGCCAAACCCAGTGGCCTTGCTTTTTCAGCTTCAGTTTTGACACTGGAGAGTAAAACATTTCCTCCTCCTTCTTGAAATGCTCTTCCCATGGTTCCACAGGAGGGCTTTACCTGCTTCACCCACCCCCCTTCCCATCCCTCTAATAGGTCCTGCCTGGGCTCTTCTCTCCCTCAGTTCTCCTCCTTGAAAAATGTACCAGTTTCTACCTCTGAGCAGAGGACTCCCCAACAGTGCATTTCTCTGTCCTGAGTGCCAGGCTTGCATTTCCAATTGTCTAGTGAACTTTCATACCTCTCTATCTTGCCAGTGCTTTAGACGTTAAACTGGATGAATCATCTTCACTACAAACCATCCCTTCTTCCTGATAGCTGTCTGTCTGCACCTACACTCACTGATGAGTTCTGCTGCTGTCTGTTAAACTCCTCGTTTGCTGCCCACTCCTGCTGTGTCCACTACGTAAGTGTCCACTGAGGTAAGACGCTCAGGACCTCGACTAGTCTTCCAACAATTTTGTCTCTGTGTTCTACCCATTCATCAAATAGGACATGTTGATTTTATATTAACCACCCAAAAGAACCACTCCCCCGCCTAGAAACAAAGAAAGAGGAGTCTAGAGCGATCTTTTCATGTTTCCCCTCTGCCTAAGCAGTAAGGTACAAGCCCTTCATCTGCAATTGATATCTATAAGCTGCCCTTAACTAATTTTCCCTTCTTGACCTCCCTCATTTTCTCAACATGAATCCTAATGTCTTCATCTAATTGGACAGCAACACCTTTTTCTCTTTTATTCATTTATTTATTTTGTGGTAAAATATAGAAGTTCAGAGTATACTACCCCAAAATATGCCACTCTGGCATAACGATTATATTGAGCTGAAAGCAACTGACAAGAAGCAGACACAAGAAAAATTCTCTGCCCTCCCCACCCTCTACCAGGAAGAGCAGGACATTCTTACTCGCCAGAGACAACTGCTACCAGCCCAGAGACTGCACTAGAGAAATCCACATAACAAATCTTGCTAAAAGGATTCTTACCTTCCATTTGTTTCTCTCATATATTTACCTTCCTACAACTTGTTGTCCCTAGAAGCTCAAAGTCCCTTTCCTTTGTCTTGTCACTTCTCTGTAAAATTATCATTCTTCTGTTAAGATGCTTACATAAGCTCCAACCACCCCTTTGCGTTACCAATCCCTGAGTGCCATGTGTATGCACAACACACATGTGAGTCAACCAGTCTGCCTTTCTCTTGCTAGCCTGTCTTCTGTCAGTCTGATGTGCAGGGCCTAAGCCAACGAACCTAAGGTGGATAGAGGAAAAAGGGTTTTCTCCCACCTACAACATATATAACAAAACTTAACATTTTAGTTATTTTTAAGTATACACTTCTGTGGCATCAAGTACATTCACATTGTTGTGAAATCATACACGACTTTTTATGACTGGCTAATTTCACTTAGCATAACGCTTCCAGCATTCATTCATGTTGTAGCATATGACAGGATTTCCTTCCCTTTTTAAGGCTGAATAATAGCCCACTGTATGTATATACCACATTTTATTTACCCATTCATCTGCTAATGGAATTCAGGTTGGTCCATCTTTTAGCTGCTGTGAACAAGCAGCTATGAATGTGGGTATACATGTCGCTGTTTGAGTCCTTGCTTTCACCTCTTTCGGGTGTGTACCCAAAAGTGGAATTCCTGGATCATATGGTAATTCTATTTTTAATATTCTGAGGAATCACCACCTTTCTCTCTGACTTAAAAACATTTAAGAGTAATCCACTGTAAAAAATAAAATTAAATAGTAATAAATCCCACAGTCAAGTTTTGGTGACAACTAGATAATCCTCACAGTTGTGAAGTTTTTTCTGAGTGCAATTATGAAATGCTGTCTCTAGTTTGAGTAATGTCAGTGATTACACCTCTCTGCAAAGACTGAAAAAGAAGAGGCTACAATCACTCTTCTGATGGAAGAGGGGAGACCACGGAGAGAAGAGAAGGGGAGGAAAGGTCTTGCTGCAGTCCGGACCACCAGGCCTGCAGGTGATGAAGATGAGCTGATCTTATAAGATAGCATCAACACCTAGAACCAGGTGACCACGGTGACAGAGGAAGTCTGCTTTATCTCAGTGACATCACATAATCTCAGGTTATATCCAAGAGTCTAGAGCTTCTCTGGATCTTTTTTTTTTTTTTTTTTTTACCCCAGAGGCCCTGGAATCAGTCTCCATCCTCAGAAACGGGAACACTAAAAACAGTCATATGTACTTAAACTGTTTATTAATTTTTTAAAAACTCATCATACTGTGTTATGTTTTATGCTCCCATCACCCCAAAAGATGGAGGACCGATCTAGAACTAGAATCCAAATCTATTCTACTTTTCAAGCGAGAAAGCTCAGTGACAGAGCTCGGGATCACATCGCTGTTGTACAGCAGAGCTGGACTGAGGATCTGTATGTCCTGATGTGCAGCCCACGGTATGCTGGGGACAGCACATAGCAGTGTATAAAAGCTTACTGTTGAATCTTCAGGAATTTTAAAAAACTGGTTGTTAAACATAGCAATTACTTAAAATTAAATTATAAAAACTTATAATTAAGGTTATATGAAAAACAAAGGTAATGCATACTAAAAACTCATTGCTTCCTAATAATTTTGCTACATTTTACAATTCTCTCTGCTCTTGGGGGAATTTATATCTAGCTATGTCAAGGTGGCTACTGTACATCTCTCCCCAACTCTGTAATCAGGGACATTAGGTTGGGAGCTTGATATTGGCCATGGTGGGAATATTTACACTACAGAAACTGACAGTTTTCAGAAACTGAAAAACCAGGGCTTTTCTTCCCAGAGAGCCCATTGTTAACCATTTACCAGCACACCACCGCTCTCAAGCTCTCTTCCTTCTTGATACCCATATAAAAAGCCTCAGAAATGTGGACAGCTTCAGGGGAAGGTGAGGAAACAGCAGGCACAACTTACCTTAGTTTCACATTCTGGCCTGTGTATGACTCATACGGCTTCTCCACGTGGGTGAATTCAAAGTCGAAGGCCTGTGATTGGCTAATTTCTCCGGGCCGGGCCAAATCCTTCACCAGGGACACAAACTCATGGTGGTTCCCGCGGTCATAGTAGAGTTCTGGAGAGAAAGCATCAGCCTCTACTACCAGACCCCAAGCTACATGGGGCTTAGCAAGGAGGCTCCAGGATGCAGGATCCCCTCTTCCGAGAGAACTCCCCCCAAAACAAACTTCCCCTAGCCCTTGTTTCCGACTCCCTTTCTTTTCCTAATCTCACTCCTTCACTGCATTCTCCATATACTGATCTCCTTCCTTCCCCCACTTTCTACACATTTCAGTTTTATACAGAGGAATCCAGTGGCACAGTAAAAACCCAATATAACCGGCTCCAGCATATCAGGGCAGTACCTTAGTGAGAGATACATCAGGGGAACTGCTATCAAAAATACTACATTGCTTTAAAAACATTTCTAAAAATATTTCTAACTTTTGAATGCATGTTCATAGTTCTTTAATCATATCCTAATAATAACCTTCTGAAGAAGCTAGGACAGGCCTTGTTACCCATTTAACAGAAAGAAACTGAGGCATGGCATGGTCAAATGATTGGCTTAGAGTCTCATTGCTGGCTGCAGAACTGAGATTAGAGCAGATTTCCTGCTAGAATTAATCTATTTCTATGACCTGGTATAATGGGAGTAAGAACATTATATTTTGTAAGGTTCTGCAAGAATTAGAGGGAGTAATGCAGGTAAAGGACTCAGAATAGTACCCAGTTGATAGCAAATATTCAAAACATATTAGCTGCTAGCTGTTATGATCCCTCAAAGAGGAATCCACATGGCCAATCTGACACAGATGTTTTAGTGTTATTCCCTCCATCTAAATAAAGGGGGTTCCTCAACTTCGGTGAGCACCAAAATCAATTGGAGGGTTTGTTAAAACCAGATTGTTGAGTCCTGTCCCTAGAGTCTGGGCCCAAGAATCCGTATTTCTAATAAGCTCTCAGGGGATGCTGGTCCTGCTGGTCCAGCGACCACACTTTGAGAAGCACTGCTCTAAATTCATCCTCCTCTGGAAATAGTTCTGGCATTCAAAACTTAATTATGAGTTTATGCCATCAATTTATTCTCCATTATTTTATACCTATTTGTACCCTGCTATTTAAGCGTTAACTTTTCTAGATGCATGGTCTTTAGAGCTAAGGCCTAGTTCCTGGCACCCCCTCAGTACCTGGCCGTGCAGAGGGAACACTTAATACTGACTGTGAGTCTACATGGCCACGTTATAGTCAAGGTACCACCCGTCGGGCATTTCTGGGCTCCAGTCCTATGTAAGGCTACAACCTGAGACAAGGTAGATCAACAGGGGAAATAGATCTGGTAGAGTGCGCTCAGTACTACTGCTGTTGGCTGCTTGGGGACAAAGAAACGGGTCCACAGAGAGGAGTGTCCAGGACAACAGCCTACTAGGCCAGTTCCTGTATCTCCAGAGCACAGCAGGCAAGCTCTCTCAACGACAACCTGGGCTCAGGGCAATGGGGCAGAGCTGCATTTGGGTGGGTCCACCTCAGACAGCACAAGGTCTGAGCCCCAATTGGGACTGCAGCTAAGTGCCCAAGAAATGCAGTGTCCAGCCCTGCCCCCAGGGAGAACCATGCCCAGAAAGAGAAAATGGTTTCAAGTAGTGCTTTCAGTCTGAGTGCAAAATCAACCCCTTGCTGACCTAGGAGCTGGTCCTGACGAGCCTATTCCATAGGGAGCCCTTCCTCCGCCCCCCCTCACCCCCCGGCCCCAGACAGGGAAGCATTCTAAAGCAGAGTGGGCTCTGTCCTAAGATTCATCCAACTCAGGAAGGTGGCATTAGTGTGGTTTAATCCCAAACTAGTGCTGCCACTTCTGTAAGAATTTACATTGTATTCTGTGATTACAGTTTGTTGCTGATTTCCTATACAGTTACCCTTTAATCCACTTTATATTACAACCACCTTCTCTTCCAAATACTAAATGGAATCAGTAGCAGGCGGCATTCTGGGTAGTGAGTAATAATCCCAAAATTGCTAAATGGGAGACCACACTTACAACCTATAGGGGGAAAGGACAGGGAAAGGTGAGCAATTCATTGCTTCTATTTTAAAATCCAATAACTATGTCCCCCAATAAATGTAAGGAAGTGCAGTGATCAGGTAGGAACAGAACCACTGTGACAAGGGCTCCTTCACTTAACTCTCACTGGTCCATTGCTACATAAGTCCTTGTTGATGGTCCTGACACCTATGTGGCAAGTGACCCCTGAACTGGTGGACCTGGTGTCTTAGCTCCCAAGCACTGGATTCTGGCCATAGTTTCAGGTGACAGAAGAAGGCAGAGCACAGCCCCAATGTCCATGACCTTTAAATGAGAAATCCCAGAGTCAAGAAAAAGATGGAAAGAGAAAGATGGAAAAATACACAACTGTGATCACACATACCAAAGGCAACATGACAAACAAAACAGAGGAGGACCCAAGAGCGCTCAGAGAGCACACAGACGGCCAGCATCTGAGAATCCTAGCAAGGTTATGCCTGACCCAGCAGGGGCACCTGGCTGTGGCCACCTTTGGCACCTTTCCTGCATAGCATCACGTTCTCCCTAGTGCTTTTCCTCCGGGACACATGGCATTAAATGTCACAGAAGAGTGGCAGTGTGTAGCCTGAGTGGAGCTGGACTGGGCTTTCTAATTTATAATTTATATGCCATTTGCAATGCTCTTGCAAACACTGTGATGCAAAGGGATAGAAATAGCAGCCATACTTTGCTATTTGCCAGAAAGTTTGGTTTTCTCTCACATAAATTAGAACAGAAACTACAAGGTTGTTTTAGCAAGAGGCTATAAACTGCCAATATTCTAACCCAAAGATGCAATGACAAGTCATCCCTGGTTCTCCCCAACCTCCAAAGCCCTCAGCAACCAAGCATCTCAAGCTAGAAGTAGGAACTGACCATGTTTTTTGTTAAGGTAACTTCCCTGTCTTGAGCCTCTTTCTTGATTCCAACAGGAGGAAGTGACTTTTGTAGTCAGGATGTTTTCATGATGAAACTTGCCACCAACGGCTGAGGAGTGAATTTGCCACTTTGGAAGGAAATTGAGCCAGCTATGCCTCACAGGTTCATCATTAGAGACAGCCTGAGACCTGCTACTGGGCTGGCACCACGTTTGGTCCAAGCTTCATGCAGGTCTTAGAAGAAACATTAAGTCAGCAAGGGCAAAAAGACCTCCAAAGAGCCCCGTCCTGATTTTCCCAGCCACTATCTGCTGACTGCAACCCCATCAAGATTCATGCTGGCCACATCTACTCAGATCTCCTGGACCCTGGAACACTTGCTACAGCAGTAACACCTCTGGGCTGCCCATCCCCAGCAAGATGCAGCTCTGCTTGAGCCCTGCAACAACTCACTAATAGGCCACAATCAATCCATTTAATCTCAATGTGCTTTTTACTTAGATTTTCATGGGTTAATGAAATAAAATACAGAAAGCCTCTGGAGTTTTTAGAAGTACAGGCTTGGGGTGCCTAGGTGGCTCAGTTGGTTAAGCATCTGCCTTCAGCTCAAGTCATGATCCCAGGGTCCTGGGGTTGAGCCCCACTTCAGGCTCCCTGCTCAGTGGGGACTCTACTTCTCCCTCTCCCCCCAGCTTGTGCTCTCTCTCTCTCGCTCACTCCCTCTCTCAAATAAGTAAATAAAATCTTTAGAAGTACAGGCTTAGCTGGTACTGATGGGTTCAGATCCATCCTGTGTCATTACTTTTTTTTTTTTTAAGATTTTATTTATTCATTTGAGATAGAGAGAGCAAGAGTGGGGCAGAGGTTGGGGGGAAAAGCAGAGGGAGAGGAAGCAGACTCCCAGCTGGGCAGGAAGGCCTGGAAGTGGGGCCAGATCCCAGGATACCAAGATCATGACCTGAGCAGAAGGCAGAGGCTTACCTGACTGAGCCACCCAGGCGCCCCCAGTGGCGTTACTTTTAAAAACTTTTTTAAAAATCCAGATTATTATCTATTTGGTTTTGGAGGACAGGGGTATTCATATCTGCCCGTCTTTGTAAGTTTGATCTTCTAATTACCTTTGGTTTATTTAACCCCACTAGTCTCCAAGACGGCCCAGCTCTACTTTATATCTTGCATTACAGTTCCCCAAATGAATCCAGCTGAAAAATGGTCTCTCCTAACAATTAAAAAATTTCCCTCCATGCTTCTTATATACCACATTGCATTTTTCTAAAATGTAGGCCATCCCATGCTAGAGTGACATGGGAGATGCCCTCCCCATACATTGTTGGCTTTGTTACAATAGACCAAGCCATTGGAAAAACCACTCTAGGTGCTGCAGGAAGAAACCCAACATGGCTCAAAAACTTACTAAGGGTAAGAGAAAACACAGACAACACAGGTGAATAAATAAGACCTTCTTATACTCTCAGGGGGCAACACTTAAACTGCAACATCCAAGTAGTTGGTGTAGAACTGAGTGAATCACAGGTCTGACAACTCTTATTTTCTTATATACAGGTAGAAATCATCCTCAACTTGGCATAAGAAAGTGTGATCAAAGAAATGTGCAACAGCAAGTGAACCAACATCAGCTTTAACGTTTCTGTGCCCTAGTTCCCTCAGGGAAGAGGCTGTGCTCTGGTGCCTGCTGGTTGGTGAGTCATCTTAGTTCTCAGTGGCCTAGAGTAAGGGCCACACCTCACTTACCAATGCCTCGGCCCCAAGCGCCAGCAGGAAGCCCTCCCTCTTCACAGTAAGCAGCAAAGCAAACCTGCACTCCCCCTTTCCTTCATTCAAGTAACTCTGGTTTATCTAGGAGGGGTTAAGAAAAAAAGCCAGAGAACAGCTCCTGTAAATTCCTAGATCTGACCACATCACCAGTTAGCAAATATTTATTGAGCACCTACTTTGTGTTAGCCACTGAGACTAGAGATAAGCCACCACACTGATGATGGACTGAAGGCAGTCCCTGGTTTTCAGGGACTCAGGAAAGCAGACCAGAGGAAAAAAAAATCACAAGTTTGTCACATCCTGTTTGAAAAGAGGTACTAATGAGGCCTGTGGAAGAACAGTGGAGGAAGGGCTTGAGTCAGCCTGGGGAGCTTGGAGAAGGCTGTCAGGGATACCATGTCTGCTGGGCACTTTAAGAATGGGTAAGAGCCTGAGTGCAAGGTCATACCTTGCAGCAAGATGTTCCCATACAAAGGGAAGATACCAAGATTCTAGAAGGGACGTATTTTGAGGAAACTATAAGAGGTGAGGGTTAAGGGAAAGGGAGAGATGAGGCTCAGGAGAAAGGCAGGGCTACTCAGGAAGGAGCTGGGTATACTTTTGCCCTTTAACCAATAGGAAGTTGATGAGCAGAATTTTAAGGAGGGGACTGACAATGTCAGAACTGCCTTTTAGAAAGTACACTCTTACAGAAGATGAACTGAAAGGCGAGGAAAGCAAAGGCAGGAAGTCCAGTTAGGAGGTGGCCACAGAAAGAGATAATGAAGGCAGCAGTGTTGGCAAGAAGAGGAAGCGCAGACTGGGGACGTATTGGAGAGCTGTTGGAGAGCTGACTGGGCATGCAGGAGGAAGACTTAATCTAAGATGACTTCCAGATCTTGGAGGCTGAATGGATGCAGGTGACATAGGCCACAGTGGAGCAGACAGGACAGGAAGCAGGTCTGGGGCTGGAGCAGAGAACGAACGAGGTTTCTGTTTTGGATGTGTTTCTGAGGGACCTGTGGGGTATCCACGTGGAGGTGCTTAGCAGGCAGTTGGAGACACAGGCATGGAACTCAGTAGAGAGTTCACGTCAGGACAAAGAAAGAGGTTGGTAGTCATCAGAATATAAAAAGACACAGAAGTTATGGGTGCAGATGAGATTGCCAGAGCAAGTTATAGAGAAGGGACAGGAAACAAAAGTTACCCCTGTCCCTGCCTACCTCTAAAACCAAGACTGAAACAGGAGCTTTTCTGAGCAGGGGCTGGGCCACTATGAGGAATGGGGTCCAGAGAGGTCCAATGCAACAGAAAGCCAAACAGCTATCCCTGCAAGGACTCTGTGTAGAGTCCCTTTCACAGGTTTCCACTTGGGCTAATATGCCGTTCGGGAGAAGACAATGGAAGGCAATGGGGGAAGCCAGACAAGTAGACCAAAGGGAAGCTTAACCTGGTCCAAACATTCCCCATGGACCATCTGCACAGGAATCGGGGTGACTGCAAGGTGACATGTTTTAAACATCTAGTGCCTGGAAACTTCTTGATGGGTCAAGCTTAACAGGGAAAGAGAAAATGACAATAATCATCTTAACTTCCTTTTACAGAGTACCTATTATGTGTGCCAAGACCTGCACATCACATATATTATCTCTAGTCCTCACCAGACTCTAGCAAAGACTGTACTATTACAAACTGAGCCCTATCTAATTTAAGTCACCCTGTCTGCATGACCCTCAATCATGTACCAGGCTGTCCTTCTAATGAATACACAAGTGGGACAAATATACTTTCATCAGGAGGAAAAAGAAATCAATCATAAGGATAAGACGGTTAATTACATAAAGCACCTGATTTTCAAGCTGTGGAACTGTTCCCTAAAAGAAACGAAGGAAGGAGGGAAGGAAAAAAGAAAGAACCAAATCCAAGAGACTATGGTTTATAAGAACATTTTTGAGTTAAAATTGAATTCAATGAGGAAGGTGGACAAGGCACAATGATATCAACTTTCTTACTCCCATACAGCAAGACCTATACTGTACCTCATTCATAGAGCCAGACCTAGGAGCCAGATCAAAGCTCCACCCACTTCATTCATAGTCAAAGACTGCAACGAAGGAGAAAACCACACTACCACAACCTTGGCGAAGTTATTCACTATCCTCGCTCTGGTGCTCTCAGATCACTCGACTGTTGACACAGATAGACCATACTCTGCATGAAGCATTATCCCTTGACAGCTCAACATCATTCTCACAAGGTGATTTTGTTATCCCTGCCGTATAGGTGAGAAAACTGAGCCCCAGAAAGGCACAAAGCTTCCTCAAAGTCACAGGGTCAACAACAGCCCACAGTGCTCAGAGGCTCAGGAAGAGTTATCAATGGAAGCTAAATGGTTGGGAGAAAACCCAGCAGGGATGATGATTCAAGGAGTTAGACAAGAAACCAGGAAGGACAGATAAACCAGTAGCTCCTTCAACTTCCCTTTCACTTAGACTAGAGGGAGGCTTTGACTCCATTCCCCTGAACAGCTTATTTCACATTGCTGGGGTAGGGGGTCACTCTGGTTATCTTTCACGTATTGATGAGGTATCACGACCACCTGGAGTGATGGTAAAGACACAGACTAAATGTGCCTGTTTATACACTCGTATTACAGAGCCAAAGAAACCATCCAAAAACTTTAAAACTACTAAGTAGGCAAGTACTTCTCAACTATCTCATACATTATGTTTAGCATAAAATGCTTTGGATTCATCCTATCGACCCAGTGGTCCTTCACTAGGGTGATTTTACCCTCCAAGGGACATAAGGCAGTATCTCAAGACATCTCTGGGGGTGCTTTTTGGGGGTGCTTCTGGTATCTGGTGGGTCAAGGCCAGGTTAATATCCTGCTAAAAATCCTGAGACAACAAAGAATTATCTAAGGCCCAAAATGTAAACAGTACTGCTGTTAAGAAACCCTATTCAAGCTAGAGGCGGGAGAGTAGAGGGTATGAAACTCACTCTTTAGCCCCTTTCCAGTACATAAAAGGCCACCCAAATTCTGGATTTAAAATAGCAAAAAGGTTTCCTCTATGATCAGCCAGTCTTCAACCTAATTTCATTTCTCAAATACCAGAGGCAAACACTTCAGCCAGAGCACTGGCCACACAGACTCCTTTTTCCAGGATTCCTCCTACCTATGCCAATGTTTCCTGCCCCTGTAAAACAGAACAGATTCTTTGCTGAACTCTCAGGATATGACAGAGAGTATTTAACGAGCTTTCCCAGGAAGTCTGTAAGAACAGGGTCATACATGCAGCCTTTGTTACAGGTATGAATCTTTTGCCAGAAGTTTTTTGCAGCCCACATGAGTATTTACTGTGAATCTACTCCTGACCTAATGACAAAGACCATTTATTTCAGAAGTACCTGAGAGTTTCTAAAAACACAAGACTTCAAATAGTCTTAGAAATAGAGACAACCCCACTTTGGCAGCTCCCAAACCTTCTGTATTGTTACTGCCTTTTACTTAGTTTTAATTATTAATAATTATGTTTGAAGATTGTTAGAGCTTTGAGAAATTTTGATCATTTAATTTTGGACTTAGAAGGACCTTTTCTTTGTCTGTAAGGAGAAAATTAGTCAACTGAAACTAGCTAGCATTCTAATGAAGAAGTCTTAGAAACACAGGCTAAGTATACAGAAGGAAGACTGCAGGGCTTCTTTCTCAAAACAGGTCCAAGGATAGGAGATCAGAGCTAAGGTGAGACAGTAGGGTGGTGAGCTCTCGCCCACATCACATGTAAAAGAAAAAGGGGGTGGATGGGCGTGAACTAAGTGAGGCACAGAGGACTAGCTTAACTTGGGTCTGACAGCTGTGGATGTCCAGACAATGGCAAAAGCAGTACTGGAGAAAGGTCTCCCCCTAACAAACCCACCTGCAGGCTATGGCAGGAGCATCTCGCTCGGAAATCCTGGAGGTAGGAAGAAGCATAGCTGAGCGCACGCCAAAGGGACAACTAGGGTATCCCACGGCAAGGTGCCCACAACAATGAGGCTGTCGGCAGGGATGCTCCCCGTGGCCCTCGGCCACCCCCACCGTCCTGCGATGCGCTGTCACTTTTGGCAGGGAAGCCGGCAACGCAGGGGCAGTCGCCGGCCGGCTGGCCTCAGACTGCAGTGGACAAGGGGCTCTGAAAGGCCTCACCGGAGCTGGGCCCGGAACCACCCCGCTCCCCCACCCCCAAGTCGGCGCTCTGGCCCGGCGGAGGCGGCCGGGGAGGGAGGCCCGGGGTGCCCACTCACCGATCTGCCCGATGAACTCGATCTTGATGCCCTGGTGCTCCAGCCGCTTGTTGGGGTTCTTGAGTGCGAGGCTCACCTTCCCGGAGACCGTCTCTCCGTCGTAGAAGAGGAAATATTTCTCCTTCTTCCCGTCCTCCGTTTTGTGCTCGGCCCGCTTCCTACTCTCCGCATCGTTCAGCAAGATTTCCACCTCCACGCTCTGCCCAAAGCCGAAGAAGCTCATCTCACCGCCGGGCCGGACCGGGCCGGTTTCGGTAGGACCACTCCTCTCTGCGGGGTGGGGGCGCTAAGCAAAGGCCGGAGGGCTGGACGCTGGACCCAGCTCTCTGCCAGACGGGGGGCGACGGCACGACTCCCGGCTCCACCGGGAGGGCGCAGGGCCGGCTGCAGCGCCCTGGGTACCAGTGCTCTGCGACTCGCCACTCCCGGGCGAGCCCGAGCCGCCGGCGGCAGTGAGGGGCTAGGGCAGGCAATGCAATTGGAGGCGGGCAGTAAAGGGCCCGGGCGTGCGTCGCCGCTGCCGCCCACCGGGTGGGGTGCGGCGCTGAGCAGCACGGCTAGCCAGCCCCAGCCTCTGGCAGTGCAACGCACGGAGGTGCTTCGGCGGCTCCGGGCGGGGGTGCGGAGGGGGGGGGCAGTCTCCAGCCCGGACACGCCGGAGACGCCGCACGCATGCGTTCTCCTCTGCCGGTGTAGCTTTCGCCACCCGGCCGCCGGGAGGTGTGCTCATTGCGCATGTGCAGTGGTAGACAGAGCGGCCTGTCTTTCCCTTAGTTGACATGGCAGTTACAGCCTTTTTACAGGGTTCGGGGCCAGACGTCCCGTAAAATTAAAAGAACTGCAGATACCCTTTCGGGTGCTTTTGCTTTGTTTTGTTTTCCTTTATTTTTTTAGTTCGGTAAACGTTAATAAGTACAACGTTCGAGTGGTTGATGGGGTAAAGGTAGCCCTTTGACACGGACGGGAAGTGTCGCTTGACTGGGGGCAAAGGTGACATTTAATACAGGAAGGATCTTGTCTCAAATTCTCTTTACAGTGTCCTTCCATTTAAAAAAAATAAGGCGAGAAAGACGCTATTAAGCTTTAATTTAATTGTTGACCCCCACTTCAAATGGAAACCTAAAAAACCACCCGGTGGAACGTTGGCTCAATTCCAGTCCTTGGCCCGCCCCTTTCTTTGCGCATGCGGCAGAAGACCCTGCTGATTGGTTAATAGAGTGAAAACGGCTGGGCGCGATGATTAGTCGGTGGGAAATTCCCTACGTTGTGATTGGTCCGCAGGAACGTCTCGGAGCGCGCGCGGGAGCGAGCTTTGAAAGTTGACCATCGCTGAGGCTAGCCGGTTTCTGAGAGATAATGGTGGCGCTGCCGGGCCTTGGGAGCGGCTTGCAGCCCTGGTGCCCGTTGGATCTCAGCCCCGGTGAGAAAACTAGGCCGTGAGTCTCGGGGAGGCCGGGCTGTGGTGCTTTGCGACTGCGGTGCTCCTCTGTCCGGGCCTGGGGTGGGGGTGGGGCGCTCGGCTCGCTGCAGAGTCTGGGGTCTCCAGGTCTGTGCACTGCTGGACATTGGCGAGCCGGGTCTGGAATAGGGGCTCAATCTAGTAAAGGAACAGGAAAAAAAAGAGCTTATATTGTCCGATCTCTTTTAGTTCTTTTGCATGTTTTCTCGGCCTTCCCTTGCTTATTCTGTAAATCCTCACCAACAGTCTCATCCATTTCTTTGGTTTTAAATAGCAAATCTATTTCTTCGTTCACACTTATTTCCTGAACTTGGTGTTTATTGGTTTAAATGGATGTCTCACAGCCACCTCAGACGTCACATGCGTGAAACTGGGATTACCAAAGCCAGTTATTGGTACCAGCCAATCCACAAATCTGGGAGTCATGGCATTCTTTCTTCATCTTTCATGCTCACAACCACCAGGTCCTCCTCGTTCCTTTTCCTGATGCTGCTGTCCAGCAGCAAGCCCTCATAACCAGCCTGTATCCTAGCCGCTTTCTCATGCTAACTCTTCCAGCCCATTCCCCACACCTCTACAAGGATCACATTTGAAAACACAAACGTGACCTATCAAGTCTTTAAGCCTTTAATGTTTCCCTTCTATTTCTTAAATAAATGACCAAATCTTTGGTATGCCCTATTAAGAGCGTTCACTACTCACTGCAGTCTTCTTTTCCAATAGCATAACCTTTGGAGTCAGAACAGTGGGATTGGTTCTTTACCTTAGCATCTCTGTATCACTGAGCAAGTTGCTTAACCTTAGTTTCCTTACATGTCAAATGGGCATTATAATAATATCTACCTCACAGGAGTTTTGTGAAGATTAATTCAGTACCTGGAACAGTAACTGCCTAATAAATACTAATAATGCCTCTCACCTTTCACACTAAGACTCAGTGTTGTAACTGTTTTGTTCATTTTTAAACAGGCTATACTTTCTTTCCCTTTGTTCTCTCTGTCTGGGATGCACTTTTTTGCATTTCTTTCCCTGGTAAACTCCTACATTTAGGTCCAGTTGAAGCAGAATCATCCTTCCCACCTCCCCCATAATATTTTCTATCATGCTCTCTAGTGTTTTACATACCTATTACTGTTTTAACACTTATTCATTGTAAAAATAATAACAGTACCTATCATTTATTGAATTTATTGATTTCCTGACACCAGATCTTTTCTTTTTTCATTGGAACTTGGGTATCTGTGATCCAGAAATAAGATCAGAAATACTCGTATGCATTTAAAAATATGCATATAAGATAAATGGGAGAATATGAGAGAAAAAGAGGCAGGAAAAGATGCAAGACCATTTTTAGGAAGAGGATTGTATTTGTTAGGAGAATGATTAGGAAAGAGTGAGTGAATAATTAAAGCATGTTAAACAGTCAATTACCTCAGATGTCCCTTTGTGCTGCATACTGTATTTGGGTTTATTAACTTGATTGTAAGATTTTCACAAAGGGACATCCAAGGCAATCTTTTGTTAACCTCTGTTTTTTCTCCAGATTGAATTTATGGGAAAGCCATATCGTTCAGTGTTTTGAAGTGTCATTCATATCTAAAATGTTTTCCTTCTTGATATTTTTAGAAGATGATCAATCTAATAGCCAGCTGTCAGTTCTGATTTTAAAAAAAGATTTTTAAAAATATTTTATTTATTTATTTGAGAGAGAGAGATCACGAGCAGGGGGGAAGGGTAGAGGGAGAAGCAGACTCTGTGCTGAGCAGGGAGCTCAATGTGGGACTCGATCCCAGAACCTTGGGATCATGACCTGAGCGGAAGGCAGACGCTTAGCTGACTCAGCCACTCAGGCGCCCTTAAAAAAAGATTTTTTAACCTTTTCTGCTTTCTTTTAATTATGCTACACCTGTATTGTATAGTTAAATGTGATTTGTGATTAGTAAGTTTTCTCTTTTTAAATGTACTTAAAGTCTAAAGGTTATTGATGTTTTACTTGTTATAGAAAATTTTTGATTTAATTGCATTTTCCCACCAGAATGGGTGGACACAGTATGGGAACTGGATTTCACAGAGACTGAGCCTTTGGATCCCAGCATAGAAGCAGAAATCCTAGAGACTGGATTGAATGCCTTCACAAAACTATATGAAAGTGTTTTCCCCTTTGCTACTGAAGATCATGGATCTACAGAGGTAAAAAAAAAAAAAAAAAAAAAAAGATTAAAAATCAAGCCAGCTGTCTTTAGGTGTTAGAAGTGGAAGATGAAAGTCATTATTATAATCTGAAACTTAGCCTTTTTAATATACCATTTATAAGGAGTACGATAAGAATAGCATAAAGAATGTGGTTAATTTGTTATAAAATCCTAATAACTAATAGCTAAGTCAAGTGGGAAAATTACAGGTTCCGTTTAGGCTTTTGAACATGAGATTCTGTTAGGAAATTCTTAGGGAGAGTACTGGCAATGTGAATTGGAAGATGAGGAAAGAAGTAAAAATTCAACAACGTAGATAGGAGAGACATCTGAATCAAGGGGATGGGTGAAGGGCAGCGATGCATGAGGTCAGTGAGGAGGAGAAGAGACAGGACAGGACTGAAAAAACTGGTTGAAGGTGATCTGCAGGCAAGCAGTCAGAGTGTGGCGAGTGTGACTAGGAAGCAGCCAGGTATCAAGTGCTGCAGAGACCGTGGGCAGGCAGAGTCCCAACATGAGGAAGATGGGGTAGAGGTGATTGGATCATCCTTGGTGACCTGCAGGGTCACAGTTACAGGTGAGTGGAGTAGAGCTGAAGTGGCATTAGGAATGAGGAGGTAACTGCTATAAATGTAGGAGGTGATTTCTACTGGAAGTTTCACGGTGAAAGAATGTAGAGTGCTGACAGGATTCTAAATGGGCTCTTCTGTAAAGTGGCACATGCTAAGCAGTGTGGCTAAGCCAAGGCATTACCTGCCACTTTCCCTGTCTTCAGGAAAGCAGGAAAGTACAAGGTCTGATTTCTTGAACTTTTATGGGCCTATGTTTTTTTAAAAGATATTCCAGGATAAACCATATTTAGTTCCTGCTATGTTTGGTTTATAGAAATAACCCATTTCCTTTTCATGTGTTTAATTGGCAAAACATGGAACAATGATACAATTAATAAAATTGAAGTTTGTAGTTGAGGGTGTATTTCCTTTCTCACCTGGACCACTTCTGAAATCTGCTGAGGGAGAAACTTTCAGGTATTTCTTTTCCTGCTCCCATTGCCCATAGAGCATTTAAATTTAAGTAAATGGCTCTGATTTCTTCACTTAGTAATTAGAGTGATAAATGGTTTTGAGTACCTTTAACATAGAGGGGTAACTTGTTTGAGTAAACACTAATATAATTAGTATAATTTTTAGCTATGATAATTTCAGAAATATATATGCGTCAAACCTATCCCCAAATTATTTTTGAAAATTTAATTATTTAAATTTCCTTTTCTTTTTTTTTTAAGATTTTATCCATTTATTTGACAGAGAGAGACACAGCGAGAGAGGGAACACAAGCAGGGGGAGTGAGAGAGGGAGAAGCCCGCCTCCCGCTGAGCAGAGAGCCCGACGCGGGGCTGGATCCCAGGACCCTGGGACCATGACCTGAGCTGAAGGCAGACACCTAACGACTGAGCCACCCAGGCGCCCCAGTTATTTAAATTTCTTGTATATTTATTTATCTTTGTAATTTTGAATACTACATTTCAATTTTTTGTTTCAGTCCCTTTGAAGATTTATAATTAGGAGGCAGGATGGTTGGTTCTTTTTTCTTTTTTAATAAGGTACTAAATACTTGCAAAAGTCAAATAACAAGAGATTTTCCCATTTCTCTAATTCTTGGCTTTTATGTCTCTCCCTCCCCCCAGAGCATTTGGACCTTCTTCATTGAGAATAGTATTTCTCACAGGGCACTGGTGGCATTGTTTTATCACTTTGTTCAAACAGTCCATAAGAAAAGTGTCAGTGTGCAGTATCGACAATATGGCCTTCATGCTGCTGGGCTTTATTTTCTGCTGCTGGAAGTACCGGGTATGTATATTTGATATGACAGAATAAATATATTTTTGCTTTAAATTTCTACATTGTTTTGGGCCCTTATATTTCATTTTCTCACTTCTAAAATGGGGCAGTGGTAACCCATCTCACAGTTGTTCTGAGGATTAAATGAGAGTAAGTCTGTAAAATACATAGTATGTTATAGGTGTTCAAGAAATATCTTTCCCTTGTTTCTTTAAATGTGTTTGTTTTCTAATATGGTGTGTCTATAACCTAATGCAATTAATCTGAAAGAGGTAAAACTTGAGGGGAATTGTTTCCAAGCTACAAGAGCTCCATTCCCACCCACCCCCACCTAGTATAAAAATCTGATACTGTCCACTCATCTCCTGACTCCCCGTCCAGATTGAGAAAGACTGCTGGGGAGTCATTGTGTTATATATAATCTCTCTCCTATGCAGATATGGAAAAATAGGTTAAAACCATTCTAATAAAGAAAGCATGAGAATAGCTAGTAATGCTTGATGAAGGAAAGCACAGGAAAGTAGTCTATTTATGAGCATTGTTCTACTTCCTTTATTATTAGAGCACTTAGGTTGCTGTTCCTCCTCTGAGCAGTAAGAGTCCCTTCTACCCACTCCAGACCCAAGGCAAGAGAGGATGGAACATGGAGGGGGATGCAGCTGGAGAACCTAAAGTTGCTGCTTGTCACTGTTTACATAAATTCATTTGTAATAACTGTTGATGATAATTATCCCATATGATTTGGGAACTGGTAAAAAGACATACAAGCCTTGAGCATTAATTTGTATTATTATTAAAGCTCCCCAAAATGACTTTTGAAATAAGTTCCTAAAGACTTTGGTCTTGCTAAATAGTATCTCAGTTGTAATTGAGCTGTGTCACAGAAAAGTGGTGGTTTTAGGAACCCAGTTTTGTTCTTCTCTTCCCCTGTTAGATGCGGTTCCTTCTTTTTTTTTTTTTTTATTATTATGTTATGTTAACCACCATACATTATATCATTAGTTTTTGATGTAGTGTTCCAGGATTCATTGTTTGCATATAACACCCAGTGCTCCATGCAGAACGTGCCCTCTTTAATACCCATCACCAGGCTAACCCATCCTCCCACCCCCCTCCCCTCTAGAACCCTCAGTTTTTCAGAGTCCATCGTCTCTCATGGTTCATCTCCCTCTCCAATTCCCCCCCTTCATTCTTCCCCTCCTGCTATCTTCTTCTTTTTTTTTTTTAACATATAATGTATTATTTGTTTCAGAGGTACAGATCTGTGATTCAACAGCCTTGCACAATTCACAGCACTCACCATAGCACATACCCTCCCCAATGTCTATCACCCAGCCACCCCATCCCCCCCACCCTCCCCACTCCAGCAACCCTCAGTTTGTTTCCTGAGATTAAGAATTCCTCATATCAGTGAGGTCATATAATATATGTCTTTCTCTGATTGACTTATTTCGTTCAGCATAACACCCTTCAGTTCCATCCACGTTGTTTGCAAATGGCAAGATTTCATTCCTTTTGATGGCTGCATAATATTCCATTGTATAAAAATACCACATCTTCTTTATCCATTCATCTGTCAATGGACATCTTGGCTCTTTCCACAGTTTGGCTATTGTGGACATTGCTGCTATAAACATCGCACGTACCCCTTCGGATCCCTACATTTGTATCTTTGGGGTAAATACCCAGTAGTGCAATTGCTGGATCATATGGTAGCTCTATTTTCAACTTTTGGAGGAACCTCCATACTGTTTTCCAGAGTGGCTGCACCAGCTTGCATTCCCACCAACAGTGTAGGAGGGTTTCCCTTTCTCTGCATCCCCGCCAACATCTGTCGTTTCCTGACTTGTTAATTTTAGCCATTCTGACTGGTGTGAGGTGATATCTCATTGAGATTTTGATTTGGATTTCCCTGAGATGCAGTTCCTTCTGATTAAGGCTGAGATGTATACCAAAGTGAAGAGTGTTGTTCATTGTAGGCCACTTGCAGCTTTCCAGCAAGTGGTGTTCTTGCCAATTACCTTCTGTTTTAAATGTTTCTGAATTATTGTTGGGATTCTGTTGATACTCAATTTTTAATCACAGTGTGCTCTTTTTCAAGATTGTTTTGGTTATTCTGGGTCCCTTGCATTTCCACATGAATTATAGGAGTTGCCTGTCAATTTCTACCCAAAAAGACTTCTGGGATTTTGACAGTACACTGAATCCTTAGATCAGTTTGGGGAGTGTTACCATCTTAACAACATTAAGTCTTCCAATCCATGAACATAGGCTGTCTTTCCATTTATTTTAGTTTTCCCTAATTTGTTTCAATATTTTATACTTTTCAATATACAACTCTTACACTTACTCAGTTAAATTTATTCCTAAGTATTTTATTCTTTTCCATGCTATTGTAGATGAAATTGTTTTCTCAGTTTCATTTTCAGATTGTTTACTGGTATTGTGTAAAAGTACAATTTACTTATTTACTTATTATTTAAGTGTAGTTGATATACAATGTTACATTAATTTCAGGCATACAATATAGTGATGGGACAAGTCTATATGAGAGTCTGTACCTTATGCTATGCTCACTCCAAGTGAGGCTATCATGTCACCATTCTATGCTGTTACAGTACCATGGAGTATATTCCCTGTGCTGTGCCTTTCATTCCCATGATTTATTTGTTCTATAACTGGAAGCCTTCTATTTCCCTTCACCCATTTCCCCATCTCCAACCCCTCAAGCAACTACCAGTTTGTTCTCTGTATTTATTGGTTTGTTACAGCTTTTTTTGTTTATTTTTTTAGTTTTCACATATATGTGAAATCGTATGGCATTTGTCTTTGTCTGATTTATTTCACTTAGCACACTACCCTCTAGGTCTGTCTGTGTTGTTGCAAATGGCAATATCTCATTCTTTTTTGTAGCTGAATAATCCATTTTATATATACACCACATCTTTATCCATTCATCTATCAGTGGACACTTGGGCTGCTTCCATATATTGATAGGTGTAAATAATGCTGTAATAAACATAGGGGTGCATGTATATTTTTTAATTAGTTTTTCTTTGGTTTGGTTTTTTTTTTTCTTTGGTTTTTCTTTGGTTAGATACCCAGTAGTCGAAATACTGGATCTTACAGTATTTCAGTTTTTAATTTTTTGAGTAACTTCTGTGCTGTTTTCTTTCCACAGTGGCTGTACCAACATTCCCACCAACAGTGCATGAGGGTTCCTTTTTCTCCACATCCTTGCATTTGTCATTTCTTGTCTTTTTTTTTTTTAAAGATTTTATTTATTTGAAAGAGAGAGAGCACGAATGATCAAGCACAAGTTGGGGGAGAGGCAGAGGGAGAACCAGAATCGGAGCCCAAAGCGGGGCTCCATCCCAGGTCCCTGGGATCATGACCTGAGCCAAAGGCAGCCAGCTATTTAACCAACTGAGCCACCCAGGCTCCCCCCTTGTCTTTTTTATTTTAGCCATGTGACAAGTATGAGGTAATATCTCATTTTTGGTTTTGATTTTCATTTCCCTGATGATTAGTAATGTTGAGCATCTTTTCAGGTACCTGTTGACCATTTGTATGTCTTTTTTGGAAAACTATCTGTTCAGGTCCTCTGCCTTTTTAATCAGAGAAGTACAATTGATTTTTTTATTACTGATGTTATACTCTGAAACCTTGCTAAACTCATTTATTGTTTCTATTAGGATTTTCTATGTATAAGATCATATTGTCTGTGAGTAGACATAATTTTACTTCTTCCTCCTCAGTTTAGGTGCCTTTAATTTCTTTCTTTCTTTCTTTCTTTTTTTTTTTTTTTTGCCTAATTGCCCTGATGAGGACCTCTAGTATAGTGCTGAGCAGAAGTCAGGAGGTGGGCATCTTGTCTTGTTCCTGATCTCAGGAGGAAAACTTTCAGTCTTTGGTCCTTAAATATGATATTTGCTGTGGGTGTTTTGAGAATCACCTTTAAGACATTGTTATTCCTAGTTTGTTGAGTGTTTTATTATGAAAGGGTATTGAATTTTGTTCTTTGCTTTTCTGTATCTATGAGATGGTCATGTGGTTTTTGATCCTTATTCCAATATAAGAGTGTATTATGATGATTGGTTTTCATGTTAAACTGATTTTTCATTTCCTTGATCATAGTGGGTAATCCTTTTTATGTGTTGCCAAATTCTATTAGCTAATATTTTAATTGAAGATTTTTGCATCTATATTCATAAGGGATACTCTTTTTTTGATAAGCCTTTGTCTGGTTTGAGTTTCAGGATAATACCAGTCTCATAGAATGAGTTGGGTAGTGCTCTTGCCTTTTTTATATTGGAAGTTTGTGAAGAAGGGATTGTTTTTCTGCCTTAAATTTTTGGTAGCATTCAATAATGAAGCCGTCTGGGCCTGGAGTTTTCTTTGAAAGTTTTTTTGTTTGTAAAATCTATAGTGATATGTTCCCTTTCATGTCTGATTGGTTATTTGTATTTTGTTGTTGTTGTTTTCATCAATCTAGATACAGGTTTATTAATTGTATGGCTCATTTCAAAGAACCTACTTTTGATGTTACTGATTATACTGTATTCTTGGGGCACCTGGGTGGCTCAGTCATTTAAGCATCTGACTCTTGGTTTCTGCTCAGGTCATGATCTCAGGGTCATGGGATTGAGCCCAACATCTGGCTATGAGCTCAGCATGGAGTCTGCTGGAGAGTCTCTCTCTGCCTCTGCTGCCTCTCTGCCTCTGTCCCTGCTCATGCGTGTTCATGTGCATGTGCTCTCTCTCGCTCGCTCATAAATAAATAAAATTAAATCTTAAAAAAAAAAGGTTACTTCATGGTAGCCTAGCCTATATGCTAATGAATGAATCCTTATAAAGTTTTTATGGCATATAGTATTACAGTCGTATTCATAATACAGTGTTGGAAACATTGTTACATTATTGTTTCCCTTCAAATAGTGTTTAAGTATATTTTGATAGGCAGTTATCCATGGATTAACTTGATCCTTTTGAGGCTTGTTTTAAACCTTTGTTGGAGCAGATATGAAGTAGCCTTTACGCTAGAGCTAGTTTAGCCCTACTCTTAAAGTGTGTTTCTTTCCGGGGCGCCTGGGTGGCTCAGTCGTTAAGCGTCTGCCTTCAGCTCAGGTCATGGTCCCAGGGTCCTGGGATCGAGCCCCGCATCAGGCTCCCTGCTCCGCGGGAAGCCTGCTTCTCCCTCTCCCACTCCCCCTGCTTGTGTTCCCTCTTTCTCTGTGTCTCTCTCTGTCAAATAAATAAATAAAATCTTTAAAAAAGAAAAATGTGTGTTTCTTTCCAAGGTGGCTACTAAATGCTCCAGGTGTTTAAGGTTTCAGCACTGGCTGGCCAGAACTCAAATATTTCTCAACCCTGTGTGTTATGAAAATTATCTTCTAGCTCCTTGGAAATTGTTCTTTGCTTACCTTCATCAAGTTTTACCCTCTGTTTACCTAGCTTATATTCAGCCCTATGGAGATCTCTGAAGCTCTTTTTCTGTGTAGCTTCCTCTTCTCCGGTACTCTCGTCCATAAAATCCAGCTACCCTTGCCTTCCTGACTCTGATTCTGTAGTCTGAACTTAGTAACACCGTCATAATGTACTTAGGTTCACCATTTTCTGCTGTTGTCCAGAAATTTCCTCAAAACACAAAACTGGGGCAATTTTGGGGTTTACCTCATTTGTTTTTGCTTCTTCAGAGATTGTGTTTCTATGCTGCTTATTGCTCCATGTCTTAAAATGGTTATTTTATACATTTTTGTCCAGTTTAATAGTTTATGGCAGCATGACAAGTATAAAGCCAGTTACTCCCTGGTCAGATACGGATACCTTATTTATTTCGGATCAGCACTATTTCTCATCTCCTGAGGCTGAAGTTGAATGGTACTTTTTTTGCTAAAGGGTCATTGTTTATTTGGAGTTAATGATAACTCATTTTTACTTATTAATTTTTCATCTGTTGTTACAGACTGATTTCAAGACAAATCTAACCTACCTACTCTTTATTCTTTATAAATAGGCAGTGTAGCCAATCAAGTGTTCCACCAAGTGATGTTTGACAAATGTATTCTGATTCTAAAGAAGAGCTGGCCTCAGGAATCTAACTTGAATCGGAAAAGAAAGAAAGAGCAGCTTAAGAACTCTGAGGCGAATCCGAGAGGGAATAGGAAAAGAGGAAAGCCACCCAGGAAAGAAGATACTGAGGTAAGATGTAAATGGAATAGTAAAGCATATCTGAACCAACACAAGATTGTGATTTAAGAATTAACTTTATATTAAAATACGGTTTTGGGGCATCATGATTATAACCAAATGATCCTAATGTATCATCAGCTATCCAGTATGACTTTAAGATGTTCTCAGGTTTTGTGTACTACTGAGAATACATTTCTACCTTGTCATCTTTCCAACCTCCCCATAATCTCTCGCCAGCCTTGTTCCCGGGTATGCTTGGCAACATCCGAACAGGTATATTTGCCACATTATCTTATTGTCATTAGACAGGAAGATTGAAGTATCCTGAGGACTCATGTCCGTAAGAGTATAATGGAATAATATTAATTCCAAATTTTTGTGTGATAACTAGGTAGGATGGTGTATGTTCTTTGACGTGAAAACTTCTAAGAAACATAAGAATTCCCATTGACACAAAAATACAGAGCTAGAAACTACTGTGCAGTCATAGAGTCCAATGATTTATTGTTCTGGCTGTGGAGACAGAGCAGTTAAGGGACCTGATCAGGGTCATATCACCTCAGCAGTTCAGCAACCACCTGGAGTTTAACTGGATTTGATTTGAGTACATTGAAAACCATGGGACAAAGTGTTAGGCATTACTATGCAGTCACCTATACATTTCTTTATAATCTAGGTAGATGAAATAGAAGAACAGGAAGATGAAGAAATTACTTGTTTTTCTGCCCGAGATCTTTGTCAAATTCGAAATGCTATCTTTCACCTTTTGAAGAATTTTTTAAGGCTGCTGTCCAAATTTTCCCTGAAAGAAAAGCCACAGTGTATACAGAATTGTATAGAAGTAAGTGAGAATTCCAAAAAACCTTGGGGCAACCTCAGAGGGCAGGGATGATGGCTAATATTTAATGAGTAGGAAAAATCAGGTCTCTTCTTGGTATCTGTTTTCCAGGTCTTTGTTGCATTAACTAATTTTGAACCAGTTCTTCATGAATTTCATGTGACACAGACCAGGTGAGCCACTAATTCTTCCAGTGCTAAAATTATGCTCTAGCAAAAGTATAAATGCCATTTTATCCTAATTGGCACACAAGTAGAATTTATTCACTTGGATGTGGTTTATTATAGGGTTACGGAAGATTCCGAGTAAAATCATATCCATTAACTAATCTTTTGCCTTTTTTCTTTAGAAACCTTAACCAAGCAAAATATGTACCAGAACTGGCCTATCATGGATTGTATTTGCTCTGCTCCTCCATTCATGGAGAAGGAGATAAGGTAAAGGAGAAAAAGATGTAATTTACTTAACTAGTTGAATTGAAAGCATCTGAATCATATAATGGGAAAACATTGGCAGCATTTGGTATAATGCCATTTTAATTTACCAAGTCATTTTCATGACCTTATATCATTTGTAGCGTGAAAAGCATCACCATTTCTATTTGTTCCCTGTTCTTCATAACCAAATTGATATTCAAATATTTGGAGGCCATGGTAAATTGTTGTTAGGTTTCATACAAAAATTGGTTCCAGTGTGAATTAGGTAGGAAGAATACTGAACAGAGTGTTACTTTTAGAGAAATAGTCACCAGATTATTCTCAAAAGAGCGGACAGTCTTGGAATTTTCAAGTTTTCTTTGGCAAGTTTCATGTGCACTTTAATATTTCTATTAGTATTTATATCATTTTAGTTGAGAATTCTACAGAAACATTACTGGTTGTCATTCCTAGTTAGTATTCATATATGGATTTTGCTCCCCAAGTTAACTTAATAGTATCACTATCTAAACTTTGGAGTCAGGGTTGTTCAAGCATTATGGTGTTACTAAACTTGGATGTCATTAATAAAACAAAATTTTACAAAAAATTTGATAGAATGAGGTCCTGTGACTTTTGGTGGCTCTGCTACACTTAATTTCCGGGGCGAGTCACATGGTGGTTAAGAAGTAGGTTCGGGGGGCACCTGGATGGCTCAGTTAGTTAAGTGCTGACTCTTGGTTTCGGCTCAGGTCATGATCTCAGGGTCATGGGATCAAGCCCCGCATCGGGCTCGGCATTCAGCACAGAGTCTGCTTGTCTCTCTCCCTCTGCTCTTCCTCTCTCTTTCTCTCTCGTAAATAAAGTCTAAAAAAAAGAAAAAAAGAAGTAGGTTCAGGCTTTGGGCCAGGTTGTGTACATTGGTGGTTGAATTGTGGCTCCACCCCCTTCAGCTGTGCCTTCTTGTATTGAGGTACTCAGCCTTTCCAAAACTCAGTCTTTTCATAGGGTTGTCAGGAGGAGGAAATGAAAGAATGCCTGTCAGATGCTGAGCGCCATGCCTGTTGTTTAGGAAACATGCTGTATTTTATAATTTATTATAGCATTACCATTTCTGTGTTTAAAATATGGATGGGATAGAATTCACATGAGCGCTTTCAATTTCTGTGCTCTTTGTAACGTTTGTAAGCTTAGCTGGATGGAGAAATTCATGCCTTTAGGTCCACAGTGTCTCTCCAGATGTATTTTTTAGTCGTGAGAGTGTTGACTTGACGTTAGACATGTTTGTTTTAGCCATGGAGGCTCTTTTATTAGGTATAAGGTGGAAATAATAGTAACATATATAAAATGGAAATGCCTCACTTACCTTATGCAGTTGTTGTGAGGTTTAAGATTAAATCCAGTAATATATATGAATATGCTTAACGCAATACCTGCCACATATGTGGTTTTCAGTACATGTTTTATTTACAGGATGAATGAATTTGGTAGTCGAATAAATTGTGTGAGGTGATATATTGGGAGAACAAGTGTAAAGTACCATTTGTCCCTTGTTCTATAAGGGATTAGCAGTGGCATTTTTTTGCCATTTAGAAGTGACAATCCTCTACTTGCCCTAATTTCAGGGCTACAGTTTGAGAGGGTAGGGCGAAAAACTAGATGATATTCCTATCACTATCTGTAAGCAGTGTTTTCACACTGTTTCCATCATGTGTTTATTGAATACTTGGTAATTGTCCAAGAAATGTATTTCCAGTGTTCACCCAAAAACTATATCAACCTGACTTATCTTCACACAGCTTGAAATTGTTTACCCTGGGGCACCTGGGTGGCTTAGTCAGTTAAGCATCTGCCTTCGGCTCAGGTCATGATCTCAGGGTCCTGGGATCGAGCCCCGTGTCAGGCTCCCGGCTCAATGAGGAGCCTGCTTCTCCCTCTTCCTCTGCCCTCCCCCCCCAACTTGTGTGCTCTCTCTCAAATAAAATCTTAAAAAAGAAAAAAAGAAATGGTTTACCGTGGTCTGCATCGCTGTCTTCGAGGCCCTTGGATTCTTTATCATGCCTTAAGTAGAATTTTCTTCTCTCTTCCAGGTTATAGGTTGTGTTTTCCATCAAATGCTAAATGTGATATTAATGTTAGAAGCAGGTGAAGGAGCCCATCGTGCTCCCCTTAGTATTACAACATCAGTCATCAACGGTAGAAACCAGGCGGTCCAGTTCATCAGGTGAGGCACAGCTTGGATTTTCACTCTCTTTATCACTCTCCCTTAAGCCTGCTGGGCCCTGTACTAACCAAGATTTCTGACCCCTATGGAAACTAACAGATTTCTGGCCTGTTGTGGTTTTGGGGGCCAAAGTAAAGTACTTCAGAGTTCCTCTGGTTCACGTGGCCGGTGTCACTGTTGGTAGCCTCTGCACTGGGGCATTGTTGAGGGATAGAGAGTCTGTAATTCATGGGCCAGCACCGGCCTCCAGCTTGATTCCCTCCAGCCTTGTAAGGTCAGGCTCTGAGGAATGAGTTGCTTCTCTGTTTTATCATCATCTGCCTCAGTGTTTGCCTCTCTCACAAGGCCGCGTCTTCCTTTCCTTTTTTGTATTTCTGTCTTCTTTGAGTCTCTCTCTCTTTGTTCCTTGCCACTTTTTCCTTGTTTCTTCTCACTTTTCTATTCCCCTCCCCCTACAGACCATACTTCATAAAGGGAAGAATTAAGTCAATTTTTACTTCTTTAGCAGTAATTGATAGACATATTTGCTATGTCATTGGCTTTTCTTTTCCTCCTTTATTGAATATTTGGCATGCATTGTGGAGGTGGTAGAATGAAGTGGTAGGTATATGAGAGTGTGTACATGCCTGTAGGTGTTCATGGGATATAGTGTAGTTGGAGATGTGGGGTGTGGATGGTAGAATCCAGGCATATATAGGCTGTCATCTGATCATTGAGAAAATATCTCTTGTGAGGGATTTTTTAAAACATTAAATAACTAAGATCCTTTAAGTGTAAACACCCATTTTGGCTCTTCCATAACAGTTCATGGTATCTCCAATTGCTGTAGTATCCATTTAATGGTACAGATAAACATTAAAGATGGGTTAAATCTGGACATTACAGTAATAATCTGGGGCACCTGGCTGGCTCAGTCGGAAGAGTGTGTGACTCTTGATCTTGGGGTCATGGGGTTGAGGCCACATTGGGGGTAGAGATTACTAAAATAAATAAGTAAACTTAAAAAAAAAAAAACCCAATAATAATCTTGGGTGAAAGTTTGGAGAGGTATTGATAACAAAGCCATTGAAATGGTAGCATTTCACTGAGCTACCACAAGGTGTTGCTGTGTCTCATTTATGATTATTTACCCCAAAAGGATCTATTTTAGAGTCTTAATGTGAAATTTAGTAAATAGCCAAAAGAGTCATACGAAGATTGCACATTTGCTCCTCCCTGACTATAGCTGTCTGCATGGCAGCAGCTCTCTAAAACCACGCATAGGACATAGTGAACGGTTTTCTCCTGTGAAACTCTGTTCTACTCTATTCACTGAAACAATGCTTGTAATATGGGGTAAATAGTTTTTAATATTCAGGATTTCTAAAACATAGAGGTAATGGTGTTAGAGAACAGAGGCGAGAAATTACTATTTTATGTAGTCGGTGTATTTTAAACAATGGGTGTGGTTTCTTTTTTAAATAGCTCACTTGTGGATGAACTAAAGGAAAATATATTCCCAGTCCTTCGTATCTTACTCCAGCACATCTGTGCCAAGGTACCATTTGCTTCAATAGTAATAGTAATAATGATAACGATGATGATAAAAATATATGATATATGTGAAGGTAAATGTGTGTGCTTATATGTGTATTTGTTCTTGGGAATGAGTGTGTTATCATTATGGAAAATAGTTTTATTTAATATTTTCACTACATGTTCCCATTGACAGAGTATTCTTTTTGGGGGGGAATCCTTTTTATTTTGAAAATTTCAAACATATGAATAAATAGAATAGGGTGATGAGCAACCACCTTCAATAATTTTGTGTCATTTATACCCCTATAAGGTGTAATTTCCTCAACACATGTGAACATTGGGGTTTTTTTGTTTAAGCAAATTTCACTATCATCCAATGATGCTTGAATATTTCATATGTATCTGTAGAAGGTAAGAACTCTAAAGACATAACCACAAAATACTAACATGCCAAAGAAAATATACAGTAATTCCTTAATATCATCAAATATCCAGTTAATGTTCAAATTCTTATGATTATCTCTTCAATTTCTATAGCAGTTTGGACAAATGATTCTTTTTTTTTTAGTCTTTCTTAATTTCATTTTATTTTATTTTATTTTTTAAATTTTATGTTATGTTAGTCACCATACAATACATCATTAGTTTTTGATGTGGTGATCCACGGTCCATTGTTTTCGTATAACACCCAGTGCCCCATGCAGTACGTGCCCTCCTTAGTACCCATCACCGGGCTAACCCATCCCTCTTCCCCCCTCCCCTCTAAAACCCTGTTTGTTTCTCAGGTGGACAAATGATTCTTAACTTGAATGCAGTAGGTTCTGGGGGGTCCATAAATTCTCTGAAATTATGTGCTAAGTTTGTATTTCTGAGGGGAGGACTTAGAGATTTCTTATAGATTAGTTTTCAAAGGGGTCTGAAATCTAAAATTTGCTACTCATTTTTATAACATTTAATGATTCACTGAACTAGTTACATTCAGTAATTTTCCACTTGTATCACAACATGTGTTTCAGTTGTCCTGTAGGTAGACAGTGGCCGGACAGCCTTTCAATGCTTATGTTTCAGGTAACTGATAAATCAGAGTATCGGACCTATGCAGCCCAGTCCCTGGTCCAGCTACTCAGCAAACTTCCCAGCAGGGAATATGCTACATTCATCGCCTGGCTTTACAGATATTCACGAAGTTCCAAGGTAGGAGATACGCATAAAATCTTGGTTCCTGGCTCTGCATCCTCCTGACAGACAGATCTGAATACACAAGGGATCCTTTGGTTTTTATTCCTGTCTGATGGATATTCTTATGATTTTGCTTTATCAGATCCCACACAGGGTTTTTACTCTAGATGTTGTCTTAGCTCTCTTGGAACTGCCTGAAAGAGCAGTAGATAACACTCTCTCGTTGGAGCATCAGAAGATCTTAAAGCATAAGTTCTTGGTGCAGGAAATTATATTTGACCGTTGTGTAGACAAGGCACCGACTGTCCGCAGCAAGGCACTGTCCAGTTTTGCACATTGCCTGGAGGTATCTGTTACCACTGCATCGGAGAGCATACTAGAACTTCTGATTAACAGTAAGTGTGGTGACCGTTGTGACATGGAACCCGTCTTGTGCTTTTCAAGAAATTGGACTGCAAGGGAAATCATTCTTTGTTGTTGCAAAAATAATAGATACAGTATGATATACTTTTACCCTCATAGATCAATTTCAGTATATGTTGTTGTTGAATAACTTTTTAAATATAGTCATACCTTGGAGATACTGTGGGTTTGGTTCCAGACCACCACAGTAAAGCTAATATTGCAATAAAGCAAGTCAAATTAATTTTTTGGTTTTCCAGTGCATATAAAAGTTATGTTTACAATACACTGTTGTTTGTTAGGTGGCAATAGTATTATATCTAAGAAAAAGTACTTACCATAATTAAAAAATACTTTATTGCTAAAAATACTAAGTATCATGTGAGCTTTCAGCAAGTTGCAGTCTTTTTGCCAGTGGAGGGTCTTGCCTCAGTGTTGATAGCTGCTGACCGATCAGGGTGGTGATTGCTGAAGGATGGGGTGGCTGTGGCAGTTCCTTAAAATTAGACAGCGATGAAGTTTGCCACATCAGTTGACTCTTCTTTTCACAGATGATTTTTCTGTAGTAGGTGATACTGTTTGATAGCATTTTACCCACAGTAGAACTTTCTTCCAAAATTGGAGTCATCCCAACCCTCACAACTTCTTCACGAGTAGATTCCATCATAAGAAACCACTGTCTTTGCTCACCTGTAAGAAGTTACTGCTCATCTGTTCAAGTTTTATCATGAGATTGCAGCAATTCAGTCACATTTCCAGGCTCCACTTCTAATTCTGCTTCTCTTCATGTTTCCACATCTGCGGTCAGAATACATATATCACTTATTAAGTTTGCTGTGTTATATGGGTATGGTTCATGGTACCCCAAAACAATTATAATAGTAACATCAAAGAGCACTGTTCACAGATCACCATAAATTTGAAAAAGTTTGAAATATTTTGAGAATTACCAAAATGTGGCAGACACAAAGTGAGCAAATACTGTTGGAAAAATGGCACCCATAGACTTGCTTGTTGCAGTTACCACAAATTCTCAGTTTGTTAAAACTGCAGTTATCTGTGAAGCACAGTAAAGCAAAGTGTGATAAAACAAGGTATGCCTGGGTGCCTGGGTGGCGGCTCAGTCGTTAAGCGTCTGCCTTCAGCTCAGGTCATGATCCCAGGGTCCTGGGATCGAGTCCCACATCGCGCTCCCTGCTCGGCGGGAAGCCTGCTTCTCCCACTCCCCCTGCTTGCGTTTCCTCTCTCGCTGTCTCTCTCTGTCGAAAAATAAAAATAAAATCTTAAAAAAACAAGAAAAACAAGGTATGCCTGTTAGACAAGCCTGATAAATTTGAAAGGCCTTTTAGAGTATTTTAGATATTCATGTTTTAGAGGGGAGATTGTTGGCTGCTTATACTACTTTGCATTGTTGGGTATTGGCTATATTGGGCCTAATATCCATCCATTTCAAATGCATACCAAGAAGAACTTTATTGTCAGCAGTTTAGAATCTGTCTTATCTTTAGACCTAATTATCTTGATTTTGGTTATTCTGTGAATATTTACTTGGGGCTTATGATACTATGACATTTTCCCCTCTTATCAATCTGATTATTTTTAGGTCCTGCAATTTCAAGAATAGACAGCCATCCTGGTACCTTACCGAGAAATTCATCAGGTAATGGGTGAATATATTTTCCAGTATTGAATAATTGTCTTTTTTATTTAAAGGACTTGCTGGGTATTTGACATGTTTTTTCTATTTCCATACTTACCTTTTTAATATTGAACTTTATTTATTCATCAAGGAAATTGAAATTCATTTCAGTAATGATGTAGTAATTTAAATGTGTAATATGCCATGCTTATATTATTAAGAGGTGTAACAAATTTTTATCTTAATGACTGAACTTTTTTTTTTATTATTTTTAAGCTTTTTCCTATCAGAAGCAAACACTTAACCCTTCTGGAGGCTCAGGGGTGATCAATATTGACAGCAGTGGTGAAACAGATGGATCTGGGGGTATGTCAAATTTTATTACTATCGGATGAGTAGTAACTGTTGGATTTCAGACAACTGTAAGTAGTGTCTAAAAACCTTGGATTTTTTTTTTTCTTATTAATTCACCCTTAACAATTGGAACATCTTTCTTTCTTCTTGGAATAATTTCTATTTTATTATATCTTTGATGTCCTTGCACTGTACTCTTTCATCTTAAGGTAAAGAACAAGCTACATTCCACTTATCATGTACTGAACCGCAGTGTTTCTGTAACACATAAGAGAATATTAGCAAATATTTTATTTCCTTACTAAAGGCAGTCATTGTGAACTCTTGGGATTGCTGACCGGAAAGGGACCAGATACTAGAGAAAGTGCTGCACATAATAAATTTGTGTTTGGAAAAAAGTCATTACAAAAAAACAAAAAAAAACGAAAAGGAAAAGATGAAGAATACTGTTGTACCCAATCTTGTTCCTATTTTTAATTCCTCATTACTTTTTTTACCATGTCTTCTTGACTCTGATTAAGGCATCCCAGAATTCACTTTTAATAAATGATAAGGAACTGTGAATTGAAGCTCACATTGAAAAAGTCAATTCAGAATTTAGATTATAATTTCTCTTCAACAATAAGATAAACCATACATTCTGTATGGAATGGTTGTGGGGTCCTTGCTCCCATGGCCTCCAGCACAGGATTCTGGATACAAGTGATGCTTGGTATTTTTCATTGACTTACTGAACCCAGAGTAATCTGGGATGTCTTAAGTGCTAATGTGATTCAGGAGGGAAAAAAAAACAAACCTGGAATGGTAAGTGGGTAGACCTGGAGCCTACTCCCAGATTCTGTGTCTGTCTACCTGTGTGATCTTGAAAAAGTCACTTTACTTCTCTCGGCTCCTTTTTCATCTATAAGATGACATAGCATAAAATAGTGGGGAACACTCTATTTAGAAATGAGAGGCAGTCTGAATTCTTGTACCAATTCTGGTACTAAATAGTTGCTTGACTAAGACATGGAAGCCAACCAAGCACACTAATTTGTAATGATTCTAATACCTTCCCTGTCTTTCACAGAGGGCTATTAGAGTCTGTGAAAATAATGTTTAGAGAAGTGATTTTTCCAGATAGATAAGTGAGAGAATATATGTGTAGAGAATTAATTATATAATTAGATTTATTAATTTATTCTATAACATTTATCTGGCCCCTTCTAATCTGTGCTAAGCGTTGTAGATACAGACTTTAATAAAACATAGTTCCATCTGTTGAGGAGCAGTGGGAATAATAAATGTGTGTGTATACAAATTTTACCTACATGTTTACATATATAAAAAATAGTGATGTTGTCAGGTAAGTGCTGAGGTCTATGTAAAGTGCTGTGAGGATAATTATTTATTATTTCAGCCTGAAAGATCAGCATGGAATTAGATTTATATGGCTAGATATTAGCATGTATTACTCAGATTCAGAGCAATAACTCAATATGTATATAAACCGATTTCCTAAAATATTATAAAGAGTTTATTCTGCAAAAATGTTGAATGTTTGTGTTGACTCCAGTCTTAACAAGTTAAGTGCTAGGTGCTTTCTTGGGGGAGGTAGAGGGGAATCCTTTTTTTTTTTTTTTTTTTTGAGATGTAAGTCACATACCATAAAATTCACCATTTAAAGTGTGTGACTTAGTGGTTTTTACTGTATTTACAAAATTGATCAATTTTCACAATATATCCTTTGCCAAAAAAGAAACCCCATTCTCATTAGCAGTTCCTCCCCATTCTCCCCTTCCCCTAGCCTCTGCCAACCACTAATTTGCTTTCTGTCTCTACAGATTTGCCTATTCTGGACATTCCACATAAATGGAAGCATATAACATGTGTTCTTTTGTGGATGGCTTCTTTCACTTAGCATAACATTTTCAAGGTTCATCCATTTATAACATGTCAATATTTCATTACTTTTTACAGCTACATAATAGTCTGTTGTGTGGATAATACTACATTTTGTGTGTTCACTCATCAGTTGATGGACTTTTGGGTCATTTCCATCTTTTGGCTATTATGAATGATGCTGCTATGAACATTCTTGTGCAAGTTTTGTATGTAAATATATTCATTCCTTTTGGGTATATACCTAGGAGTGGAACTGCTGGGTCATGTGGCAACTGTGTTTAACATTTTGAGGAACTGCCAAACTTTTTCCAGAGTGGTCATACCATTTTTCATATTTACACACTAGCATGTGTAATAATTTTTATTTCTCCACATCCTTACTAACACTTGTCATGTCTATTCTTTTTATTGTTGCCATCCTAGTGGATGTGAAGTGGTATCTATCTCACTGTGGTTTTGATTTATATTTCCCTAATGACTAACAATGTTAAGCACATTTTCTTGTGTCTTCTTTAGCGAAACATCTATTCAAGTTCTTTGCCCATTTTTTAAAATGGGTTGTCTTTATTTTTGAGTTTAAAGAGCTTTTTATGTATTCTGGATCCAAATTCCTTATAGATACATGATTTGCAAGTATTTATTTTCTCATTCTGGGGGTTTATTTTTTCACTTTCTTGATGATTTTATTTTTTTTAAAGATTTTATTTAAGGTGCCTCGTTAGTGCAGTAGGTAGCGCATCAGTCTCATAAAGATTTTATTTATTTAACAGAGAGGGAGCACAAGCAGGGGGAGTGGGAGAGGGAGAAGCAGGCTTCCCGCTGAGCAGGGAGCCCGATGCGGGGCTTGATCCCAGGACCCGGGGATCATGACCTGAGCCGAAGGCAGGCGCTTAATGACTGAGCCACCCAGGCGCCCCTTGATGGTGTTCTTTGAAGCATGAAACATTTTAGCCTTGATAAAGTCTAGCTGTCCACTTTTTCTTTTTTTCACATGTGCTTTTGGTGTCACAGCTAAGAAACCACTGCCTAATTTTTCAGAAAGATTTGCTTTTATATTTTCCTATCAGTTTTGTAATTTTAGCTCTTATGTTTTGGTCTTTGATCAGTTTTTAGTTAATTCTTGCATATGGTGTGATGTAGGGGTTCAGCTTTTGCATGTGAATATCCAGTTTGACACAGCACCATTTATTTAAAAGACTTTCTTCTCCTTTGAATGCTCTTGGCACCCTTGTCAAAAATCAACTCACCATAGACATATGAGCTTATTCTGTACTTGCAGTTCTATTCCACTGACACCCCATTGTCTCTCTTTATGGCAGTATTAAACTGTGCTAATTACTGGTGCTTTATAGTAATTTTGAAATCAGGAAGTATAGCTTCTGCATCCTTGTTTTTCTAGATAAATTGGCTATTCTGTGTCTCTTATATTTCCATATGAATTTTAGGATCATCTGTCAATATCTGGAAAAAAAAAAAGCCAGCTTTGATTTTGGTAAGGATTGATCTGTAGATCACTTTGGGGATCTTAACAATATTAAGATCTTAACAATATTAAGCCCTTCAGTCCATGAACATGGGTTGCCTTTCTGTTTATTTAGATCTTCTTTAATTTGTTTCAGTGATATTTTTTTAGTTTTCAATGTACAGTTCTTGCTCTTTGATTCCTAAATATTTTTTTTTTGATGCTATAATAAATTCCAGTAGTTTCTTAGTTTCATTTTCTAATTGTCCATTGCTGGTTTTTACAACTGATATTTGGTGGTTTGACATTGTGTCCTGCAACCTTGTTAAATTTGTTACTAGTTCTAATAGTTTGTGTGTGTGTGTGTGTGTGTGTGTGTGTATGGATTCCTTAGGATTTTCTATCTGTAAGCTCACGCCGTCTGTGAGCAGAGAGTTTTATCTCTTTCTTTTCCATCTGGATGCCTTTTCTGTCTTTTCCTTGCCTAACTTTCCCTGGCGAGAACCTCTCCAGTACGGTGTTGAAAAGAAGTGGGGAGAGCAGACATCTTGTCTTTCTTCTGTACTTAGTTTTCAGTCTTTCACCATTGAGTGTGATGTTAGCTGTGAGTTTTTTCAGGATGACTTTTATCAGTGTGATGAAGTTTCCTTCTCTTCTGAGTTTGTTGAGTGTTTTTATTACGAAAGGATTTTGGATTTTGCAAATGCATTTTCCTCATCTGTGGAGACAATCATGTGGTCTTTGTCCTTTATTATATTGCTAAGGTGTATTAGTTATAGTTACATTGATTGATTACATTTAATTCCTGGGGTAAATCCCAAGCATGGTATATAATCCATTTTGTAGCTTGCTAGATCTGATTTGCTGATACTTTGTTGAAGATTTTATGTATGTATTCACAAGGGATTTTGGTCTGTTTCCAGTTTTTGAGATGTTTTTATTAACTGGTTTTGTTCTCAGGGTACTGCTTAACAATGTAGTAGGAAGTGTTTTCTTCTGTTTTTTTTAAAAGAGTTAATGAAGAATTGGTGTTCATTTTTGTTTAAACCTTTTGCAGAATTCTCCAGTAAAGCCCTCTGGTCCTGGGGTTCTGTGCACATGTGGGAAGGTGTTTGTTTTGTTTTGAGGTTTTTTTTGTTTGTTTGTTTTTTGGGGGTTTTTTGTAGGAAGGTTTTTGATTACTTGTTTTAGGTATATTCAGACTGTTTCTTCTGAGTCAGTTTCCATAGTTTTTATCTTTGTAGAAATTTTTCCATTTCATCCAGATTACTGAATGTAACAAAATCGTTCATAGTATTTCTTTGCAAATTCTTTTTATTTCTGTAATGGCAGTAGTAATGCTCCCTCCTTCTCTCCTGATTTTAAGAATTTAAATCTTCTTTCTTTTTTTCTAGCTAAAAGTTTAATTTTGTTTATCTTTTTCAAGGAACTTACTTTTGATTTCATTGATTTTTTTTTTCTATTGTTTTCCATTGTCTATTTCATTTAGTAATGTATTTCCTTATACATCAGCAGCTCTCAGAGTGTAGTTGGGGATCCCTTAGCCTCCTTCAGCAGGTCCTTGAAGTTAATGTTGTTTTCATAATATATCAAGACTCTGCACTCTAAAGCATTCTGATTTTGAAGCAGAGATGAGACTCCACTGTTTTTTATTTAGCCAGACGTTAAAGAGTTTGCAAAGATGTAAAACAATGCCATTCTTGTTACTAAATACTTTTTGGGGGAAATATAATTAGTTTTCATTTAAAAATGTCCATTTATAGTGACACATTTTCCTATTTTAAAATGAATTATTAAATCTTTTTACTAGAGATTTTTACCAAAAAAACTCTTAGGAGTCTTCAGAGAGTTTTAATAGTGTAAAGGGGCCTATGATCAAAAAGTTTTAAATAGGCTGTATATGTTATTTAGTCTTTTAAAAAAATTGTGATTTAGATATTCCTTTTTTGTAGCTAAACAAAATGGAAAAGCTAAATAATTCATTCAGAATTTTAGACATAGGAGCCAGGATTAAAAACTGAATTTTTAATATTCAAGAATTTATGCCCTTTTAAAATTATACTGTTTTGCCTTTTGCATTATTGTGACTAGCTAATTATTTGACTTTTTTTCTTTTTCTACATTATGTCATACTAGGATTTCTTGGGATTTAAAAGAAGCTAGTCCAATTTTTTTAGAGTATTTTCTCAGTACTGTGTGGTGAGATGTTAGATACCGTAAATACAGTTTTTCTCAGACCATAATGATTCTTTGACTTTTCCTCAACAGTGAGATGTGTCATGGCAATGCTGAAAAAGAGAATCAGGGATGAGAAGACCAACGTTAGGAAGTCTGCACTGCAGGTGTGAGTTTTTTCTAGATATCCTTGAATGTGCTCTCTTTTTAGCACTAAAAACTTGGAAATATTTTGTAAAAACCCCAGCTATAATCATTATTTAATTTCTTTTTCACTTAACATTTGTTCACTTCGATCCTGTTGTATATATAAATTACAGAGATGAACTAAAGGTTTGTCTGTTTTTAAATTTCCTCTGGGTTGTTGACTTTTTAGGAATCACATATTTATATCCTTAACATTTTTTAGATTAGGGATTCTTAATCTGGGGACCATGGATGGATTTTGATAGGGTGCATGTAACTCCTGAATTTGTTTGTAAATACTTGTTTATGTAAAACGTATGTCAAATTTTCTCCAGAGAGAGGCCTTAGCATTCATTAGATTCTGAAAAGGTGGGATGTTACCAGGTGGAGGGATGGATCAGTGACCTCAAAAGTGTTAAGAACCACAGACTTAAGTCTTCTTTTTGTCTACAGTGTGTCTTTTTGCTATGAGTAAGTCATCAATTCGTGTTATATATGTTCCTACTAGGTATTAGTGAGTATTTTGAAACACTGCGACGACATCTCAGGTATGAAAGAAGAGCTATCACTTCTGCAGGACCAATGTCGGGACCCTGCAGTATCTGTCCGAAAGCAGGCCTTACAGTCTCTTACTGAACTTCTTATGGTGAGAAACAGTGCATTTTTACATTAAAAATAATTCAGTGTAAATAATTACCTCTTGCTAAAAATTAAGTTGCCTATTGGAAATTCTACCAAGTCTACTGTAGGACTATATAGTGTAAGAGAAGAGGTATCTTTCAATTACATATGATAGATTATGTCTCATATTATAATTAATTATGAACTAATGCTAGAGAATGCTAGTGATTAGCCTTTTCTTGACTTCAGCTTAAATCTCACATAGAAATATGAATTTTAAAATGAATTTGGTTAGGTCAGAGGCCTAGATTAATTTTTGCACAATAAGACCTAGTAGGTGATACTGCCAAAAGAACAGATCCAGTAATCTGATACTTAATTTACTTCTGCCAAATAATTAGCTTTTGAAGAATTTTAAAAGCATGTTTATTTCTTTACTTCATGATAGAAAGCAGTAAGCAATGCATACTTTGACTTCCTCTGTCAACATCTATTCTAATTGCTCCTTGGGATAAATATTTATCTTTTGCTCTTCATCTTGAATTACTAAAAAGTGCTGATTTACTACTACTAATACAGTAATGACTTCCTAAGTTTCAAATTTCAATATGCACTGATATACAGTAATTGGAGATTGAACTTTGTTTTAACATATATTTCAAATGTTGATTTTTTTTTTCACTTTGATGGTTTATTTGTACTTGTGTGTGTGTGTGTGTGTGTGTGTGACTGTTTTTAACCTGTCTCAAAATATTGACCACGGCCTCACTGATTTGTATTTAGACTTCTGGTAGTGTCAGACTTCTTTATGACTTAATGATGTTTAATTCCTAAGGCCCAACCTGGATGTGTCCAGATACAGAAAGCCTGGCTGACAGGGATCATCCCAGCTGTGATGGACTCTGAGAGCACAGTGCAGGAAAAGGCTCTGGAATGCCTTGACCAGCTCCTGTTACAGAACATTAAGCATTACAATAAATTCCACACTGGAGACAATAGCCAGGTACTGGCTTGGGCACTTCTTACTCTCCTTAGTACAGAAAACCAGGAACTAAGGTATGTTAATTGTGTGACTTCTTTTCCATATAGAAAGCCATAAAAGTTTTTTTATTAAAATTTCTGTATTGCTCTTGGAAAATTAGCTTTCTAAATTACTTAACATATATGAAGATTCAATTTTTGGTCTTTTTTTTCTTGACCCAATTCAAATCGCTTAGCATTTTTGTGGTGACAGTTTTTTGTGAAGTCTTTGATTACCTCCTTTGCTTTTCTCTGAGTGTTTAAATTAATGTCTTAATATGTAGTAGAAAGCATTGATAGACATATTAATAGTAATTTTCCACATACTCATTTTTATGAAAGATGACTTCCTAGTTCTTTCAAATTAAACTTTTCCTGAGATCTTATTGGATTGGTTGGCTTGATACCACTGCAGTATATTTTTCCCATTTGATAACATTTACTGAGCATACACTGTACAGTGAACACTGTAGTGAGGGGTTAGCACATGTTGTATTAGTAAATTTTAATCTATACTGCAGTAATCTTACAATTAGCTTGTGTTTACACTACCTTGACTGACTGACTTTTTTTTTAATCATGTAAGAAACACTTCCCTACTCGTTTATATGTAGTTATAGAGGAATTATCTATCATACCATAGAAACATACTAGATTTTGTATTGTAAAATGCCGTTCTGTGGCTCTGGCAGATCACCAGTAAAATGGTGCTTAGTGGGGGCTGTGGAGAAGGCAATGGGGAGTTACTGTTAAATGGGTACAGCGTTTCATGTGGGGTGATAACAAAGTCCTGGGGATGGATGATTGCACAACAGTGTGACCCCACTGAATTGTACACCTAAAAATCGTTAAAATGATAAATTTTATTATGCATATTTTACCACAAGAAAAAAAATGTATTTGCTCAAAGTTAGGAAGGAGAGTATAGAATTAGGGTCTTAAGAGTAAAAAAGTTTTGGAATAGCTGTTATGGAAAATGAGCTAGGGCAGCAGTCCTCAAAAGTGTGAAGGATTCATGAGCTCAGACTGTTTTGATCCTAATATTAAGATGTTATATGCCATTTTTCACTTTTATTCTTTCACAGTACAATAGAGTTTTCTGGAACCATATGATAATATTGAGGCAAATTGAATGCAGAGGCAGCTATAATAATCTGCCTGTCTTTTGTTTAAGCCAGACCATACAGAGATTTACAGAAAGTAAAAGCAATGACAGTGTTCTCACCAAGTTTATTTTGTTTTGAGAAAGATTGTGATTTTTTTGTAAAACAATGCATTTATGTTAACATATAATTGGCTTATTGTTATTTTTAAATTAACTAATAGATAAATATTCTTAAATTTCTCAGTTTTAATTTCTGCACAGCAGGATATAACCCACATAAACCAAAACTCTTCAAGGTGGTGCATAATTTTTTGAGTTCAAAAGTGCCCAAAGATGAAAAAGTACGAGAACTACTGAGCTTGGGAATCAGGTTTTCAAAAAGGATTATTAAGAAAAGTAAGAGCTGGTGGAATAGAGTTCTATAAACATTTGTAAACAAAATCTTGTGGTATGTTCTTTAATAAACAGAAAGTAGCTAGAACATCAGGAAGTGTTCAGGAAGAGAGACTTCACAGAACAGATGACTTTTGAATTTGAATCTTGAAAGTTAATAAGGAGGCAAAAGGGCATGTCCATGGGAAACAAATAGCCAATGCAAAGCCATGGAAGCATAAGCATTGTGTCCTGTTAGGAGCCATAGGATTTCACTGTGGGTGGGGAAACGGTGCTTGTTGGAGTGCACCTAAAATGAAATGAGATGTTAAGCAGGGTCCACATACTGCAGAGTTGTTACATAGCATACCAAGGAGTTTGACTTTAGATTGAAAACAGAATGGGAGGGGGAAGCTGCTGATGAGTTTAAAGTGGATGGGTAATAGAGGATTTTATATTTTAGGAAGTATTAACCTTGAAAATAAAACACCCAGTTATTTTACCAGCAAAATGTTAATAGCAGAGCTATGACAAACCACAGGCACGTCTGGAGATCAAAGGAGAGGAACTGTTAGTTTTTAGAGAAAAGGGAGACGTTGGGAAGGGCTGCTTCGAAGGAAAGCCCATTGAAAGAAAATGAGAGTTCAGGGTGGTGATGGTTTCTCCATTGGCTGGCTGTCACCAGGCTAGGACGAATCCTTCCTCTTGGCTGGAGTAGTAAAGTCCGCTTGTTCCTCTTGGGAATACAAGTCAACCCTTTCTGTTGGGTCTGCAATTGATGATCAGTGGTAGGCGTGAGAGCTCCCCGCTGCTGGCTTCTCAGCTCCACTTTCAGTTTCACAGGAAGGGACTTGTGCTCGGTGACCAGGAGACAACTAGAATCTAAGAAAACAGGCCAGCACTGAAATGATTTAAGTTAAAGATGAGGAGGACTTGCATCAAGGAGAAGGCAGTAGAAATGAAGAGAATGAAGTATATTTAAAGATATTTAACAAGTGGAAGTACAGAATTGGTAAAGTTTTGATTTGAGGGTTGAAAGGAATCAGTGCACTTCCTCTACTCAAACTGCTCACAGTCTAGTGGAAAGAGACAAAATAAATTCACAGTTTTAGTAAAAAGTGAGTTTTAGGAGCAAAGAGGGAGGGCATAGTGGTGAGGGCATTGGTGATTTTTTTTTTTTTTTACTTTTTTCTTTTTTAGCTTAGGTTGGCTTCCTTCTGATGGTGGCAAGAGCTGAATTATTCCCAGAGGTGGAATAAGTAGAAATTAACCAGGCAGCCATAATAGAGTTTCCAGACAGAAAATAGTAATGCAAAGGCTTAGAGTACTGAAGTCTCCATGATTCTATCCAAAATAACTGGTAAATGGGATTTCCATTCACTGGAGGTATGGAAAGCAGAGGCAGGGCATATTTCTGAACAGAGGGAAGGCAGGAGATGGAAGTCCAATTTAAATGACTGTACAGCAAAGGAAACAATCGACAAAACTAAAAGGCTACGGAATGGGAGAAGATATTTGCAAATGACACATCATGTAAAGGGTTAGTATCCAAAATCTTTTAACAACTTATCAAACCCAACACTCAAAAAACAAATAATCCAGTTAAGAAATGGGCAAAAGACATGAATAGACACTTTTCCAAAGGAGACATCCAGATGGCTGACAGACACATTGAAAGATGCTCAACATCACTCATCATCAGGGAAATACAAATCAAAACCACAGTGAGATACTGCCTCACACCTGTCAGAATGGGTAAAATTAACAAGTCAGGAAACAACAGATGTTGGCGAGGATGCGGAGAAAGGGGAACCCTTTTGCAGTGTTGGTGGGAATGCGAGCTGGTACAGCCACTAAGGAAAACAGTATGGAGATTCCTCAAGAAGTTAAAAATAGAACTACCCTATGATCCAGCAATTGCACTACGAGGTATTTATCCAGAGGATACAAAAATACTGATTTGAAGGGGCACATGCACCACAGTGTTTATAGCACTATCAACCATAGCCAAATTATGGAAAGAGCCCAAATGTCCATCAACTGATGAATGGATAAAGTGTGTGTGTGTGCGCGCACGCATGTAATGGACTATTACTCAGTGATCAGAAAGAATGACATCTTGCCATTTGCAACAATGTGGATGGAACTTAGAGTGTATTATGCTAAGCGAAGTAAATCAGAGAAAGACAAATACGTGATTTCACTCATGTGGAATTTAAGAAACAAAACATGAACAGGGGGAGGGGAAGGTAAGGAAAAATAAAATAAGATGAAAACAGAGAGGAAGGCGATCTATAAGAGATTCTGAAATACAGAGAACAAACTGAGGGTTGTTGGCGGGGAGGTAGGTGTGGTGGTGGGCATTAAGAAGGACGCTTGTTGGGATGAGCACTGGGTATTGTATGTGAGTGATGAATCACTAAATTTTACTCCTGAAACCAATACTACACTCTATGTTAACTAACTTGAATTTAAATTAAAAAAAAAAAATGTGCTTGCGATGCTTTCTCATGTCTAAGTGGTAATTCATTTTGGTAATGAATGAGATCATCTAGGGTTCTGTTGTAGATAAGAGAAGAGGACTAAGAATAGAACTTTTCAAAATCAGCCATTAGAGTGTTTTGAAGAAAAGGAATTAGTGAAGGGAAAATAAAAGCGATCCACCAAGTAGACCACAGACCAGAGTACGAGGGCAGAGAGAGTGGTCAGTAACGTCTGGCAGAGGTTAGGGAAAATGGGGACTGAACATAGTCCATTGGTTTGGACACTGGGATACTAGGCTAGCGGTCAGTGGTGCCGTACAAAAGAACCAGGTTAGTATCTGTTGAAAACATTCTGACTTGATAGGGAGTGGCTTGTGATCAACAGTGGGGCTGAGGGGTAAGCTAATTGAGGGAGGCTTTTTGGGAACTGTACAGCTGATGTGAAGGGGTATGAGTTGTCAGAAGAGCCAAATTTGAGATTTCAAAACTGGAAGTTCAGAGGATTTTTTTTCCCATTCTGTTCATTTCTTATAGTAAACATTACTTAATATTTTGTGTGATTCTTCTTAATAAATTTTAAAATATTTGCTGATTGCATGTATGTTGTTTTTGGGCCGTAATTAGATATAAATTATGTTATGAGTTACCTACAGTAAAATTCTAGATGTTTATAGATAGATTTTTAATCAGGAGCTAATATATAAAACTGTTAATTTATATGGATGTGGTTATTATGTGTAGATATGTTTATTTTGTTACAGTTGTTTTCTGCGTGCTTTGAGAATTCCTTTTATTTTCACTTAATGAAAAAGTCTTGGTATATGAGTGTGTGTGAGTGTGTGTGTATGTTCCTAGCAGTTTAGGAAAAATTAATTATGGGAAGATGTGTATTTTTCTCTTTGCTTAGATATGTAACACTGCATTTGTTTCATCAGTCATGTGATCTCGTTCAGTGCTATGAGAAGTCAAATAAGAAATGATATAAAACGATGACATAACACCAGCACTTAATACGCCAGAAGCATTTTTTTGTTTTATTTTTAAAGGGTTTGAAATATGGATTTCTGAGTGGTATTGGCAGGTCATAGCAAAGTTTAGCTTGTTTAATATCACCATATTTAAATGCTAGGATGTCATTTGTCTCCAGTCCTTCTATTGAAAAAACAGCAATGTCTGTGCTTTTTGTCACTAAAACCCTCTAAACTCTGGATGTATTTGTTATTGGTAACTCATCCCTTATGTTTATATAGCAAAATTGGAGGGAATAAGGATAAGAAGGGTCTCAAATGAATTATGAAATCTTATTCTTTAAAAATAAATTCTTTATAAGGGGAGAAATAAATATATTTTATTCTGTATAATAAAAATTTTGAAGATAGCTAGTTTGGTATCAAATATGTCACTAGCCAGGAACTTCTGCATAGATGTTTGATGTGCCAGAGGAGTCCTGGAGCAACAGAAGGTGGTAACCTTTCACTGAGGGCTGTTCTGAACAGTTTTGTATATTTACAGTTACAATTGTTGTTTCCCATCTTTTTTTCTAGCCGCTATTTAAATAAGGCCTTTCATATCTGGTCCAAGAAGGAGAAATTCTCATCCAGTTTTATAAACAATGTGATATCCTACACTGGCACAGAACATTCTGCACCAGCCTGGATGCTGCTCTCCAAGATTGCTTGCTCATCCCCCAAGCTGGACTACACCAAAATAATAGAGTCCTGGGACAAAATCAGCAGGTTTGCATGCTTATAATGTAGTTGCTGACAGACGCTGAAGATTCTTGGAAACAAAGCTCATGTCTTAAGGAAGTGGGCTATTTCATAGCTATTCATATACATAGATCTTGTCTTTAAATTCTGGTATAAAAACAAACATGTGGGACGCCTGGGTGGCTCAGTCGCTTAAGCGTCTGCCTTCAGCTCAGGTCATGATCCCAGTGGCCTGGGATCGAGTCCCGCATCAGGCTCCTTGCTCAGCAGGGAGCCTGCTTCTCCCTCTGCCTGCAGCTCCCCCTGCTTGTACCCTTGCTCACTCTCTCGCCCATGCTCTCTCTCTCTCTAACAAATAAATAAAATCTTTAAAAAAAAAAACAAAAACCAAAACACAAACAAACATGAAAGATAAGACTAATTTTTAAGCTTTCAGTTTACCCTTTGTCCCAGTAATTTAAGTGCCTTAATGCTCCTACAATTTGACTCCTAAACCAGGCTACCCTACATTCCTCCAGTATTAACAATCCAGAGACTATTGGTTGGCAGCAGAGTTTATTTTGGCTGTATATTGATATTCCTTATGTCCTTTTTCTAGTCAACAGAATCCCAATTCAAACACCTTAGGACATATTCTGTGTGTTATTGGGCATATTGCAAAGCATCTTCCTCAGAGCACCCGGGACAAGGTGACTGGTGAGTATCTTTTGGAGACTCTTGGAAAGGCTTTGCTTCTCACTTTATATATATTTTAAGCAGTTAAATTTGGAGGGTTTTTGACTCTCTTTTTAGATGTGGTCAAGTGTAAGCTGAATGGATTCCAGTGGTCTCTAGAGTTGATCAGCTCAGCTGTTGATACTTTGCAAAGACTCTGTAGAGCATCTGCAGAGACACCTGTGGAAGAACAGGTAGGCTACAAACTCTCCTGGATATGTTTGTCGTTTGTTTGTACTTATACATATTACTCTGTTTTGAAGTTTGAAGAGTATTCTCTGTGGAGAACCTACAAGAATGGGTAGTCTCCAGCAGCTGATACTACAAGTAAATACTTATGTGACAAGCAGTTGACATTCCCTGAGAGGATCTTGGCTACTAATGACACAGGGTTCCCTCAGGAAGTCACCACCTTGGTTCTAGGTACACGTGTCTTCTAGGAAATGGTTTCTGATCATTTGAGAGGTCATACTCCTGGAAAATACCTGTCCTGTTACTAGAAGGTTCTATTATTCTAATACCTCTTCCTATATCATGTCCCCAAAGTTGGCCAGAACCTACAGCTCATATTTTCTGTAGAACATACACACAAATCCAAGCCAGGGTTTTGCCTGAGACAGAGCCATTATTTTGACTCCCTAAAAGATAGCCCTATCAGTTTCTCTAATAAGTTACTTTATTGCCATGTATTCTGTTTTTATCATGAAATATACTCCTAGACAATGCTAATCATAACGAAAAATTTTAAGACGGGTTATTAATGATTCTAGAAGTCAAAAGTTAATTTAAATAACTGCTGGAATATTTTTAAATTTCCCAGAATAAAAATATTTTTGCTTCATTCAGCTACATTCCTGTGCTTCCTTTTCTTATATATAAGTTCCTTAAAGAAAGTCCTTCCTTGAAACAAACTGAGGGTTGCTGGAGTGGTGGGGGGTGGGAGGAATGGGGTGGCTGGGTGATAGACATTGGGGAGGGTATGTGCTATGTTACATCTTCTTTTTGTAGTAACATAATAATAGGGAAGTATATTACAACTTTTTTTGTTTAGGACTGAAAACAGGTTGAAATGTACTTAACTGAAAATACCCAGCTCTTCCCATGTAAATGGTGTCTGGTGTTTTCCTGGCGTATACCTTTTGGCTCGTCTGGTGAAAGGGATACTTGCTTTGTTTGTTTTTTTCTAGCCGTTTATCTCTTGATCCAAGAAAAACTTCTAAATAAGGTACATTACCTAAGTAGGGAGCATATTTGAATAGCAGAAAACAGGTCAAAACAAAACAAAAGCTGTTCACGAGGAAAGAATGATGTAGGAAAAAGCAGGGAGAAATGTCTATGGCAGATTATGAAACTGTGATCCGGCATGTCTTCTTGGTGGCACACAGCTGATTAATGGCAGAGCCATGCCTGGAACTAAGGCCTCTGACTGCCTTCCCAATCTTTTTTTTTTTCTCACCAGCACTGGCTGGAGGAAGAGTGATCTATAATACTGGTGGCGTTGGGGCCTTAAGAAGCCACTGGCTGCTCACTAATGGCCCACAGTTGTTAGCACAGTAAGTTACATCATTGTTAGAGCCTGTGAGGAAGACAGAGTTACCTTCACATTTAAAAACTGAGAACTAAAAGAGATTATTACCACGTGTGAAGAAAGGCCAGGGTTGTAGCTTTGCCAATACCACTTCCCTTGGTGATAGACAATGGACTGAGGTCCTGAGATTTTCCAGCATCTTAGGGTATTTTAAATTCGTATGACCTGGTTGTTTCCCCTAAACATGCTTCTCTTTTCCTTTTCTCTGTAAATGAACATTCTATATTTTACTGAGAAAAACAAATTGCCCAAAGAATAGATGATCAGGATCTAGCTCAACAGCATTGTATATGAAAAGATATGGGTTTGGGGGTATTGTTGCTATCTATAAGCCTGGCACCAGTTAATAGTGTTTTGTGGCTATCACTGGAAACAGCCTGTGAGATCTTGGACTGTATTAATAGAAATAGTGACTACAGTAAGAGTGGTGATGGTTCTCCTCTTTGTACTGGTGAAATCTAAGTTGGCATGTTCTAATTTAATTTCAGTGGCAACTCCTTAGAGAAATGTTGATAAAATTGAATCTATCAGTGGGAGAGAAATTTGGTGAGCCAGTTACAAAGCAGGTTGTATAAGGAACAGCTGAAGGACCTGGGTGTTAAGCTGGTGAAGGGAAGAATTATGTGGGATAGGGTGCCTAGCTAAGTTCAACTATATGAAGGACCTTAAAATGAAAGAAGAATTAGATTTATTTGGCATCACAGACCAATGAGTGGAAATCGTGAGGAGACAAACATTAACCAACTAAAGAAAAAACATACCGAGGTCTGCCTGAAATGGAGGGACTTGCCTCAAAACACATTCTAAATCACTGGAGGTGTTCACAGAGAAGCTGGACAACTTGACATGAGTCTCTGTGTGAAGAGATTCCCAGGACTAGATGGCCGCGACAGTTCTCTCCCAGATTCTGTGATTCCAAAAGCTCTAGTCCAACTACCCAGCCCAGTTCTAGGCTTGAGGTCTCACACAAGTTAACCTTTGTCTTCTTGCCAGGATAGAGCATACAGATTTCAGAAGTTCTGGACAGCATCACAGCCCAGGCTGTGCAATCTATTAAAATAAGTACAATAATTCTATAAAAAGTAATAAAGACAATCATTTTGAAACATTTTAGGCCAAGTCAAACTAAAAACATTTGGATCACAGTGATAGTTTGGCCCAGTGTGGTAAACATTGAGCAACATTTTGTGGTAGTGCTGCTGGGCCCTGGGGTGGTGGTTAAAACAGTCCCTTCCTAAGGCACCCACAGCATAATAGGGCAGATGCACATGGAAACAGGTGATTTCAACATAATATAATCATTCCTGGGGCTCCTGGGTGGCTCATTCGGTTGAGCGGCCCAACTTTTGATTTCGGCTCAGGTCACAATCTCAGGGTTGTGAGATCGAGCCCCAAGTCGGGCTCTGCGCTCAGCGCAGAGTCTGCTCCTCCCTCTCCTGCTCCCTCTCTTCCTCCCTCTGTCTCCCCGCCCCCACCCCACTTGCTTTCTCTCAAATAAATAAATAAAATCTTTAAAAAAAATAATATAATCATTCCTCAAATAGAAATGTGCATAACATAACATGGAAGTCTTGGAGTGGAGCCACTTAGCTCAACCTGGGTGTTTTGGACTGGCCTCCTAGAGACAATGTAGTCAGAGCTGTAGAATGTGACTGAGCTCTCTCAGCTGCCATGGAGGTGATATACTAGAGATGGCGACCACTTGACGTTATTTTAACTAACAAGGACTGAAAACTTGTCTTTAATGAATACATTTCAAAATGATAACAACTGTTCTTTTTTATTCTCTTTTTAAAGTATACTATTTGCTATAGTAGTTAATTCACCATCTACATATGCTAGAAGAACTGTAGTGTTTTTCTCTATTAATGGAGGGGCACCATTATTATAGATCTTTTATCAGGGCACTGGATCTTCCCAGATATTTGCTTTTTGCTCTTAAAGGGCACATGGAGAAAGGTGTGTGTGTGTGTGTGTGTGTGTGTGTGTGTGTGTGTGCTGTATATATATACTGTTCTTGTGAATTCTGCTTAGTTCTTCTAGCCAGATTGCTGAAAGAGCAAAGATTCGAAAGCATGATGGCTAGGACTTCTCATGGCTTATGGTTATGCCTTTGAAGACCATAGATTTTCTTCTGAGAAAATTGTTTCATGGACAGTCTCATAGATGTATGGAATCCTTCAGAGATTACCTTTGACTTGCCACAGGAATTACTGAAGCAGGTGTGTGGGGATGTCCTCTCCACCTGTGTGCAGTCCCTCTCCAACATAGTTCTAAAGCAAAATGGACCTGGGAGTATGGATGAAGACCTGTTTGTAAGTAATTACTCTTCTCGAACATTCCTTTCCTTTACATTGGTTGAGGTTTTCTAAAGATGACTTTCTAATGTGCATTTCTAATGCTATTAGCAAGAAAAGGACTTTCCTAGCCTAGAGCTTACTTTTTTTTAGAAGAATTTTTGTGTTGGTCAAGGCCTATTCATTTTTCTCTCATGTACTTATTATCTGGGGGAAAAACTTGATGCGATATGCTTCATCCAGTTAGAGCCTGTGAGGTACCTGATCCAGTAGGGAAAACTGTGTCTGTGTTGTGAAATAATAAGGTGAGAAAGTAATAAGGGCAGTATGCTCTTTGTTCTTTTGGCTTGTTTGTTTGATGTGTTTTTAAAGTATAATGTGTCTGCTAAAGCTGTTTAAATACCAGACTGTAGAACTAGGGAATAGCGCTGAGCAGTTCTGAAGCCATGGCTAAAATACAGTGAAATATTTGAAAATTGAAAATACAAATAACCTTGGAGCAGCAAGACTATATGACATGGCACCCTGCTTTAGAAATTGTGTTGGTGCAATTGATTCCTGTGGGCCAGTAAATGTGGAGCCAGTTTTCTGATTTGAGGTTGACCATCAACAAAACATGCTGTAGTAATTCTGACTCCAACATCTGACAGTCAGTAAAGAAAACTTTTTAATGCCCTTCTGTAGAGGCCATCAATTCACCAGAATTGGCCATTTTCCTCATCTGTATGAAAATTAGTAGAGTACCTCTCCTCTGTGCTCTTCCTGCTTTGCCACCTCACATTTGTACCTGGAGACCAAGGACCATGTTTAGATATGTGAGAAGAGACCATTTGTGCTGAGGCATTAATAGGCACACTTTAGTAATAAAAATATTACCAGTAGGAATCCAGACATTTCAGTTCAGAGGACTGTGATGTGTTAAGATGGCCCTGCCCCAGGGTTTCTAGAGGGTCTCATGCCTCTAATTTGAGCAGTCACTGCCCAAACTAAGAAAAATGCTTATTATGACCAGTGAGTTTTTCCCTCTAAAATTTTTTTTCAACTATTAAATATGTCACCGGAAGCTTCCCGATAGTCAAAATATATAAGGATACATATATATTATAATATATACATTATAATATATACAATATAACTATTGTTTACTTCACTCTTCTTTAAGTAGAATTTAAATATTCCTTTAATCACTAAGATATATATGTTCAGGATTTTTTAAATATACATACTCTTGATTTTGGCTCAGGTCATGATCTCAGGGTCATGAGATCGAGCCCCACATTGGGCTGTGCGCTGGGCATGGAGCCTGCTTAAGATTCTCTCTCTCCCTCTGCCCCTCCCCCCACTTGCACGGACACATTCCCTCTCTCTCTCTCTCTAAAATAAGTAAGTAGGGCGCCTGGGTGCCTCAGTCAGTTAGGCGTCTGCCTTCGGCTCAGGTCCTGATCCCAGGGTCTTGGGATCGAGTCCCATGTTGGGCTCCCTGCTCAGCAGGGAGCCTGCTTCTCCCTCTGCCTGCCACTCTCCCTGCTTATACTCTCTCTCTCACTCTCTCTCAAATAAATAAAATCTTTTTAAAAAAATAAAATGAATTAAGGAAATCTTTACAAAAATAAAATAAGCCTTTTACATTTTACTATTTAGCCTTACCCTTGCATTTTTAGGATAAAGAAAAAACAGTGTTATTAACTCTCAAGTTGAATGTTCTTCATAAACACCAAGTAGTAGTGGCAGCTCTGAGGAAGACAGTAGGTATGAGTTTTTGATAGGACTCTAAATAGTAAACCAGTCAGGAAGACAGTTTGGAAATATGTTTTAAAATGTAAAACAGTTTTATGCCCTTTAACCCTGGATTACTTCTAAGGAAGTAAAACAGTGTTTAAAGGTACAAAGGTGTTCTTCAGAAGGAATGCAAACAATAGCAAAGGATTAGAAGCAGTGTAAATGTTCACTAATAGTGAAGTAAATTATGATGACTCAGTAGTTTTTAACATACTTATCTAGTCATTAGACATATTTATTATATCTAGTGACAAAAAAGGTTGGGTGAATTTTACCATGTAGTGACTGAATTTTTACAGTGGCCATGTGTTTTTATGGAAAAAAAAATAGTTCTCTTAATTTGGGGCACAAAAAAAAATACATGTCTTTAGCTAGAGTTAATTTTTCTTTTGCCTTATTTTTACTGCAAAACCAATTCTTTTTGCAGGTGAAGTACATTTTTACCTTAGGAGATATAGCCCAGCTTTGTCCAGCCAGAGTGGAGAAGCGAGCATTCCTTCTGATTCAGTCCATTCTAGCTTCTTCTGTTGATGCGGATCATCGTAAGGCACTTGAAATTATCCTCTGCACGTGCTGTCTTAAGGTGGGGTTGGTCCCTGAGATACTGTAGATAAGCCCTCTTCTTCTTCCTTGTAGCAACATCATCTCAAGGTCACAGTGAAGCTCCAGCCTTTGAGCCACTCTCCCAAGTCCGGGGCTGTGTCATGCCTTCCATGATTAGAGCACACGCCATCATTACTTTGGGTAAGCAAGAATAACGGGGAAAATACTGCTTGTGCGGTCCAGTTCCATGGGTAGCTTTTTTGTCTCAAATAAGCCAGCCTTAGTAATGTGTTAACGTATGCTGAGCTCATATGTACTCTAGCTCTTGTGAATTTTGGAGGGAATTCTGTTAGGAGCACCTAGTTCAGAGGCATACCAGAGTGCTGATAATGAGAGCCCTTGGTTGGCAGCTGCCCAAGACGATCAGACTCAAGACACTCCCTGTAGGGAACTTTTGGTTTTTATGTTAATTTATTACAATTACACTTGTTCCTTTTTTTGTGGGGGGTGGTTTAATACTCATAATGTAGCACCATGAGGTCTGTTCATCAAGAACTATATGCCAGGTACCACACTGATTTCTGGGAATGAAAAACTAAATTTGCGGTTCAGTTCATAAAAGGAGATAGTTTAGGGCGCTTGGGTGGCTCAGTTGGTTAAGCGACTGCCTTCGGCTCAGGTCATGATCCTGGAGTCCCGGGATCGAGTCCCACATCGGGCTCCCTGCTCGGCGGGGAGTCTGCTTCTCCCTCTGACCCTCTTCCCTCTTGTGCTCTCTATCATTCTCTCTCTCTCAAATAAATAGGTAAAATCTTAAAAAAAAAAAAAAGGAGATAGTTTATTTGATACCTATCAGAACTGGTAGATGAGCTAATTAATAGACATATTTCCCCATGGACTCAAATTGTTGTGAGTCTCGAGAAGACTAACCTCTGTGCCCTAATTTGAATTTTGTTTTAGTATGATTATTTATTTTATGCTGGATAAGATTTATGAATGTTTTTTGTAATACTAATTTTTTAAAAATCTAAGAATTGTGAATAAGAGCAAAACATTCTCTGGGCTGCAAAAAATTACAAACAGGGGCACCTGGGTGGCGCAGTCAGTTAAGCTTCTGACTTTGGCCAGGTCGTGATCTCAGGGTCCTGGGATCGAGCCCCGTGTTGGGCTCCCCGCTCAGCAGGGAGTCTGCTTGTCCCTCTGTCCCTCTGCCTGCTTGTGCTCTCTCTCTCTCAAATAAATAAACAAAATCTTTAAAAAAAAAAAATACAAACAAAACTCAGTAACAGCCTCCCTTCTCCTAACTGTGAATAAGAAATAAAATGAGGTGGTTATTCTTTCCTATTTACCTAGCTCAGGTTTCAAATTCATTATTAAACTTTTTGGCTTCAATGGAGTATGTGTATAATCAAAATAAAATGTATCATCTGTTAGATTTTATTGGTCATTTTCCAGGTGAGTAGATAAGTTCTGAAATTCAACTGTTGACTTTAAAAGGAGGATAGTTTTACTCCAATGAAGGAACATCTCTTAGTATATGTCTCATAAAACCCTGAAGTGGTGGGGGGGGCATTATTTTTTTAGGTATTTTGAACTTCCTGATATTTAGTGGTATAGGTTTGTCTGCCTATGATTTTTTTGTTTGTGATTGTTGATATGATGTTTTAACTTTAATCAAGTAAAATCCACAGCAGGCTTTATCTGGAGAAAATGTAGGCATAGGATTAGAGTCGAGACATCTTAATCTCTTCTGTGACAGGCAAGCTGTGCTTACAGCATGAGGACCTTGCAAAGAAGAGCATCCCGGCCCTTGTGCGAGAGCTGGAAGTGTGTGATGATGTGGCTGTTCGCAACAATGTTGTCATCGTCATGTGTGATCTTTGTATCCGGTATACGGTCATGGTGGACAAGTACATTCCCAATATCTCCATGTGTCTGAAGGATTCAAATCCATTCATCCGAAAGCAAACACTCATCTTGCTTACCAATCTCTTGCAGGTATGTCTGAGAACAGGACCTGTCATTTTTTTCCTTCCACTATTGCTTCTGGTTTCAGGGAATATTGGAGTAGCATAGGAAATGCACTGCTCTGTAGTAGAATCCAAAAATAATCAGCCTTGTCTCTGGTTTAAAATATCACTCTTCTGATGTTCTATGCAGCCTTTTAAACAGAGTGTTACTTCCTAATGTTTATTTTGGGTGTTTGTTCACATATCCTGTCAACCAGTGTGAGGTTTCATTTTTGTGAGTAAATTCCATGTAGAGAAGAGCACACTCAGTGGACGAGTACTTCTAGTTCTAATTCTGTCATTCTCCTTGACTTTGAACAAGTCAGTGTTTCTCAGACATAACTTCTTTTGTGAAATGAGAATCATATTTGCCTTGCTGTCTCAGAGTTGGTCTGAGAGTCCAGTGAGACATTTTTAGTGTGTGAAAGAACTTAATGAACTCTAAACTCTTAGTGAACAGAGCACTCAATGTTTTTCTTGTCATTGAGAACATATGTTTAGCCTAAAGTGAGGGAGAAATAGTATTTGATCTTTAAATAGAAGGCATTTAAGTTGTATATCTATTCTAGTATGTTCTATATACGTACTTTTTTATATGGTTAGGTACCTGACGAAGGCACCATTGGCTCTCCCTTTTAAAGCCAGGTGCTTTGAGTAATTTTCCTAATAGAGTAAATAGGATGCTGTTCTACCCAAATATCCCTCCACTTCTCTTTATGATCAGCAAATATACGTGCTTTCAAGATGGTCGGAAGTGAGTGCTAACAGACTGTGCTAATGTGGCACAGACAGACGGAGTAGCTGACAGGTGTGATGTTAAACAAAAGAAAGTTAACAGTTGGTTTTATGACTGAATGCATTTAGGGTTTGTATATTAAAATTCATCCTTAAACAAGCTGGTTTCTCTTTATACAGGAAGAATTTGTGAAATGGAAGGGCTCTCTGTTCTTTCGATTTGTCAGCACTCTGATAGATTCACACCCAGACATCGCCAGGTAACTCTTTCCTCACATGTCAGATAACTGAATGATTTACCTAATTTCTGGTGTACATTAGTTCTCTTTAAAATTTGTTTGGGGTTGAGTTTTTTAGAATTTAGTGAGCTTTTGGCAGTTGCCAGAGAATTAGCAGATTTTTAAGCTATATAACAAAGCTTTACTTTGCATATAAATTAAAAAAAAATCCCTCATCCAGTTTGACCATTAAATAGTCTCAGCATTGACTACATTTGCTAACATTGTTGACTGTCCCTAAAGGAGTAATGAAGAGCAGTATATGAGTTTGTCATAGTAAATTATATGGAATTGTAGCCATTAACTATTGACTTAACTATGTTGATTTCTAAGCCAGTAAAATGTCAATTTTGATAGAGTTCATGCTTTCTTGTAAGTGCAGAAATTATAAGGAAGAAATTCTAGGAATTTTAAGACACTGTGAAATGAGAGTATACAAATTACAAGGCTTCTTGGAAATGGGTGTTTCTTGAGAATTGGAAGGGAAGGGAGTTGTTTTGCCACTTGTTAATTCCTATCATTCTATAATTTTTTTGAGGATTTATTTTCAGGAGGTTGAGGAATGATCTTACAGAATTTGTTAACCTAGATTATGTTGCATGAATAATTCTTTTTAAAGCAGTTCTGCAATTGTAGAATAGAATGTTGAATGCATGGCAAAAGCTACCACAGTTGGGAAAAGGTCTTTAGAGAGTTCATTAGCTATAAATAGCTTATAATAATGGGTCCCTCTGGTTCTAAATATGGTCACCGATGATTTACACTGAGTTCCATGGAAGAATTTCTGTTCGGTTTTCTTTGGGTATAATTTTCTAAGGAGGAATATTTTACATAGTAAACTAGTGGAAGGTTAACATTGTAATTATTGCTATCTAGAGTCAGAAATAAAAAGCTAAGACTATTACTTTTTCTTTGTTTATATAACCGAGAAAGGACCAAAATAGTGATGCAGTGCCCTTTTACCTTTACTCTGCTACCATAAGACTGGCTGTCATGGCTCTCTCCTCTCTACAATGTACAGCCGAGAAGCAGGCATAATTAGAAGTGTTGGGAGGCTCTCATCTGATGAGCTGGGAAGGTGAGATTGGTTATTTAACCTACACTTTTGGGTTTACTCCCTTTTCTCAGCTCCTATACATGTATGTGAACAAGAGCATTGGTCAGTATGTAACATACACAGCACCTGTTATAAAGGTGATCAAAGGGGCATCTGGGTGGCTCAGTCGGTTAAGTGTCTGCCTCTGGCTCAGGTCACGATCCCAGGGTCCTGGGATCGAGCCCCGCATCGGGCTCCCTGCTCAGCGGGGAGCCTACTTCTCCCTCTCCCTCTGCTGCTCCCCCTGCTTGTGCTCTCTCTTTCTCTCTGTGAAATAAGTAAATAAAATCTTAAAAAAAAAAAAAGGGATCAGAGCATGAATCAGAAAGATTAGGGTAGATAGATATTTACACTATAGTAAGATAATCAGTGCCTCTTATAGTATTTTGATACTTCTCTTTTAAATCTTTCCATTTTATCTCCATATTTTGTTTGTTTAAACCACGTGGTTCAAATGTGGGCCCCAGATTTTCAGCTTTAATGAGCTAATGATTACCTTTGTTAATTGTAATTTAAATTAGTCAGTTCCCCTATTTTTAGGTCAGGCCTATCTGCTTGCATTAAACACATTAATTTTTCCATACGTATCTGCTAATACAGGTCTTCTAAAGAGACTCTAGTGGCAGAACTTGTTGCATTTATTTCTGGCCCAGGTGGATTTCCTGAATGACATTTTTAATTGGTCATATACACCCACTAAAGTTTAGGACTACAAAATTGTATGGTGTATTTTCCCCTCTGCCCACTAGGTGGTGTCCTTGTAGTACAGCAGTCACGGCGTGATAGGTAACAAGTGGGTTGTTTGGGCTTAACTGGGGAAATGCCGCAAGTATCACAAGGCAGGGCCAGAGAAGTTCAAGGCAAGAGAATGACTAAGGTAATGGCCATTAAGTTAGAAAAGAAAATGAAGACAGAGATCGGTTGGGAGAAGAGGAAGTAATTGAGCATCTAGAGGGATTAGTGAAGTTGTGGAACAAGTAGAATGGGAAGGGGCGGGGGGTCAGAAAGCTGGAAGGATAGGTGTGTGTGGTCATGAAGTGGATTATCTTAGTCAGAAGTGGGTGTTCCGGGTGTAATGACATGGTCCAGGATGGGGCTGCAGAGTAGCTACATAGAACATACATGGGAGGGTCACTAGAGTTGATGAAATCAGAAAAATAGAAAGTTAGGGGTTAAATGAGCTCATCTGTACGGACATTGAAGATGCTCTGAGAAGTTGTCATAGTCCATTCAGGCCGCTGTAACAAAATACCACAGACTGGGGGTGCCTGGGTGGCTCAGTTGGTTAAGCCTCTGCCTTTGGCTTGGTTGCGATTCCAGGGTTCTGGGATCAAGCCCCACCTCAGGCTGCCTGTTCATCAGGAAGCCTGCTTCTGCCTGCTGCTCCCCTGCTTGTGCTCTGTCAAATAAATAAATAAAATCTTAAAAAAAAAATACCACAGACTGAATAGCGTATAAACAACAGAAATTTCTTTCTCACTGTTTAGAAGCTAGAAGTCTGAAACCCTGTCGCCGGCATGATTGGGTTCTGGTGAAAATAACAGGCTTCTCATTGTGTTTTCACATGGCAGAAGGAACAAGGGACCTTTCCAGGGCATCTTTTATAAGGACACTAATCTCATTCACTAACCCCAAAGGCCCAGTCTCCTAATACTGTCTCCTTCGGGGCTAGGTTTCCAACATAGGAATGGGGTTGGTGAGGACACAAACATTCAGACCATAGCAGTGATGTTGGCATTTGGAATGGAGAAAACTAGGACACAGGTACCAAGCAGTGCGGGGCAAAATAGATAGCCAGAGCCTCAGTAGAGGAGCCTCCATACTGCTACGTGGGCCAGGTGGAGGGATCCAACCCTCCCTTCCCCCTTTGCTATACCTTCCCCAAACAGCTTTTTCTTCAGACAACTTGTGGCAACATATTTTGTGTTGTATATGTAACATCTGACTACCTACTAGAATATAAGCGTCCAAGAGAGGCAGAGATTGTGTTTTGTTGACTGCATTATCCCTAGCACCTGAAAGAGCTTGAGACTAAGGAGACACCCCAGTGAACATTTGGCAAATGAATGAATGAAAATAGTATGGAGGGAAAGTATGGTCCTCATGCCTTAACTCTGGCATTTGGGAGAAGCAGCAAGTGTCCTTCCCTTTAGAGGGCTGTGGGTGTCCCTAGAGGAAAGCCGGCCCTGATTTATGAAAAAGTGTGGAGAGGGTAGACACTTGACTTCTCCTGGAACTAGAGTACGGAGTACGCTCAAGTCGGGAAAGTAGACAGGGGAAGTGAGATCAGGGGAGAAGAAACAACAGTATAGGGATGTGATAGAGCTGATGAAGATAGGGGAACAAGGGGGCCTGGATTTGGGGTGGAAGCTAAGGATCACATGGATATAGGAAATAACTTGCCTCAAGTTTCAGATAGAATTTTGGCATAAATGGGTCTGAGATAGACCAAGTTGTAGGACAGATCGGGAATAGGGGTCCATGAACAGTGGCCTTTGTTGAGCAGATAGATGCTTCAGAATAGCATTTGGCATGGGAAAACATCTTAAAAAAAGTCAGATTTTTATGTTCCTACTAATACTGAATGTGAAAGTGAGGCTAGGCTGTTTGAAACCTGGATTTGGATTCTTAATAAGAGAGTAATAACCGTTTTGTATGATTATTATGACTCAGATTTAGCTGGTCGTCTTTTTGTTTTCCGTATAATGTAATTAATGCTGTGTAAAATGTCTAGACAGTATCCCTGAATTGGTGGGGTGATTACGTACGGTTCCTTTTAATTGTCCTGAGGGATGAGAAGAGGTGGGAAAGGAAGCTGAGTTCTTTGGAAGGTATCTTTGGAGGTGTTGAAGTTTTCTGTTTCAGGTACCTGAAAAGTGCTGTCCTCTTGCCACTCTAAAAGGAATGCTCCAGGAAGCATTCCTTGGAATGTTAATTTTTTTTAACTTTCCAGCTGCCAAACAAAAAAAAAAAAACAAAATTATCTCTCTTCACCAGTTTATCAAGCTAGAAAGATCGGTGAGTTTAATCCAGTCAAGGCTGAAATGTGCCCTTTTAGTCCCAGTAAATGTAACAGCAAGACGAGTGCTGAATGTTACCCATTGACTCTGGTTTCTGGCTTCTCATGATGCAAAGCCCTTTGACTCGGCTTCCGGCCCCGAGCATGTAAATCCTTTGCATGATTTATGTTACTGTTGGATTTATCTGTACAGTTCGTTAAGCCAGTTATTCACTAGGGGATAGACTGCACTATCTTGCGCATCAGTTACCTCTACTGGTATATATTTTTGACCTAAATTCTGAGTAGATAAGCATTGGACATCAAGTCAAAGCGCACAAATTGAAGCTCAGAGCAGCCCGTCTTCTTGCGGAAGAGTGGATTCTGTCTGATCTCATTTTCACATGAATGACTTCAGATCCGAGGAGAAAATGCAGGTAGTTCTAAGAATTGCTGTGCTGTAGGAGTTTTAACTGTAATAAAGGAAGGTAAAGTCTTGTTTCTGGGGGAATGGTTTTTGTTTACTTAATGGTTTTCTCCACTCTTGGTCATAGATAGCTTGCCAGAGTAACCCTTGTTTAGAAAGAACTTCACCTGATGCTGTGACCAAACTTGTTTGCCCTTTAGCCAGGTCTACTAAACAGCATTTTGTGTAGAACGTACTGACTGACGGCTCCTAGATCAGCAGGCGCTCCTAGCTGGCCTCAGGTGAACTTCTCAGGGGAGTCCCTTTACGAAATAGAGTTTTGTTGATTTTGTGTTCAGCATTATTTCAGGCTGTTCCCTTATCTCCTAAGTGAGTGGTCAGAGTGCCTCTGTTTGCCCTGGAGCTTTTACTTAGGTTTACTTCAATTATGTTTCCGGAACTACCTTCTCTGAGTTTTAATCAATGTGTATGCTTTGAATACAAAGTGATTTTAATACTAGCCTCAGGAGGACCATTAGGGGAAGGTGAATCTCCCTCGAGTCCTGTATATCCCAAAGCCAAGAATCACTTTGGGTCATCCTCGTCACTGTGCCTCCCTCCTTGAGAGCTGACTGGTGCCCCTGTGTAGGTGGAAATTGCATTTAACTCCGAAATGAAATTAAAACATTGGTCTGGACAGTATAAATGAATCAGAGCCAGCCCTGCACCACCCCATGCTGACCCCTGAGCAAACGCCCATGCCTTGGCCTTCTCTCCCCTACTAGACAAACTATCTGGGGCCTGCGGTTGGGTAACCTGGCTTTTGTCCATGTACATTTGGCTTTGGAAACCACTAGTGTTTTGCCCTTCAGATCAGTGCAGTGCTGGTGACATCTGTGTCTCCCTGGGTAACCTGGTATGTGCATGTCGGACGCCTCTTCCAGATTTGGGGGCACAGGAGAAAGGAGAGTGCCTGGAGCTTGCTGATGAGTCCAGAGCTCAGTAAGAGTGCTTCACTGTCTGTGCTGACCCAAACTGGGAGGCTCTTGTAATTAATCCCAATTCTTGAAAAAGTCCCAATTACGAAAATTGGTTTTTGTTCATTATTATGGGCAAGAAACCTCAAGTTGAGGGGGGGAAGCCAAGTGTTCATTTTCAGGTGGTGGTTTGTCGTTGCATCAGCCATGAGGACCACAGAATTCTACTTGAAGAGCAGTTTGGGGTCGGTTGGTTGTTTTCCCACATTTGAAGTATAGCTGAATAATAACACCTTGTTAGAATTTTGAAAGGAATCCTGGTAGAAAAAGCCTTTATGCTGACCTTGGATTCAAAATGGAGGCTCTTGAGCAAGGACAGACAAAAGAAGCTAAATTTGTATCTTGCTTTTTGGTCTGAATGAAGCTGTGTATTGGGATAGATTTCATATCCCTTTGCCTTATTCACAGTTTCCCCCCTGCCCCTCAGCATTCTCAGTATAGTTTTAGAGGCTGTCTGCAAATAGCAAATGGGTCTCTTTCTTCTCTCTCCCCTTCTTTGTAGTTTCGGGGAGTTTTGCCTGGCTCACCTGTTACTGAAGAGGAACCCTGTCATGTTCTTCCAGCACTTCATTGAGTGTATCTTCCACTTCAATAACTACGAGAAGCATGAGAAGTATAACAAGTTCCCCCAGTCCGAGAGGTCAGCAGAGCTCTCGGGAAGGGCTGGGCAAGCAGGGGGAGGTGGGCAGCTGCGTGTACAAGTGGTGAGGCACAGACTCCGGCCCCAGTGGTGCTTGCAGCGGGCCTGCCTTCTCTGGGCAGGGTGATGTGAGCCCATTCAGCCTGCGATAGCGTCCTGAGGGACGTGCCGTCCTCTCGTCTGTGCACTTAACGCCTTGGGTAGACAGCTTTTAGGGTGCTGCGAACTGCTATTGAAATTAACATCCTTGTACCCTTGCCCATGTGCTGTGGTAAAATTGTCCTGTTTCACCATAGAGAGAAACGGCTGTTTTCACTGAAGGGAAAGACAAACAAGCAGAAACGAATGAAAATCTACAAATTTCTTCTGGAGCACTTCACAGATGAACAACGATTCAATATCACTTCCAAAATCTGTCTTAGTATTTTGGGTAGGCCTGGTGAATTTGGGATAAAATGTATATTTAAAAATGAAATGCCCTATAGCTAATGGCTCAGCAGACCTATAGCAAATGAGACCCTGATACTATGGGAAGACCCCGTTTTTTTCCTTCTTTGACATCAGCTGTGCCCACAGACCCCCACTCGAAGCCAAGACGGGCCCTCCTAGCTCTGTGGGATACCCTCCCCCACCGGGGCTGGGCTCTTTCTCAGAAGCTGATCTTTTGTGCTCTCTCTCAGCATCCTTTGCTGATGGCATCCTGCCCCTAGACATGGAAGCCAGTGAATTGCTTTCAGATACATTTGAGGTCCTCAGCTCAAAGGAGATCAAGCTTTTGGCCATGAGATCTAAAGCAGATAAGGACCTCCTTATGGAAGAAGATGACACGGCCTTGGCCAGTGCGGTCATGCAGGAAGCTCAGAAGCGGCTCATCTCGCAAGTGAGTGTGTCGTTCCACTAACGGGCCTGGTTACACACCCCTGTGTTCCTCCGTCCACCCCCTGAGTACTGGTGGTCTACCTCAAATCAGGATTTTATTCTCACCGATGGCCTTAACACTCACCCCAGTGATGACGATTCTGCCTCTGTGTTTCTAGCTCCACCTCCTCTCGTGGCCTGAACCCATCCCATTGGTCTGCTTGGATGTGCCACAGGCATCTCAGACTTCCTCTTTCAAAACTGAGTTACTCCTCTCTTCTCCCTCCTCTCTGTCTCTTCTCCCGCAGTCACTGTTGTGGAGAAGGAAACCATTATCTACCAAGTTGTCCATAAGGGAACTCAGTACTACCCCATTCTGGAGTCTGGCATGCCAGGCACATGCTTTCTTTGGCCAGAGTGTGAAAATTGGGATCAGACTGATTTAGAGCGGCGCTTGATTGCCATAGTCCTCACCAGGGTCCGGTTCTTACACTAGCCTCGATCACTAGGTTGTATTTCCCACCTGAGTCCTGAAAGCTTTGGACCCTGAAGAAATAGACTTTGATGCCGTCCAGTGTGTCCGCAGATGCGGTCCATTTTATCTCACAAACCCATCTCTCTCACCCATTCGACCAGTTCTGTACTTACTTAAGCTGGTGCCGTTCCCAGTGGTTTCCTCACTCAGCATCCTTTGTGTCTCTAGTTTTTTCTGGTCCAGTCTGTGTACCACCTTGCTGCCACAGCAGTCTTTCTTAAGGACAAATTTGATCATTTTATTCTCCTGCTTAAAAGAGACTAGAGGCAGATTGGCTGCAGAGGGCAGCCGGGAATTTCAGGGTGACGGATTACGGGTGATTATGCAGACTGTGGTGTTGGTTACTCTATATTGTTGTCAGATGCGTCAGACTGTTCACTTAACATGGATAAATTTTACTGCATATAAGTTATACCTCACTAATGCTCCCTTTAGACTGTAGTTTGGTGGCTTCCTATCACCTTCTGAATAAAATCCTTATTCTTCTCCCAGGCACACGGAACTCTTGCCCCTGCACCTCCCGTCTCCATGCTCCCTTCCCTGACCTCTCCATTCCAGGTCACTGTTGGTTCCTCGAGTGGGAGGTGTGCACTCCTGCTGTTGTGCCTTTGCACACTGTCTGTCTGCCCGCAGGGCCTCTCCCACCCTGTCCTCCTTTCCTGCCGCCAAATTCCTACATCTTTTCAAAAGATGCGCCTGCCTCGTTAGGCATCCCTCTTCTATAAGTTCCTCACCATCCTGCCACTTGTCACACCATGCCACACATCATAGCACACAGTCTGGTCTAGAAGTAGCTGGAAGGCAAGAATTCTTGGCTTAATTTTTACATCCCCAGAGGTTAGCTTTGTGTCTGCTACAGAGAAGGCATTTGATCATATTTATTGAGTTGAATGCATTTAAGCCACTTTTTAAGACTATCCCTGTACTTACCATCTGCTCAAACTCATATTTATTAAAGTGTTTATTTCTCTACTGATTGACCTTCTATCTCAGGAACTCTGATAAGACTTTTTAGAAATGGTGATTTACAAGCAAGGAACATATACTGTGACTTTAAGAAGAAAAAGAATACTTTCCGAATTCAGAAGGATAAATCTTACTACATATGTGGGCTACTATAATGACTATTTTTAATTCTAAGAGATTTATTAGAAAATATCTGTGGTTAGTGATCATTCACGGTTAAGAATATGAAAGCTTGGTCAAATCAGATACTATATAAATACATAAACCTTTTCTAAATGTGTGAGAAGTTATACACACAAAAAGAGAGAAATACAACACTGACTCTTTCATGCTTAGCCATTCTCAACCATTTGTCATTTCACAGCAGGAATACAAAATGTCCCTTTTGGGTAGCCAGAAGTGAACTCATTTTCATTCCAAAGGGAGGATGCTGAGTGGAGGAATTGACTGGATCCGAGATGGGTTTGTGTGGAGGTTTAGAGCTTGTTGTCGTTATTCAGCCTATTTCTAATTCCTGTTTCTTGTTTAGAAAGTAAGAATAGCTGTTCATCCCCATCCTACTTCAGAAAGCCTTCTGAGTGTTTTGAGGTAATGCTTATAAAGTCTCCAAGACAAAGGTGCTGGGTCCTAGACAGTTCCCAGCATCATAATAAAAGATAAACAAGAAGTCTTTGTAGTACTGTAGATTGGCCGTGCAGAAGGAGCTAGGTCAGGGAGAAGCCTTTGTCTCAGAACTTTATCCATCTAAAACATGCCTTTGTTTGTGTTACTACAGGTTCAGAAGAAGAATTTCATAGAAAATATTATTCCAATTATCATCTCCCTGAAGACCTTGCTAGAGAAAAATAAGATCCCAGCTCTGCGGGAACTCATGACCTATCTCAGGGTAAAAGATGACCTTGTGCTTTGTGGCCAGTGTCTCCCTCCTCTAGCTCATTACTCAGGCTTGGTCACAGTTATGATGGTGTAGTTGGTCGGTGAACGCAGGAACTCAAAATGCTACAAAACCAGCTTTACATTTTTTTAGAATTAGACCAGCCAGACAGGCCTTTGACTGTCGGGGAGAAGAGAGAGGAAGAGAGAGAGAGTTTGACCGTAGGTTCCACAGAAGCCGGTTCTTGCCTTTTTCATGCCGTTGAGTTTATGAAGGGCTGACTCATTCTGCTGAGCATGTGTGTCCTTGATACCAGTTTGGAGATTCCGTTTTGAAGACTTTCTCAACTGGGGTCAAGTACAAAGGCATCATCTTAGTTCATTCTGGTGAGGGATAAAGTGAAATTGGGCATCATGTTCAATTTGGGGATGTTTACCTTTAACACTGCCTCCGTATCAGGAAGTAACAGTGGGTCTTGGGGCGCACTGTTGGGGGCCGGGCCGCCGTCACTGCTGGGATTTGAGGCCATGAACAGTCGTGGTCTAAGCACCCAGAGTATGTAGACTTGCCGTGCAGACATAAATGAGGCCCCCGACCTTTCTGGCAAAATTTTTCAATCAGAAATAAATGGAACAGTTTTTTTCTGTTCTCTGTTTACACTATGCTATTTTCTTTCTCAAGACATGCTAAAAAATTTTTTTCAGTAAGGGCTACAACCAAATTATATTTAATGTAAATTCTTTAAATAGCTCTTTAAACTAAAGGAAGTTAAGGTAGGAAAGATAGGCTCATTGTGTGGGAAAAAATGGGAACGTCCAGTTATTCTTAGGCTTTTATTGCCCTGACTGTTTTAAAGCTCTGAGAGGGAAAAAAAGAGTTTAGATCCTCAAACTACTTAAAGGCTTAAGCACAGTAAGTCTGTCCCCTGTTGCGGAGCACACGGCCAGAGGATGGCCACACAGCTGCCCTATTTGAGCGGCACAGCTCTCGTTTGTTGGCGGCCTTCTGTGGAAGCAGCTTCAGCCGCCCTATGCCCCGACCTGTGCAGCCTCTCTTCACGGTAGCCGGAAGGGTTCATAGATTGCCTTCCCTTTGTTGGGACTTCCCTCACAGGTGGGGTCCGATAAATCGTCTCCCTCTACTACTAAGTTAGGTGAAATGGTTTCTTCCTCTTAGCCAAGAGGCCTGGTCCCTGGCAGCCCCCTGTAAGCCCTGAGCATGTTCTTAGCGTCATATGATAAAAGCTTTTCTGTCCTATCTTCAGAGGAAGACACAAGGATGGGAGTAGAACCATAGTTGCCGTCCTCTGAGAAAGCTAGTGTAGACAGATGAGCAACTTTTAGACTGCACAGCTTCCTGTAACTTGCTCCAGAGGCCCTGTCGGAGCCAGGACAGTGCCAGGTATCACCTGCCCACCTAACCTCTGACTTGAATTCCTAAGGGGCCTGCCTCAGTGACACTACAAGAGCCTTTAAACTGGTGGTGACCCAGAGCCAAGCCCAGCCACTTAGCTACATCACTATCCCCATCCCCGCCTTCAGGAATGGAAAGGGGGTGGCTTATCAGTGGCAGTTCTGTGCCCTGGAATAAGGCCTGCTTGAGGCTCAGATTGTGTGATTCCATGTCCCCTCTTCCTCATCAGGAACCTGGGAAACTGCCTGTTGAATGGCAGATAGACAGGACACTCCCTAAGAAATCAGAACTGATAACAATCTCTCACGCCATGCTCCCTGGCTTCTGTGGTCAATACCAGTGCAGTTGGCCTTTCCTGGGAAAATACCATCATGTTACTTAACTTGGTGGTTGATGTACTAGAAATAGTCGGCTCTCAGCAAAACGTGTCTTACTACTCCTGTTAGTATTTCTCTGGTTGCATTGCAGAGCTTATGTATTTATTCAAGAAAACACTAAAAGATGCCTCGGGGTCTGTTTTAGGAGGTGATGCAGGATTACCGCGACGAAATCAAGGATTGCTTTGCGCTAGACCGGCAGCTGGCATCAGAACTCGAGTACGACATCAAGAAGTACGTCGAGCAGCGAGCCCAGGAGCAGGGCCGAGCGAGGCAGGCAGACGTGAGTGCGGCGGCTTGCAGGGCCAGGGGGACACAGACAGCACAAGTAGTGTGTGACCCTCCTCTCTCCAGTCCGCCCTCTGCTCCCAGCTTCCCCAGTGCTGCTCGAAACCCACATAGGAGCTGAGGTTGGCTGGATCGAGACCTTTCGGGTTGCTGGTTGTGGACCGCTGCGTGTTCCTTTGCCGCATGTGCCACATGGATCACTCGATCAGGGAGGCTTCCCTTCCCTCCTGGCCAGGCCTCATGAACTTGTCTGGAAAGTCATCAGAGTAATACCTGGGGGCCGTGTGCGAATGCCCAGAAAGCAAGCTGGTCGATGGGTTGTTTGATCTGTGATTCTAGTGATCATAGCTAACTAGATCCCCCTAGGTGTCTCAGTTTGTCTGTGGTCCCCTGTTTCGAACAGAATGTCACTTGGGGTATTTCCAGTGAGCTGCTGTTCACTTCCAGACACAGTGTGTTCACGTCTCTGAGAAATCCAAACAGATCCACTGCATTAAAAACTGATGAAGGCCAACTAACTTAATCTTTTTTCTCTTTAGTGCCATGACATCTGCCATAACTTTCTGAAGAGAACGTTCTACTTGCCCAGGGCTGACACGGTTTTTTCTGGACTTGCTCAGGGCATGTAAAGGTTCCATTAACAACAACAACAAAAAAGTGTCAGTAGGTAAAGAGTCTTTATTTCTCTTCCCTGACAGGTTGCTCCGAGTTTAGAAGTAATGCCAGCTCTTGGTGGCCGGGAAGGTGCCACTGTGCCCGCTGCTGCGAGCCAGCCCTCAACACCCAGGGCACTTGCTGGCCAAGCACCACCTCTGTCCCCTGCCCTGGAGACTGGGCTATTGAAGAGGTTCATGCCCAAAGGCAGGTACGGAGCCGCTACATCACGAATGGGGCTGACTGCCTCTCACCACATTCTCCGCTGCCTCTGGGCCTTCCCCAGTGGGCGTTTTGGCAGACACCTCCTCCAGGCTCCTCTCTTTCTGATTTGCAAGGAGTGTGGTTGAGGGTGCCCCTGGGAGGCCGAGGGCGATTACTGCAGTGTTTTCGCCCTCGTCCTCTCTGCACATCTGGCATGTTTTCCTCCTCAGGCCCATGTCCCTGAGCACCATTGCGATCCTGAATTCTGTCAAGAAAGCTGTGGAGTCCAGTAGCAGGCACCGGAGTCGGAGCACAGGAGTCTTGCCATTCCCGTTAAGCTCTCAGAGCCTGGACAAAATGCGCCATCGTGGTAAGTTCCAGGTCCGGGGTGGCTCCAGGGAGGCCGATAGAAGCAGTGGGTTTTGTACCTCAGACACAGTGAGGATACAGATGAAAACACAGAACAAGCCTCCCTCTCATCCTTTTTTAAATGATTCTGTTTTCTTATATTTAAAACATACAACTTTGGGGATTTGGGACTCTGGGTTGTCTCTTATTAGAGATTTGGAAAAGAGAGTGGAGTGGAAAACTCACCCATTAGTGGCAAAGTATTCATTCTTCCCATCTTTCCACTCCCCACACACATGCATTTGGCCTTATTTATAGAGTTGTAATCTTAGTGTGCATTTCTGGTTTGTAGTTGACCTCCCTCCACATAACTGAGAATAATAGTGAACATTTGCCCATGAACTTTTCTTTCCTAACTTTTCTCCCCATGGCCTCTTAGCATTCTATCTTGTGGAAGTACTGAAACCTATTTACTGTTACCCTTTTCTCGGAAATACAGGTGTTTTTCAATTTTTTGAAGTAATGTCACAATAAAGTATATAATCTTTAGGATTGATTCCCAGCACTCAGAGGCCATGAATATTTTTAAAGCCTTTGATAGCATCAGATTGGCTTCTGTAACTCACTGCAGTTGTACGTCGGCCAGAGCCAGTGGCCATTTTCCTGCTTAGAAACATTGGTCTTACAATTTCCCATCTTCTTTGCCGGGCTTTATAGATCAAAACCGGCTATGGTTTTAATTTCCTTTTCTTTCTTTTTTTTTTTTTTTTAAAGATTTTATTTATTTATTTGACAGAGAGAGACACAGCGAGAGAGGGAACACAAGCAGGGGGAGCGGGAGAGGGAGAAACAAGACTCCCCGCTGAGCAGGGAGCCTGACGCGGGGCTCGATCCCAGGACCCTGGGATCATGACCTGAGCCAAAGGCAGACGCTTAATGACTGAGCCACCCAGGCGCCCCTTAATTTCCTTTTCTTTGAATCCTAGTGAAAATGGACAATGTTTCTCATGTTTATCATTTTTTGGTATCTTTCTGAGTTACTTCATTATAAAAACACTTTATTTGGGATATTAGCTTTATCATAGATCTTGCTAACCGTATTGAGGTTTTTTGGACAGCTAAAACTTTCCTGTTTTATCTTAGCAACCTCCTACAGCTTGGAGCAGGAGTCCAGTGGAGCTGTGGACCACGTAACTAAACGAGCGATCAGTACTCCTGAGAGTAAGTACTCCTGTGACAAGCCGGCTTCTGCTGAGACTCTCCTCAGTCACCGTGTGTCTGCGGGACTCCTGTTGGAAGAGAGGTCTTTCCCTCGATGCAGGCGCTCCAGGTGGTCAGCAACATTGTGGTGCCTTGTCACACGGCATCTCGTGACAATTATAACTCAGCAGCCTGAGCACTAGCTGTCAGTCGAGCGGTCTTCTAAGTGCTTTGACGGGTATGCGCTCGGTTAAACTCCCAGCCACCCGGGAGGCTCCCTGTTAGGCAGGCAGGGAGGCTGAGGCACAGGTTCCCTGGGCAGTGCCATGCTTGCCATTCTAGAGCCAGCACTTGTGCAGCCCTGCTTTGTAGCAGTCCCGTGTCCACACTGGCAGGCACCGGGTACGGCATCTACTGGCTCTGGAGCCAGCTGAGCCTGCGGGTTCACTGGCCTATTGAAGACCCACCACCAGCTGTGCCGAGAGCCTCTGTCTTCTCACTTCCATGGGGTGGTTTTTCTAATCTTCTGTTATTTCCTGTTATTTCAGAGTCGAGGTGAGTTAGAAGTGTAGAGGATTTTTTCCCATTACCTTGTTTTATAGCTTCTTAGGTCCACAGTGTGTCTCAGTGTGCCTCCCGCCTCTTTGCTGTCCACCTCCCCCTTCCTCTGCCTGCCAGCCCCGGGCTGGGGTCTCAGGGTCCTGCATACACCCCCTCTTGCCTGGCGCGGGGCGTTCATGCACCACGTCCTCACCTAGAACTTCCCATTCCCCGGTGGCCGCCGCTTCACCCTCCAGCAGCAGCCCTCCCTGACCCTTCAGACGAGATGAGGTGCCCCCTCCTAGCACTCTGACCTCCTCCGCAGTACTCGCCACACCTCCACACACAGCGGACCCTCGAACAGCAGGGGTTTGAACTGCACGGGTCCACTTGTGTGCAGATTGTTTACAGTGCAGCACCATACATTGTCTTAATAGCATTTGTGATTGTCTTAATAGCATTTCCTGTTCTCCAGCTTACTTTATTGTAAAATTACAGTATGCGATGCATATAACATACAAAATATGTATTAGTCGACTGTTGATATTACTGGTAAGGCTTCCTTCTGGTCAACAGTAGGCTATTGGCAGTTAATTTTGCGGGGAGTGAAAAGTTATATACTGAACTCCCACATTGTTCAGGGTCAGCTATACTACTTCCTCCATCCTTGCAGTTAGTTTGTAAGCTATTTTACTCTTTACTGTGCCCACTGGGCCTGCCCCAGTGCCTGGAACGTGGGAGGAGCGAAACAGGTTAGTGAGTTAAGTGATGGGACGAATGGCAGAGCTGGGACCTGAAGCCAGGTCTCCCGATTGCAGTTCCTGTGTCCTTCTACAGCCTTTGCTCTCGTAGAGCTGCTCTTGGGTGGGACTGCAAGATGAGAACATGTTAAGGTGCTCTTCTCTTTGGTTATGGTGCAACCCAGGAGCTAGGCATTCATTTAGTTGTATGTTCAGTCAGTACACATTTATTGAGCACCTAGTGTGTTCTGGCTAGTTGCTGGGCAGTTCTATGACCTGTGATGCTAGATCTGTTAGAGTATTTACCGGGTTATAGAGAATTTCCATCAAGTCCTCCTTTTAAGGGAGATTAACGATGAACAGAACTCCTAACCCACATCTCCTTAGATGACAACCGAATCGTGACTGCTTTGTCATTAAAGCAGTAATTTGGGGTTCTATATATTGAACAGGTGTAATGTTATATATGTGAAAAACTCAGCCTCTTTGAAACAAATTTTCTGTATGTTCTTTGTTCCTGGTTCAGAGGAACCGAGTGCTTCTATTTTGGCATTAGGAACCATATGCTGCAGAAACGGGGGGGGATGCATCTCATTTTAGTTTTGCTCATCCCCAGGAGTCCCTGATTTCAGTCTTTGGTTGGTTTCCTAGCAGCCTAAGTTCCTCAGCAGTGAAGACTGGTGGGCCGCATTAATACTGCTTGGATTTGCATGCATGGAGTCATCTTTGCACTGAAAATAAGACCCTCGGGTGTCCCCAGGTCAAGAGAGTGCTTTTTCTCTCTCTGGGCTCTTGAATGTAAAATTCGTGGTCATCTTTCCTTATTCTGAAGCAGGAAGGAATGCTTGAAGAAGGGTCTCCTATTAGCTCTGCTTCCTGGGAGAATTATCAGATCATGTAAAAACACTCAGTTCTGTTTTCTCTGTGGTTTGTAGATACACATTCTGTTGACAACTCTTAGGTGGGGTGACTGTCAGGAAGTGGTCTCAGCTGTACGAAGGCAGGAGGAAAAATGCTAGCCAGCTCCACTGTTCTGGCACACCGGTGGTATTCAGCATGAGCAAAGTGGCTTTGCTAAATGGAAATGAGTCCTTTTCAGAGCTAGATCTTAACTGAAAATCTGTGCAGGGTTCAGCAAGTCCCTCTTATTGCTGTCAGGCAGGCAGCAGAGATGCTCCTGCCTTTGATTGTAAGCGCTTACAAAGTGCACAGGGGATCTGAGAGCCACTGCATAGTGGCCTTTTCCAAGGTTGGAGACCTATAACCTGGATGTGCTCCGGCTTCCAAACTGGAAAAGGAATGTGTACGTAGGGAAGCGGAGTTTGAACTGCAGCACAAGGAGAGACCTCCCAGAAACAGGAATAGGCACAACTGAGCTATTTGAGTGGGAGCACGATGAAAATACTGGTTTCTTATCAGTTAACGTAGCTTAAGTCATTCATGGGCACATAGTACTGCAGATGCACTGTGGACTTTACAAGAGACTAGAAAGATCTAATCGGTACTCCTAAGAAGGCTACAGTGCGGGGGAGAAAGTCTACATCACACGTGTTCTTGGGAGGCCTGTGGGCTCTGACGGACCGTCAGCAGCCAGCTGTGGAGCCTTGTTCTGTTCCTGGCAAGTGTGGTGACAGCTCACGCAGAGAGGGACAGGACACAAAGTAGGGAGCAAGGCCCTGGGAGAGGCATCCCCACCCGGGTCTCAAACGACTGGCATGGTGGTCGGATGAGGGAGGCGCTCCAGGCAGCAGAACTGCATGCCCAGACCAGGGCCTGCAAGAGTCGGTGATCGGACACGGCGGCCGGCAGCGTGTGAATGCAGCACCCGGGTTCCGAAAGGCAGCTGGGGGCCGGCTTGCACAGAGGTGGTTCTGTCCAGCTCGGACACTGAGCCGGCGGGACCCTAAGCAGAACGGCTACCTCTTAGAACTTAATTCTAGTGACGCAGGGAATAAGAGCTAAGAAATTACAATAGTTGTTAACCTTTATTCAGCACTTACCTTGTACCAAGTCCTGTGTTAAGGACTTAACATAAAGAATCTCATTGAATCCCTACACCTCCCTTGAAGGGGTACATCTGTGTCCCATTTTGGAGATAAAGAAACTTGAGGTTTTTAGAGTAGTTCACACAGCTGGTAAGACCGCAAGCCAGAATTCAAATCAAGTGTGATCCGAGTCTGTTCCTACCCTCTGCTCTCTGCCTCCTAGGGGCGAACTGAAAGAAGATGCGGCCCTGGGTGGAGAGCACTGTGCTAAGTCGGGGAGAGGAGTGCACATGGGGTGAGAGAAGGAGAGGAAGCGGCAGGAGGAGGAGCTAGGAGGAAGATGAATGTAACCGCTTAGTGATTAGGTTCACGGAGAAGGAGCCTCTCATGCCTCACAGTCCCAACTGGGACAGTCCATTGATAAGACTGAGGTTCAGAAGGAACGTGCTGAGGAGCGGGGGTAACGAGGTGGCCAGGTGTCTTCAGGGAGTGCAGTACAGTAGGAGACACAGGACGCGGGAGAGAGGCCGGAGTTGGGGGTCACTGGTGTGTTGGCAGTAACCGGAGACGTGCAGTGGGTGAGAAGCCAGGGACAGTGGCCAGTGGGAGTGCCGGGGCCACAAAGCCATGTGAGGGAGTGGTCAGAGGAGGGAGCCAGGAGACCACGGATGGGATGAGTATCCAGGAGGACAGAGTCTCCGGCTTCATTGAGTCCTACAGAAAGGTCAGACTGAGCCTGAGAGGGCCCCTGGATTGGATTTGATGGTGCTTAGGGAGTGATACAAGTGACTGAGCAAAACTGTAGCGGAAGCTCCACCTGATCTTGCTCGGGTGACTTTATGTAGGTCTGCTTCCTACTGGCTTTTCCTTAATGCTGTTGTCCCCAAATTTACCCAGGGACCATCAATGATGTCACATTTGGAGCAGGAGTCAGCTACATAGGCACCCCACGGACACCTTCAACCAAAGGCAAGTTCCTTTTCTGTCAGATGCATTAGCCACTTTTGAGTTCTGGGAAATCTGAATTTGTGTCTGACTCCCTTTCAGAGAAAATTGAAGCCCAGTGTCAAGGAAATGACATTTTATGTTTATCGCTTCCTGATAAACCGTAAGTTTACCAAGAGTTCCTCTTGAGGTAAATGTTTTTGTCAGGGTTTTATCTTTAGTTCCAGAATGACTGTCTGTTTCCTTTCCCTAGGCCTCCACAGCCTCAGCAGTGGAATGTGAAGTCCCCAGCCAGAAATAAAGATAACCCAGCCCCCAGCAGGAGGTCACTCCGAAAGACCCCCCTGAAAACAGCCAACTGAAACAGTCATTCAGGAGTGTTCGGGAGGCAAGAGCTCTAAGGACATGTTGTCTCCTGCCTGTGGAAAGACAAGAGTCCACCTCCCTTACCCCCAGGGAGGAGGAGGCTTTTAACTGTGTGATACCAGAGTTTTTTCTTACGACTCTAGCACTCTGCCTGTTCACCTGTGTGGTGAACAACCTTTTACATTTCTCTATGCAGTATGTGGTTAAAAAAAAAAAAAATTGTAAAATAATAGAGAAATGCCATAGCTATTTAATATTCTAACTTTACTCCATTTGAAAGTATCAAGTTCATTCTGATAAAGCATACTCTGGTCTTTAAGGAACACAACAGATCAGCTTTCTTTTATATAAATGAATCCTGTTACCTTGTCGGAATTCCCTACAGTACAGTAGTTTCCTGTATCTAATGATGAAACTTTGATTGTAATTATTTTTTTATTCTTATTTATAAATTGCAGGTTTTAAAGTGAAGTGTACAGCTTTCTAAAATGGAATAATAAAGCTTAAGCATAAATACAGCCTTCTGGTATTCCATAGAATATTTCTACCAGATAGAATATTTCTACTTTTAGAACAGGGCTTTTTAATTTACATTAAGTGTTTAAGAATAACAAAACCCTTCCAGACTCAAGAACTGTGAGAAGTAAATGTCTGTTGTGAAAGAAAAAGAAAAATAAAACCCAACTTTCCTTTTAGGAAAAAAAAAAAATGACTCCCTCTGTCTTTAAGGTTCAGCTCATCTGTTCCTCTGCCTCTGTCCCCGGACAGAAGCTGTCTGCCTCCTAACAGCACATGTCCTTCTGTCCTTCTTCATATGTAAATGCGGGCCTGCTCCTGAAAGTCCGCCTGTGTGCGGCATGCACTAACGCTGGTTTGTGTTAACAGTCCACAAAGACTGCTCCCACGGGGATGGGAGGGGGGGGCATGCTTTGGTGTCTTTTGCTGATGCCGTTAGGTAACCTTAAACACGTGTGCATTCATGTCTTGTCCAAGAGTGACCAGGAAAAAATTCAGTCAGTTCACTTTTTAATCCCAGCACTACAGAAGCAAAAGTACAGGGTTACTGTGTTGATATGTTTTCAGTATAAATGTAGTTGGATTAGAGGGGTAGAATGTCACTGTGCTCTATTCTGCAGTGCTCCCATACACGAACGGTGACACACATGGACAGGTCATTGGCAGAGAGAGTCACAAAGCAGCTCTTGAGTAAAGACACTTATCTCCAAATCAAGCAGATGGTAATTGATGGCAGTCTCTCTTTAAACCTGGGATCGTGCCATTTTAAGTGTACTTGCCTAACAAAATGCTAGGAAAACGAGGTAAACTCAACATAAGAGCACATAAGGAAGAGAAAAAACGAGGCAAAGTTGATTTTTTAAAAGCTTTTATAAATGAGGTTTAACAAATACCAACTTGCAGGTGTGTTAGTACAAGTCTGCAACGTCTATGTACAGCACAGCTACACCAGAGGCCGCAATGGCCTTGTAGAGGCTTCGAGTCTTCAGTCGCATTCACATCTTAAAGACACATGAATGGTCCTTTTCCGTCTACATCTTTACAGTATCAGGCACCAACTTCCCAGCCTCCATACTCACTTCTGTCAGCCCCAGTTCACATGGCACGAGGCTAGGTGGTGGTATGGTCATGAGAGGGGAGTCGGGGCTGTCCTATCACTAGGACAACCAAGATGGCAGCTAGGGCGTTGCTCCCCAACAATTAGAGAACGGGGCACTACCCCTTTCTACCAAGAGGGGTGAAGATGAAGGGATATCTTAAGTCTAAGCATTCAAGACACAAACGCAAAAGAAGATGGGTACCATTAAGCAATTATGAAGAGTTGCCCACTGCTTCTGCCAAACACCCTGTGGCAGAGTATTCACAGAACTTAAAAAAGAAAAGTCAACATAAGTCTCAAGTATTCAATTAAAAAAACCCTCAAAGTATAAAAAATTAAGACGCTGGAAGTTTAATCCCAAGATGACTACATCCTTCTACATAAAAACCATCCTTGAAGCACACAGTGGAACTGGAGGCGCTCCTCTGAGAAGCTCCCTCTTCAAACCGCTTCACATCATGAGTTTAACACAGCAATGTATCTGAGGCGAAGAACATCTGCTCTTGAAGAACAAAGGCTTTTGAATGATGTTTCTAATGTCCCACACCCAGTGAGCAGCAGTGTCTTGGGTAGATAAAGACTTTAAAATCAAAATCAGAAAACGGCCCTTGATTCAGGCATTTCGCTTTCCTCGCCATCAGGCTTTCCACCCCGGCTGCACTACCTGACGTTCTTCAAAGGGCTGGCCTCGCCGCCACCACATAATGGGTTTATTGTGAAGTGAGACACAACCTGCGGTGTCTCCGTGCTTTCTTCATGGCGAAGAGGAAAAGAATTCATTTTCTTAACATGATTGTAGTTTTCAGAACTGCCTTTGGCCCTGGACAGTCTGATGAACTACACAAATAAGTAAAATGAATTTTAAAGCCAAACAATAGCTACTTTGTTTCATGAGCCATCCACAACGAAAAAGAGCTCTGTCGCTGGGGAGCTGAAGGCTGGGATACCACAGGGAAGACACCCACCCTTCTTGAAGTGTCCACCTTACTACTATAAAGTAGTAAGTCCAACACTATAAAGCTAATCAGCACACGAAGCCTCTGTCAGGCCAATAAAGATGGCAGTGCACATGCTGGCTAGCCTTCAAAGTTAGTAGCCAATATGGCCTTCGAGTGGGGCACAGGACTCGAGCCCGGGGGTTGGCGAACGTGCTTTCACAGGGACATCCAAGCACTTCTGGGTGGTCTCTGGGCACAGGTAGTCTGAGTAATCTAGGAAGAGGCCCTTCAAAGCTAACCTTAGAGCTCCTTATGTTTCTTTTGGAGAATTGCAAATAGATTTTGACATTATTCAACTGGATTTTTTTTTTAAAGGTTTCCTAAGTAACAATGATGGGATGTATAGACAATGTAAATTCTCTTGTGAAAAATGCTAACTTAGGTGGAAAAAAAGGAATGTTCCAGTAAGCTTCCTTGAGAGGATTTTTGGGGTTAAAATACTCTTTAATTATTGGCATTTTCCAATTTAACACTAGTAGCTTGGAACTCCTATCTTAAGTTGAAATTTTTTAAAAAAATAGGTATTTAACACTGTATGACAACATATTTACAATTTAAATAGAAATTTTCTTTTCAATAACCAAAATACATCTTTAGCAAAAATTTAGAATGTAAAATTTTATAAAATAAACACCCATAGAAAAGCAGAACATTATTTCAGTACCATTTCAGATTTCGCCTAAGATGAAGGTTTTATGTAAATACTGACCCCTCCCACCCCCCATGGGCAAGCAGGGTTCCTACAGGTAAGAAGACGCCTTCTTCCAACAAGCAATTTACCTTCCTGATTTGGGCTGTTTTCATAAAATTCTGATCCAAACAGATTTTCCAGGATGGACACTAAAATACTGATGAACAGAACCTTCAAGAAGAATCTGCAGTGCTGGCTGGGGGCAGCTGTGAAACAAGATCATCGCATAAAACACCTCTTTTCTGGGTTTCCTGGTTCAAACTCTGCAGCTGCAGGGTGTCACAGTGCGTCGTGCTCCCAAGCCCTGCGTTACCAGTGCTGCATGGCTGCCTGGTGGCCCCACACACAGGACTCACGCTGGCTGATGTAGGTGAGTGGCGAATAAACTGGCTTCACTGGCCCACAGTGCCCAGCCCAGCCTCTGTGGCCAAGAGCTTCCTGATCACCCTAACACTCAGGCAGGAGCCAGGCCAGAAACAGACTGGGAATCAGCCTCAGTGAAATGCAGTTTTGTTTTTTTTTCCTCCTTGTGATGACTATGCCCATCTTGAGGATAATTCTTTTATTCATGTGGCTGGTTAAAAAGTAAGAAAGGAGTAGCGGTCAACTTTGGCCAAAACAAAAAGCTTTTGCGTAAGTGTCTAGCTCTGTCCAAGTGCACTTGGCTCCCGGGCTGCTCTTGATAGGAGTTTCTGGTAGAGGTATTTGCATGTGCTCCCTCAGCCACACCATCAGATTTCAGATCACAAATGATGACTTGTGTCTGAAGTCGCCCTGCAAGGCCAACACAGGGTTAGACACGGCCATCCTCTACCAACCCAGGGGCCCGAGTGGGAGAGGAAGAGTGGAAGCCAGGTCTAGGCCCCGTTTCCCCGAGGAAGAAACTTAAGGCAAAACAAATCAAATGAAACCATTCTTCAAAAGTAACATCTACTGTTAGAGCCTGCAAACTGTGCATGCCAGGAGTGTGTACAAACATTGCACTGGGAGGGTTTCCAAGGAGGAATGTCATTTTTTCTGCTGGAAACACCTCAATTTCTAGGTTTCCTAAAGGATGTCTGCTCTGTTGCCTCACTCCTTTCCTTACCTCCTCATCTGTCCTGATATAGTTCACTCCATCTGTCTTCCCCGGACTCTTGTAACTGAAAAAGGAGGAGAGAGGGCTTCAGTGACTACTGATTTTTCACGTAATGCCAACTTAAACTTTGGTTTCGTCACTTAAGACAGAAGACAGGCTCACCTTTCGCCATTCTGTTTATTATTGATGAAGTAACCCCGTCTGTATGCGCAGCAGATGCCCACGGTGATCAGGGCCAGAACAGCAAGGACCACCAGGATCCCCCCAATAATGCCACCGATGTTCAGGTCATCTGGAGAAAAGAGGGATTGAGGGAAGAGAGGATACACACTATCTGGTCTTATAAAAGCCCCTGAGCCCATGTGCCTCCTTCCTAATCCTGCATCCTTCCACTGCCCTGCTCCGCCCTCACGCCTGCCCCAGCCAGAAGAAGAGCAGAGTGAGACCACTTCAACTCTTTCTAGCCCGGAACATTCAGGACCCCAGACCCTTGGTCTCACTTGTAAAAAGTAATGAGACCTCCAAAGTTCAAATGCTGTCATACTTAATCCTGTATTAAAAGGGGCTTAGCATTGTATAAAAGGCTTTTACAGTCTTCTGGCTAAATCCCTGAAAATATTATTAATGGAAAATGGTTTCACTTTATAAAGACAGAATTAAGGAACCAGGAATCCCAAAGAAAAAATTCCTAATTTCCAGGGATTCCCTTTGCTATGTGTTATTTGGGGAAAGAGACTAGTTTTGCACAGGACTGAAAAATAAAACTATGAGGTGGGAACATGACCTTTCACTATCAGCTGCCTGGCCTCGTATCTACAAGCCTCTTGGAGGAAAGCCCTTGACCCCCTCTTCCCATTTCTGTATACTGGGCAAAGGTACTCAGTCCCCATCAGTATGGGGCACTGGGGCTGTTTCCTTCATGCAGATAAAAATGCAATGGAAAACATGCAGGCAATATATCAACATAAGCCAACTAACTTGGAAGTTGTTAAATTCTCCCTTATCCTAGTGCAGTGGTTTCAAATGTGAGTGTGCATTTAAAAATTGAAATTTTGACTTTAAAATGTCAATTCCCAAGCTCTATCACTAGAGAGAGATTCAGTAGGTCTGGGGCAAAGCCTGAGTCTTCCTCCTGCCCGGGAGCAGTTTCCTGAATTTGACAGATGACAAGAATCCCCTGGAATGGTGTTTGACACACAGACATTTCCAGACCTCCCCTGGGGACTGAGTCCATACGCCTGGGGTGGGGCCTTGGAATCTGTACGTGAAACAGCGCACTCAAATGATTCTCACAATCAGGCAGGCTTGGAAAACACTGCTCTGGGGTCAGTTATACACAGGAAGGAGGGAGGTGCTGAGATCACTCCCCAGGTGATTGTGATGGTGACATGCCCCATCTGCCCCAGCCTGCCTTCAACGCCTCTCCTTTAGAACCAGTATCTGAGAGATGGTATCATCACAGAACAGGGTAAAGTTACTGAAGCTAAAACTCTGGCTGTCAGCTTACCACAAAATGGTTATAATTGGATAAATTTCTGGAGACCTTACACGACATTATGTTTTGATAATTTTATCAATTATCAAAGAAGTGGAGTGAGTTAGTTTATCTATCTATCTATCTATCTGTCTGTCTGTCTAAATAAGCTCCACGCCCAGCATGGAGCCCAATATAAGGCTCGACCTCATGACCCTGAGATCAACACCTGAGCTAAGATCAAGAGTCAGATGCTTACATCCCAGAAATGGAGTTTATTAAACTCAGTTAAGGGGCACCTGGGTGACTCAGCTGGTTAAGCATCTGCCTTCAGCTCAGGTCATGATCCCAGGGTCCTGGGATGGAGCCCCGAGTCGGGCTCCCTGCTCGGCGGGGAGTCTGCTTCTCCCTCTGCCTCTGCTGCTCCCCCCACTTGTGCTCTCTGGCTCTCTCTCTGTCAAATAAATAAATAAAATCTTTAAAAATTTTCTTAAAAATAAATACTCAGTTAAAAGCGACATGATTAACTTATGTTCCCAACACCAGAAGACTCCAGAAAGTCTATTTTGAGGAGATAAACATACTGCAAGTAATCACTTATTAGTCATTTAGCTGTTACTCAGAACCTTCTCATCTGTCCTTTCAATGTACCCGAGTGAGTTTTGGTGAATCCAGTCATCTCCAGAAGAAAGCTGACCAGTTGTCTAAACTGATGGTCTAATATTAAAAGTGTTCTATCCACTTGCCAGTCTTCAGATGAAATATTTTCAAAAAGTAACTCACAGACTTCCATCTCCTGCTCCTCACATCTGGCTGAGCCTGCATCATTGGAAGCGATGCAGTAATACTGCCCAGAGTCTTCCTTGTGAACAGCATTGAAAACCTGTTGCAGGAAATTACAAGTAAATCATGAGACCAATCAACAGAGCGGACCTCTGGGGACTGAAGAGAAGAGATCGCCATGCTCCTCTCCCCCACGAAGGCACTAAGTCCAGAGCCTAGTAAAATGTCTGCTCATTTGCTCCTGGTTTCCTTTCGGTTTCTGCTCATTGTCCAGGTTCTTCCCTGATATTCTTTCCCTGCAGTCTTGTCCAAGAGCTCCTGAACAATGAGATCCCCTCACGTTGTGTGGGCTTTACTTTTATTCAGGGAAAGGGACTCTCCGATAAGCATTGTTTCTCAGCAACACTTGGGCAACACAAATACAGAGGATCCTATATAACCTGCTTGTTACTACGTGTAGTTAGATAGCCACGGATCAGGAGGCCTGGCTGCAGTAAAGCTCGGCTGAGATGCTGCTGCGGAGGGCAGTCTGTCCTGTACACAAGACCAATCTTATTTCATCTCTCCCCCCACCCACCTCCCGCCACCACCACTGGGTTTTTTTGAAGAAAATTCTAGACACATGTTATCCATAAATACTTAAGCGTGCAACTCTAAAAAAAAGGACTTCTTCAGATATAACTACAATACCTTATTGCACCTAAAGCAATGAACAATTCCTTAATATGGAATATCCCGCCAGTAATCCAATTTCCGTGTCTCATGATTTTTACAGTTGGTTATTCACATCAGGACCCTAACATTACCCACCCACTACATTTAATAGACCTCCACAATCATCTTTATTTTACAGGTTTCCCTTCCTTTATTTTATCCCCTTAGAACTTATTTGCTTATAAGAAGGAGGGGAGGTTCATTTTTCCCACAGAATCTCCAACATTATAGGTTTTTAGTTCCTGTCTTATAGAGTTCACTGTCTCTCCTAATAAGTGCTCTTTCCACAACAGGTACCCCTTCCTCAACAAAGACATTTCTACCCTCACCTCTGAGAAGAGATCTTACCAGAGTGCCTGTTTCAGAGTTTAAGAGAAAAGAGGAGTTTCGGAATCTGGGATTGGCCCTGGAGTCGGTGGGCAGTGGCACGTCATTGCGGTACCAGCTGTAGTGCGGCCGGGGGTAGCCCTCGCTCTCCTGGCAGTGCAGCGTGGCCGTCTTGCCGACCGGTACAGCCTTCGGGACTCTGCACACAGGAGGTACCGGCTTCACTGTGGGAGAAATGCGGGTTGGGGTTTCAAATCAGCAGCGTGAACTGATTCTTCTCAAAGCCCACAATAAACCTGCTCCCAAAACAGGACAACCAGCCAGGGGCTGCAGCACTGCCACCCCCAGGTCGCGCCCACAGGCTCGGATCTGCCGCTGCATCTGCCCCGCAGCTCGCCCCCCGACTCCCCGCGTATAACCCCTCAGTGCATTTCTAATGCCTCCAGCTTCCGAGGAGCACCTCCTGCAGCTGGTGGAGGGAGAGCTCCACTCCCCTTCTCCCCTTCCACCCCAACTCAGGCAGCCCAAGCTCCTACAACTGCCTACTCCCTAAGTCCTGCGATACCCCTAGGGATATAGTCTAGAAGGAAAGAAAGAACTGATCTTTTTTTTTTTTTTTTTAATTTATTTATTTTTCCCCCTTCCAGATCTTTTTTATTTTCTAGACAGACTCATGAGGCCTAAAAGGGGGAACATGTTTTAACTTCATGTGAGTTCCTACCTTGCACAGTTAACTCAATGACAATCTCATCAATTTCTTTGCGGTCGTTTCGAGCAACCACCTCACAGCGATAAAGGGCTGAGTCTGTCCGGGTCACATTCCAGATCCTTAGAGAGGTTTTCCCCAATAGTTCTGCACGACCTGCCAAATCTCCTGTAGAAAAGAGGATGCAGAACATAAAATGACTGTAAAGACGTCTCTGCCACCTGAAGGTGGCGGCTTCTGGGGCTAGCATTTAATGCCTCCATAAGGACACTGCACACAGGCTTCTGTTTCTGCTCCTGGAAAAGAGAGGTGAACTGGGGACACTGAGCACCAAAATAGTACCTGGTGTGTAAGAGGTACATGTGTCATTACCTGTGTCTCTGCTGTTAAAGCAGAGACCTCATTTCCTTCTCATCATTCCTAGCCAGGATTCCCATTAAAAGAGAAAAAAATCAAACAAACAACATTAGAAAACAACCAGTATTCATAAATGGTGCTGGGACAACTGGATATCCACATGCAAAAGAATGAGGTTGGACTCCTACCTCATACTATATACAACAAAGACCTTCCTATAAGAGTTAATAGTATGGGGGATCCTGGGTGGCTCAGTTGGTTAAGCGTCTGCCTTCGTCATGCCTCAGGTCATGATCCCAGGGTCCTGGGATCAAGCCCCGCTGCTCAGTGGGGAGTCTGCTTGTCCCTCCCCACCACTTGTACTTGCTCTCTCATTCTCTCTCTCGCGCGCGTGTTTGCTCTCTTAAATAAATAAATGGAATCTTTAAAACAAAACCCAAGAGTTAACAGTATGACTCTTAGGAAAAAACAGATATAAATCATCATGACCTTGGATTAGGCAACAATTTCTTAGAAATGGCACAAAGACCACAACCATAAAAAATAAAGTTACATTGGCCCTAACTGGAATTTCATAAAAAATTTTAAAACTTTTGTGCTTCAAAAGACACATGTTAGTTTTGAAAAGACAATCCACTAAATGGGAGAAAGTATTTGGGACAAAGGACTAGTATCCAGAATATAAAAGGAATTTGCAACTCAACAATAAGTAGACAAATAACTAATTAAAAACGGGCAAAGGATTTGAGTAGACATTTCTCCAAAGAAATATATACAAATGGCCACCAAGAACATGAAAATATGCTCAGCATCATTAGTCACCAGGAAAATGCAAATCAAAACCACAATGAGATACCACTTCACACCCACACCCATGACCAGAATTGAAAAGATGGACAATTATAAATGTTAGTGAGGATGTAGGGAAATACACTGCTGTATTTCCCCACTGCTGTTTTTTTTCTTAAAAAAAAACAAAAACAAAAACTATACGTGCAACCACCATATTACCTAGCAATTGTACATTTGGTCATTTATCGTCCCCAAATGAAAACTTATGTTTGCACATAAACCATTATGTTTACATGAATATCCACAGCTGCCTTATTAATAGCCAAAAACTGGAAACAACCCAAGTGTACATCAATTGACAAATGGATAAAAAAAAAAGTGGCCTACCTACAGTGAAATATTAGTCATCCATATAAAAAGGAATGAAGTACTGATACATGCTACACCACGGATGAACCTTGAAAATAATATGCTGAGTGGAAGAAGTCAGTCACAAAGAACCACATATTGTATGATTCCATTTATATGAAGTGTCCAGGATAGGCAAATCCATAGAGACAAAGTAGATTAGTGGTTGCCAGGAGGTGGGGACAGAGGGGAAGGGAAGTCAGTGCTAAAGGATATGCAGTTTCTTTTGGGGCTGATGAAAGTGTTCTGGAATTTGATAGCAGTGATGGTTGCACATCTTTGTTGAATATACTAACAACCACTGAAGTATACACTTTAAAAAAATGTGAGTTTTATGCTATATGAATTATATCTCAATATTTAAAATTTTTAAAGCATAAAAAGATGGTATGCTTTCAAAGAAGCATGAAGAACCTAGAGAATGACAAATAAAGGGGGACGCCTGGGTGGCTCAGTTGGTTAGGCATCTGCCTTCAGCTCAGGTCATGATCCCAGGGTCCTGGGATCGAGCCCCGCATTGGGTTCTCTGCTCAGTGGGGAACCTGCTTCTCCCTCTTCCTCTGCCTGCCACTCCCCCTGCTTGTGCTCTCTCTCTGTGTTAAATAAATAAATAAAATCTTAAAAAAAAAAAAGAATGACAAAGGAAGGAGTTAGGAAAAAAATGACACAAAAATAGAAAATAATTATTACTAAACCTGCTGACTGGTGGGAAGAACAGGAAGGATTTACCATAATATAATAAAAACAGAAAAATGCTTATGACGAAAGATGAACATTTGCAAAAACATTTTCTTTCTTTCTTTTTTTTTAAGATGTTATTTGTTTATTTGAGAGAGAGAGATAGTGAGAGCATGAATGGGTAGAAGAGGGAGAAGCAGGCTCCCTGTGAGCAGGGAGCCTGAATGGGGCTCCATCCCAGGACCCTGGGATCATGACCTGAGCTGAAGGCAGATGCTTAACTGACTGAGCCCCCAGGTGACCCCAAAAAGATGATTTTTAAGAGCCTATAACTCCTGATGATATTGGGGACCCAAAGCAGGAAGACTGAGATTTGACTGTTTCCACAACATCTCTCCTCTTCTCTGAAGCCTCAACTATCAACTTCTCTGAGAACTCCAAAGCCAGCCCTTAGAAGCTGTTGCATTTGTCCCTCGTGTTTACCCCGTCCCTCCCGTCAGAGTGAAGGTAAGGTCCCACTGCATGTCATCTATAATTTCTCTCTCTCCCTCCCTTGTCACAGCCAGCTCCTAGCAATCCTTCCCCCATGTCTCTCTACACTGCCTCAACCTTAGCTCTGGCCATCAGCAGCTCCCTTCTAGCATCTGCAAAAAAATTCTAAATTAGCACCACTGTTCTGAGTTTCCCCATCCCCAATCTCCTCTACAAACCAAGTCAAGTCTTTCTAAAGTGTAAATGAAATCATCTTCCTTCCCTCTAAAAAATCTTTGCGGACCTCAAGATACCGTCCATTCTTGCATGGCATTCAGTGCTTCTTGCTGGCCCTGGCATGCCTCGACAGCCATGGGAGTCATTCCTCTCTCCCCTCCTTAAGTCCCAGCTGTGATAGAGAACTTGAAGTTTCCTTAAGCAAACCTGCCTTTTGCTGCCACATCTATATATGCAGAGCATTCTTCCTTGTCCAACACCTTCCTGCACCCCACCCCTCACCATCTGGCCTGGTTGACCGGCTTCATAGCTCAGCCTAGATGTCACTTCTGGAAAGCCTCCCCCATCACGTGCCCTGCTCCTACTTCATGTGATCAGAGAGATACCCTATGCTGACGTCTATTCTAGCAAATGCTTTCTCAATGTGGGAAGCTTGGCACACAGTAGTTGCTCAGTAAATACCTGTCTTATCTCCTTGCTGTTCCACGTGATCCTTCTGATTAACTCATGCAGTTGGTATCACGAATGGGACCATGATAAGAGGATGGCCTAGGAAAATGTTCACTCTGATAACTCAACAGGATGGGCTACAGATAGATTTAAATCATAACTAATGAGGTGATGCTTGTTGAAGCTGAATGACAGGGACAGGGAGGTTTAATATATTATTCTCATTACTTTTCCATATTTGAATTTTCCGTAAGTGAAACAAACAAAACAGAAAAAACCAATCCTGGATGCAGATGCAGGACCAGTCAGAGGAAAGTCTCTGGGCACAAGTATATGCCTGGCCCTTGTGGACAGAGTAGGGGATTAGAGGATCATACCTTGAATTCTGTTGTCAAAAAACACATATGTGGTTTGGTCATCTTGAATTTTCTTCCATTCAATCCTGGGGTCACTTGTCTGTGAATCCGTAATGATACAAGATAGTTCCACACCTAATGAGCAAAAAACAACAAAAAAAACCTCTCAGAGAATGGGGAACAATTTTATGATCACTTGTATACCTGGACACTGCAAGCTATCTCTAATTTTAAAGAAGTCTTGCATGCAGGTTAAAAAATCTATCTCCAGGCTCCAAATGACTTTAAGAAAAGCTGAATTTTAGCCAGAAAAATAATAAAGACGATTACCAAGAACTTTTACTAAATAGAGTACACACTCCCCCTTAATACTGTGCTTCTATGTAAGAAAATTCTTTGTTATATACATACAAAGCCAGGGCAGGAATCTGATTCTAGCCAATATAAAACCTGCAGAGTTCCCTGCTGACCTGCTGAAGGAGTACTTCGCTGACACACGTGCACATCAAATGCACTGCTAAGGAGCCACCCACCCGGACATCTCTAGGGCACTGTGCGCCTGTGTTTGTCCTGAGTTGGCTGCAAGACTACCAAACATCCATTAGATGGCGACCATTCTCTTAGTAGTCTCCCTTATACTTACTTTCAAATTCCTGTACTACTGGGGTTCGGTTGCTGGATTTGAGATTCACGGCCCCAATCAAGCAACCTGAAGGGAAAAAAATAAAGTAAAATCAGAGACAGAGAACCTTCCAACAAAGTTCAGATTTTTCCCTTCTATGTAGGCTACAATAACTTCAGAGGATAGAAAAATACTATATTCCAAAACAAAGTCTCTTAGATACAGCAAGTTGATCGCTTGCTTTCTTAGTCTGACCTCACTGGAATGAACTGAGTGGAAGAGTTCTGAGAATTTAGTTCCAGAACATAACTGCCCTGGAGCTAAAGCTCTAAGAATTTCCTTCTTGCTCAGAGCCATTCTTAATCCTGTCAACATCTTTCATCCAGACCCACCTGGGCCTTGTCATTCCTGCCTCCTGTAACTCTCGTCTCTTCTAGGCTTCCAACCCAGCAACGGCACTCTTGGTGGATTTGATATGGCCCAGACTCATGGCCTGGTACCTTCCCCTTCAGGATGGCACAACATTCTCTGATATAGATATCAACCAGCTAAGAGACCACCTCGCTATATTAACCATGTAACCCAGTGATTCTCATTCATTAAAAAGTTTTCACTAGGACATACCCTCCCCAATGTATGTGCTATGGTGAGCGCTGTGAACTGTGTAAGACTGTTGAATCACAGACCTGTACCTCTGAAACAAATAATACATTATATGATTAAAAAAATAAAAGAAGATAGTAGGAAGGGAAAAATGAAGGGGGGGAAATCGGAGGGGGAGACGAACCATGAGAGACCATGGACTCTGAGAAACAAACTGAGGGTTCTAGAGGGGAAGGGGGTGAGGGGATGGGTTAGCCCGGTGATGGGTATTAAGGAGGGCATGTACTGCATGGAGCACTGGGTGTTATACGCAAACAATGAATCATGGAACACTACATCAAAACTAATGATGTAATGTGTGGTGATTAACATAATAAAATTAAAGAAAAAAAGTTTTCACTTGGGGCGCCTGGGTGGCTCAGTCTGTTAAGCATCCAACTCTTGATTTCGGCTCAGGTCATGATCTCAGGGTCCTGGGATCAAGCCCCATGTGGGGCTACCCATTCAGCAGGAATCTGCTTGTCTCCCTCCCTCTGCTCCTCCCTGCGCTGGCTCATGCGCATGCTCTCTAAAATAAATTAAAATCTTTAAAAAAAAGTTTTCACTAGTTTTTGGTAAAATGAGAAAATAATAACATAATTTTCATGAAGCTACTGAAGATATCAAGATATGCCAACTGCCTGGTAATCCCTTTCAAAACTAGCATCTGACTGTCCATGTGCTTGAACAAACATTAAAACCAGTTTATCATGGTCTCAAACGTCTTACCTATTTTCTTGGAGATCAAGGAGATACACTGACCACCCATAAAATCTCATTCTTCAGCTACCAGCCACCTAGGAAAATATGCATTCCCCAAAGAGGGCCTTCATACAAAACCCTCATTAAGGTCTCTGGATCTTAGCTCACTATCCCAGCTAAAGACAATGTGCAGAAAGACATGTACTCTAAGTGGCTTTCTAACTCCTTGTACATTAGGTGGGATGCGGGTCACAACAATCCAGTCTTTCCCCTTTATAAATCTTATTTAATGGTTCAGTTACGTGTGTACATTCCAAGTAGACATTTTGATCCTTTCTTAGACTTCATTAATTATAGCAAAAGCCATAAAAATTTACTAAGAGGGATGAAAATCAGAAGTATAATACATATACCTGAGTTGTTATTAATTTCTAGAACACTGACTTCTACAAAAGGTTATAGAACCAGGACAAGTAAAGATAATTTTATTTTGTTTTGATTAACCATGGGCTACTCCTTTTGGGAACCAGAAACACATCCCATGTATGTGCAGCATTTTCTACTTCTTCAGTCTGAAAGCTCCCAGTGACCCACTGATAAAGAGTAATAAACGATGCTCTGAATATCTAGCAAGGCCACACAGGTTCCTTCTAAGGAAATGATCACAGACAGTTCTTTCAGTGCGATCACTATAATTTGGATGATGAGACACTGAAACTCCGGTTACAAATGACTATGACCAGGAATCAGCTTCCAACCTAGAGGCCATCGAAGGGGCCTCTGAGGTAACTCATGTGAGCTTCACCCAACTGAATAATAAACAACTAGACAACCCAATCTGCCCCTTTCCTCTAAGAAGTATGATGTTAAGAGAAATTAAGAATGCATTAGAGAGTTCATAGTCACCAGAAAAACAGAGTGGAAGAGCAGAAGGAGGGATTAGCTGATTTGTCAAAAATGGTGGAAACACTAGAGTTGGTAACAAGTGAACTGGAGGACAAACAGGGTAACAGGGAAGTTCCTCTAGTGTCTGCAACCATGTGGAAATCTCATGAAGGCTAACTGAGACACATTCTTTATGTAATAAACCTCTAGAGTGAACTAAGCCAATGTGCTTCTTACAACCTAAAAGAAGCTAAGGTAAAACAGCCCCAGATAATGGAAATAATCACCTCTTTTAATCCCTCTACTCTGCAGCAAAGAGGTGAATGCTCTGTACTCCTTAATGAAGGCTCGGCCAGACCCTCTCCTGCCCAATTACGCTGGATAAGTTTCACAGGCAGCTGCCTGTGCCAATCCTGGAAGACAGTATGTCCCAAGAAGATTAAACAACAGAGGACCACTACAAGCAAGTGTAGCTCTGAGGATTCACCACAGCAGGGCCCGAGCTGAGGCGGCCCACGCTGAGAGTCCTACACTTCAGAAATCTCCTTCTATTCTTAAACAAGTCTTTTTTTATTACTATTATTCTTAAACAAGTCTTAAACTTACAAATATTCTACACTGCCTCATTTACCCATCCCCACAAGCCCAGATCCCACTTTAAAATACAGACGACCCTTGAACAACACGGGTTTGAACTACACAGGTCCACTTACAGGTGGGGTTTTAAGGGCTGACAGGAAAAGCCTCATGGTATTTATTTACAACTGCCCAGCCCAGTCTCCGCAGCAGAATCAAACATGACTGGTGCAGAAGTCACACTTGCTGCCCTCTGAGAACGCAGGGAGGGGAGGCCTGCAGGGAGCCAGCCGTCAGCAGCCCCGGGGGAGCCCTGGTACCAGACAGGGCTACAGGTGGCCCATTGTGCCAACAGGGTGGTCGGTTTGAGCACCCAGGGCTGGCAGGCAGGAGGCTGGGCTGAAGCACAAGAACATGCCCAGAAGGTCCTCCGTGCTGCCCTGAGTCCCTCCTGGCCCAGCGCTGACCTGCCCCCGAAGCCGCTGATGGTTATAGCTGGCGGTATACCTCCAGGCAGGTGGGTCAGTGGTACTGAACCTCCAGGCCACCACCGTCAGCACCCATGGGCGGCCCACCGCTGAGCAGAGACCACCAGGCTGTGGAACATCATCACCCCAGAGCCAGGCCCACCGCCACCACCCCGTCCCAGCCCCTCCTGGAGGAATTTTTTAAATAAATATCCATACAGTGCTGTAAATGTACTTTCTCTTATGATTTTAACTTTTTCTTTCCTCCGGGCTATTTTATTATAAGAATGCAGCATATAATGCATATAAAATATGCCTTTATCGACTGTTTATGTTATAGGTAAGGCTTCTGGTCAACAATAGGCTATTATTAATAGTTAAGTTTTGGGGGAATCAAAAATTCAGATATTACAGGATTTTCAACTGCAGGAGGGAGGGCAGGCACCTATTACCTATTAGCCCCATCTTGTCCAAGGGTCAACTGAATAGCAATAACTTGTGTAAAAGAATGGTGCTATGAGGACTAGAACAAACCTAACTCTTAAAGGCATCACAAGTAACTCATCTGGAATACTACCTGTGCCTGAGGGTAAGATTCTGACATAACCAGCTGGGAAATGGGGTCCGGAAGCCAGCCCTGAAGTGGTGGCTGCTAAAGCTTAATTGTGCACATGCTGAACCCCAGTACCATCAGAATACTCACAAAGAGATTATACTACTTAAGACTGAAAAAAAAGGTAGGGGCGCCTGGGTGGCTCAATCGTTAAGCATCTGCCTTCAGCTCAGGTCATGGTCCCAGGGTCCTGGGATCGAGCCCCGCATCGGGCTCCCTGCTCAGCGGGAAGCCTGCTTCTCCCTCTCCCACTCCCCATGCTTGTGTTCCCTCTATCTCTGTGTCTCTCTCTGTCAAATAAATAAATCTTAAAAAAAAAAAAGACTGAAAAAAGGGTTTTAGGAAGGAGAAAAAGGGGGGGAATCTATGATAGCATCTATCACATGCTCTTGTCCCTATTTCATATCTATCTTGGCTTCCGACTCTAAGCTTTTTAGGAGAACCCATTCATTCAGCTATTTTTATTTAGCACCTATTAAATGCCGGATATTGGCCTAAACATTACAGATGATACATGAATAAAACACATCAAAATATATGTTCTCATGGAGCTTACATTCTAGTATAAAAGAACAAGTTTTATTAGGGTTACTCATCTTTATATCTTCAATTCTAACACTGAATGATATTTAGTAGGTACTTGCAAAGTGTTTGCTGAATAAATCAAGGTGTTTTTTGTATTCTGTATTGGATTTCCTTGACTTGAGCTTTCCAAAAAATCATTTAGTTGAATTCAGTTTTCTCACAGGGCTATAATGTGGTCACTCTCTTCTTCATCCTGCCTAGGAACAGATTATTGAATCTTGGACTTAGAACATGTCTAAGATACATGTAGTTGTCTGTATTCAAAACCTCTTAACCAAATTTAAGACTCCCCTTTAGAGGAAGGTGTGGTTAAGTCCCAAGCATATTATGGTTTCAGTATGTGGTCATTAAAATTCAGTAAATCTGGGGCACTGGGTGGCTCAGTCAGTTAAGTGTCCGACTCTTGATTAGGCTCAGGTCATGATCTTGGGGTGGCAGGATCAAGCCCCATGTTGGGCTCGTGCTCAGTGTGGAGTCTGCTTATCCCTCTCTAGACTCTGCTCTTCCCCCTGCTCATGCTTTCTCTAAAATAAAATCTTCTTTTAAAAAGATTTTATTTGACAGAGAGCACAAACAGGGGGAGCAGGAGACAGAGAAGCTGACTCCCCACTGAGCAG